ACAACCACGAGCGACGGATCGGACGAGTTATTCAACGCCGTCTCACAGGGCGACTTTTGCCTCCACTGCGTCACCACCGGCCACAACTTCGCCAACTGCCCGGTACGCGTATGCATGTACTGTCAACAGACCGCCCCTGGGCACGTGGACTTTGCCTGTCCCTATCGCGACGAGCGTCGTGAATCCTCTCGGTCGCAATCCCCGTCGCCCGTCGACCGCTACGAGTTGCTCTACCCCGACGAAGGAGACGGAGAGTCGTGAAGTCGAGGACGACTTCAGGTCCTAGAAGGGGGATTATGTTACAACGGTCCGGGCGTCTCGGACATGAACTTTGATCGCACCTCACCTATGCCTCACCTACGCCTCATGTTACTGATGTGGATGGACTACACGCGGATACGGTACAGCTACGGTGCGGACACCATGAGGCAGCGCCTCATTGTTACGGTCCCATAGGTAGCAGGCTTGCCTCCCCTAGTACGCACCGTTTCAGCATGGCTTCTATGTATATTAGGACCCCTGGAGAGCTGAGGATGGTCCTCAGCTCGACCTGGTTATCTATCACCTTCACCCCCGAGCTCGAGTCTCCTCTCCTGCCTGCTAGGCCCTTGCACCTGAACGTTACCACGACCCTCGAAGGTGTCGTCTTAACACTGGGGACGTTCCGTCTTTCTTCGGCTTCTTGACTGCAGCTAGCACTGCCGTTGTCCACGCGTGAGGGATTTCGCCGCTGTCGATGCAGGCTTGGAAGAGCTCGCGGAGTTTTTCGGACGGCAGTGCCAGAACGTCTCGGTAGCCTATTCCATCGAGGCCATGGGCCGAGGACAAGTTGCGCTTGCGGATGTGTGCCTTCGCATCGTCGATTTCTTCGAGCGTAAATGGCGTGGAGAAGTGACTGAGGGGGGTGGTATCCTGGGTTACTCGGGGGAGCGACTTTCCTGCCAGCTGATTGACTGCGTGCACGAACCGGTCAAACTGCGGTGGTAGGATCTCCGGCGGGTTCATACGACGGTAGAATACGGTATGACAGCTGTCGGCAGAGACCAGCGCGGGACGCAACTTGACACCCGTCAGGGAGTCTAGTATCTTCCAGAAGTGGGCGTTGGATGGCGCATGGATGAGGCTGCAAAAAGTCTCATACCGAAGGGATATGATAGGGAGACCTTGGTACCCCGACTCCGTCCAAATAACCTCTTGCATTTCGGGTGGGATGTGCAGACCATCCGCACGAGTGGAGGCCTCAGCATGTTTGTTAACCGCAGGGAGAGGGGTCCAGACCTTGAGCAGGTCATGCAGGGGAGGGGGCCCGGACGTCGGGGGCCGTGCCCAGTGAGAGGGCACCACAGGTGGCACTTGCGCTGCGTGCGCGAGGCTGGGGGGTACCGCATCTGCCAGTTCCATTGCTGAGAGTGCGAACGCGCTATCCGGGCCGCGCTGCACCATGAACCGGACTGGCGCCGCGCGAGCCTGTAGCAGTGCCGTGAGGGGGCGGAGTAGATCGGCGTGTACACATTTCCAGCCAGCGCGAGCCAACTCCGGCGCCCAGTGTGCGAGAGTGCGGATGAGATATAGCTCGCGCGTCCAGATGTGTAGTACACGAGTGGGGTCCGCTTCAACAATGGCATGGAGCGCTGACCAAAGCGCTGCTCTTGCATTGGAAGGCGGACCCGGGACGTGCGCAGACCAGTTAGACCTATGTGCAGGGCCCCAGTATGTAGCGCACGACGAGCGCGTGTCCGCAGGCACGAGAGGGTCGTGAGGCGGAGTTTTGACTGCCACATACACGTTGAGAGCGGGTCCCGCGAGCCAGGGCACGCCGTAGAAGGCGACAATCTGAGTGTCTTTGCGCTTGAGCGGGGCAAGCGTCCTCTCGAGGAGGTCATCGAGGGCTGTTGGATGAGGATTGGGCGGGAGGCCGCTACGTTGAGGCAGTTTGCGACGTCGGGGCGGTTCACTGCACGCAGCCGCGGAGGTGATCTTGATCGAAAGAACTATAGCAGCATGGTCCGACCACTGCGGCAGGTGGGGTAGGGTGTCTAGCGCGACACGTGTTGGGTCCTCCGCCAGTAGAGCGCGAGAAGCAAGAGCGAGGTCAATCACAGACGAGCCCCCCGCTTGGAAGGAGGTGTAGCGAGCACGCGCATCCAGCGGCTGCACTGAGCTTCCGTTCAGGAGCTCCAGATGGAGGGATTCGCATGTTGCCAGAATTCGCCGACCTCGAGCAGACACTACTTCATCGGGTGATGATCGCCGGAGTGTTGTATGGAGCATGCCCATCCGGGCATTGAAGTCGCCCATGACGACGAGTTGAGCGCGACGAGCCTCGACGAAAGGGAGGAGGGCCTCGTGCAGGCGTTCCTCAGCGAGAGCTGGTTGATGCGCAAGCCAGGGAGACGTAGGCGGGGGAAGGTAGACGTTGAAAAGGATGATGTCACCCACGGATACCACCATATACTCGTGCTGATTCGCAGGCGTGAGGTTCTCGCATGCTAGCGCCGTGCGATGTAGGACCGCCAGACCACCGCCGCGTTGATTGTAATGCTGCGATTCCGGGCGCGAGAGTGTGATGCATTCGTATCCATGCGGGAGCTCTAGCTGCTCATCTTGTCCCGGCCGCAGGAACGTCTCTTGCACGAGCACCACATCGTATGCACACAGGAGCGATCGGAAGGCGAATGAGCGGAGGTTGAGGGCGAAGTTCCCATGAATATTCCACGACAGTATACGGATCGTACAGCTTTTCGGTTCGTCCCTAAGTAGCGGCACAGCGCTGAGGACTTTTTCTACGGAAGACAGAATAAGGAAGATATGCCTACATCATGATGTCCGCACGCATTTTGGACATGCCATCGGTAGCGGTGTTCTTGTTTGCAACCCAAGCATCCACGAACGTCTTCGCAAGCAGGGGGCTGGGGAAGTTGATGAGGGCATACGATATATCAGGGGCGCGGGTGATGTCGCCGACGTTGTCCCAGACGCCGGGCATCGCATCCCACGCTGCCTGACCAGAAGCCTTCACCTCCCGGCGCAGGCGCACTGGATCCGAGTTCCACCTCGCAAGACCAAATCGGACGACAGAGGATGTGGGCGCGGGGTTGACATGATGGTATGGCACCCTCGACGAGGACGCAACAGGGGAAGGGGAGCGGAGCGGCGCTGGCCCGCGTTGTCTTTTGTTCGGGCGGTTGTCGTCTCCACGACGCCTTTGCGACGCTGCCGGCGGCGGCGGGCCTGCGGCATATTGCTGCTGTACGCCGAACGGGGCTGGGGCCGCCTGGAATGTGGTCATGTGGTTCCCAAACGTAGGCGGTTGGACAGCGTACTGGAACGCCGCATTAGGCGGCATAACCTGCTGCTGCTGGAACAGCCGGAAGCCGAGGGCACGAGCTCGGGCGTCTCTTCTTTCACTCGACCCTCGTCATCCACCAACACGCGCATAGGCAGTCTGAGCAGCTAGATATATGTAGCTCTCACCAGCCCGTATGTTCAATGTCTAGTATAGCATGTATGGCGTAGCTCAAAGCCTACGCACACAGACGAACTCATGATCCTTCCCGGTCGACTAATGCGTATAGACGCGACAGCGCTGCTGCGAGCCCTCCGACGTATCATCCAATACACAGGCTCTGCGTTCCATTGCCTGGCCCACGCGACCCCGGGGTCAGCCGTCGAAAGAGCACAAGCAGACCTAGCAGGGTCGCAGACGCGCTGACATCGACGCGCTCGGCATCCTGTACACGTAAGTCCCCTTCGAGAGCTACCACGCCACCCTGTGTCCCGACGCGCTCTCTGTCGCGACCGCGTGCCTCATGGGACATCGACTCCGGGGACATCGTCGCCTGCTTCCGGAAGCTGCACCGGTGCACACGTGAGAACTTCGATGCCGCAGAGTACACGGCATGCGGACGGACTGCTGGGGCACGGGAACCCCTGGCTAACATAGTTGAGGCCCGAGACGCTGCAAACACGGTCAATTGAGGCCGATACAATGTTGAGGAGCACAGCACGAACATGTCCGACACGGTGCCGGAGCTATAATGAGATATCGGGGTAAGCGCAGAGAACGCTGTGCAAAGCAGGGTCGACCTACCCTGCGTCGGATAGAACCTTGACGGCGATGAGGCTAGCCTTCTTGGCGACGCCGTAGGTGACGCCCGCAGCGGTACCACTGTGCTGACGTTAGACCATGGCATGAGATATCAAGGGGAAGACGTACGAGACGTGGGTTCCGTGGCCGTTTCCGTCGGCCCAATAAGGGCAGAGTTAAGATACTTCCTTTGCTGTAGCGAGATTCACATAGGCGCCATGTGCACGCACAGCTTACGTCGCGAAAGCGTGGCGAGAGTCACCGCGACTACCCATGCATGCCAAACGGCTCTTCAAAAGTCGGGTGTAGCATGCGCATCGATATCGTGCCATGAGGGCACATGATAAAATAGAGTGACCGCCCGCGGATACAGAACCCAGGCGCCTCACGGGCACATATTGACACCCGTCGTCATCACGTCCTGTAAGGGCTTCTCGGATTCTACCGTACAGTACAGAGTGGTGTTCAGCAATACAATACAGCACACACTTTGACCAAACGCCTCGCATGAGATCGTTCCTGCGATATCACACACATTCAAAGAGCCCCAACGACGATCATCGGCTTGTACGGCTCCTCCAGATACTTGACCTCCTCCTCGGACAGCTTGATGTCCAGCGCACCTACGATCCCGTGTCAGCCCTGTCATCGCCATGCATACGGCGAGTGCCCGCGCGTTGGCTTACCGAGGAGCTCCTCCAGGTTCGTGAGGTTCGTCGTCCCGATGATGGGCGCGGACACACCGGGCTTCGCAAAGATCCACGCGAGCGCGACTTGCGCCATCTTCACGCCTTTCTTCTTCGCGAGCTCTTCCACGCTGTTGTGCAGCAAGGATGCGGTCAGCATGCACATGGTCGCCTGGAAGTGCAACCACGTAGTACGCACCGGTCGACGACCTGCAGGTTGGCCTCGGTCTTATACCTAGCCAGGATCCTGTTCGTGGGAGTGTGAGAAACAGATGCGGGTGCCGAGGGAAGGACGAGTGTACGTACGGATCGGTGTCGCCGCGCTTGGACGACGCGGCATTCGGCCGGCTGAGCAGGCCGCGCGCGAGCGGCGACCACGGGATCGAGCCGACCCCATACATCTTCAGCGTCGGGAACATCTCGCGCTCCTCCTCGCGGTACATGAGCGAATAGTGGTTTTGCATCGAGATGAACGGCGTCAGATTGTGCGTGATCGCATAGTCTGTGGAAGCATCAGTTCTGCGGCCTTGATTGTGATAGCACGCGGAGGTCGAGCGGCGTACTCTGCATCTGGATGACTGGAACGAAGAGCAGATGTGAGGGGTTGTTGAGTGTGCTGAGTAAGGCTGGAGGACGTACACTGGTAGGCGTAGCAGGAGCTCATGCCGATGTAGCGGACGTATCCTGCCTTCACGACGTCGTGCAGAGCTTGCATCTATGAAAGTCACATAATCAGCAACGCGCGCGCCGTACAGTCGCTACCTCGAGCTGTCGGCGCTTACCGTCTCCTCAATCGGCGTAGTATAGTCGAAGCGATGGCACTGGAGGACATCGATGTACTCGAGCTGCAGGCGCTTCAAGCTCGCTTTCACGGAGTCGAAGATGTGCTTGCGGCTCAGCCCCTTCTGGTTGATGATGCTCTCCGCGGCCGCGGGGTTCAATACCGTGTTCGTGCCATAGTTGGGCCCTACCGGACAGTAGACCTGCCACGCAGAACGCGCCCCGTCAGACGAGATTATGGTCGGCGTGATGACCGGTGTACTCGCCTTGGTCAGGATAACGAGCTCCTCGCGGGGGAGGTTGAGCTTCTTGATCGCATTTCCGAGGATGACCTCCGAGAGACCGTTCGAGTAGACCTGGAGCAGAACACGAGATCAGGATGATCTGCCACGACAATCAACACACAACTCACGTTGGCTGTATCGAACGTCGTGATACCATGCTCGTACCTGAATGAACATTAGGGTGCGGCGATAGGATGATGGACCTGTAGACATACGCAAACTTGATATGCTTGATGCCCTCCTCCTCACCCAGGAGCCAGTCCTGCCAACCGGGGTCGCCGTACGACATGCAGCCCAAGATGATCTTGGACACTTTCAAGCCCGAGTTCCCGAGACGAACTAGACAGCAGAGAATCACTCTTCGTCCGAGTACCGCATGCAATGTACACTCACCATACTCCATCTTAGGTGCCATATCTGTGAGTTTCGACAACGTACTGCGATGTGAAGGGAAGATGATACGTTCGGTGAGTGCAATCGCTCAAGGAACAGGCCTTATATACTCAGCCAAGGGACACCTTGAGAGAACAACAACGGTGATAGCGCATAGCACATCGGCAGGACTAGGTGACGGTCCCGTGCTCATGGCTTACCTTGACTTGCTGATCTTCGAGCTTCTCATAGTCAGGCGGAGCGCGGCGGATCTACGGATACCGCAGACAGCTCCGATATAGTGGAATGCGCGCCGCCTGCCAGTGCATTGCCAAGGGCGCGGCGGACGCGTGTTCTGGGATATGTACGTTGCACGGTGACGGTGTTGATATCGATGTTTCAAGTCGTGTTCTCACAATGTTGGCAGGAGCAAACGGCAAGGCCAGGAGCCAAATCTCCGGATAATGTCCATGTCTATATCGCAGGGCAAGAGCCTCGCATCTTCGAAGGAGGTTGCACACCAAACCAGTGCTCGTGTGGCTGTAGCATTTGGTGAGTCTAATAGACCTGAGAGCATCCTGCGGTGCTCACCTGTTGAAACTTACTGACCCCGCTGCACGGCACTACACCGTATTGCGTAAAATTCCGGCTGTGCTGCATACGCACGTACATGATCTCCTCGCAGTGGTCATGAGCACATTCAGCTAAGACATGACCATCGTGGGATAGGACGTGAGGGCATATACGAGGCTTAACCTGGTCCTCTACAGGGAGGCATAGCAGGAGGAGTCAACAACTGATTGCAGAACGAGATCATGCCTAGACGAAACAGGCTGTGCCAGACTCAACCGTCGAACATCGTGCCGTCCATGCGCACACCCATGTTCTGCTTTATGTCCATTCCCAGAAGCTTCATCTTCCCAGCCTGTGGACATGCACGTGTGAGCACGTCTGCTGCGACGAACTCGGGAAAGAAACGACGCACCTCTATTCGCTCGTTCTGAACCCGCCGGAGCTCCATGAGCTGCTCTTTGCTCATGTACGTATCGCGTTCGACCGCACGACGCTTGTGTGTGCTTTGGTGTGCGCGCATGTCCGCGGTGGGGTCGTATGAGTCGCTTGCGGGTGGCAGGTACTCGCCCGCACGCAGCGCGGCCATTCGGCGCTCGTACTCCTCCATGTGATAGAACTTCTCGTGTGGGAGCGTAGCTAAGTGACGATGCAGATCAGCATTGGCGGGGAGGGACATGGTAAGGACGCAGTGGAACGTACCAGTATTGTAGTCTTCCACAAACCGCGCGAACTCCTTCTTCGTCTGCTCCTTCGAAGTGGTCTCGGGATTGATCTTGCGCTCCTCTACCAGCCATGCTCGGAACTCTTGTTCCTTGTTATACAAACTGCAGGCAGGTGAGACAACGGCATGGACAAGGCAACCGATATACATACTCGGATTCGTTGATGATTCCGTACTTTCCCCACTGGTGACTGACGGCAGCGCTGTTTTTCTGCTTCTATGAGAGACTCTATCAGCAAGAGCCGCGCCCTGTAATAGTCGGTACGCACCTTCTTCTCCTTCTTGCTCTTCTTCCTCTCTTTCCTCTCCCGCTCCTTGCTCCCGCTCCGTTTCTTCTGTTTCTCCTTCCTCCGCTTGCGCCGCTTGTACTCCGAGTCGTCCGAATCCGAGCCAGAGCCAGACGAGGACCGCGAGCGCCGCCTCCTCTCGCGCGACCGGTCTCGCCGCGGTCTGCGCTCGCTGTCCCGCGACCGCGAACGGGACGCGGACCTGCCTCTCCTCCGTTCGTGTCTTTCCCGGCCGCTGTCTCTCTTGTGTGATGGTGAGACCGACCTCGACGGGGACCTGCGATTCCGTGGGCTGCGCGAGCGCCGCCGGGGTGATCTTGACCTTGACCGGTCGCGTCTGCGGGAGTGTGGGGAAGGAGACCGGGCGTCGCGCCGCGAGTCGTCGTGCGTTGTTCTATCCCTGGAGCGGTCGCGATCTCGGGCACGGTCTCTTGCGGGTGGGCGCTCCATATGCAGACAGTTTTAAAGAGGAGGGTTGGACGTTGATAATGGAGAACGCTCGGGTGAGATGGTGGTGGTACAAAGCCAGGGAGAAGTGTGTAAGCGCCCGGTGGAGAAGAGCACGAGTCCATGAACATTGAACCTGCATTGAACGCTACTATAGTATAAAACGAAGTTCACCTCTTCACTGTCCGAGGCATGTATAACATGTATCAGCTTCCTGCGGCATTCAGCATACGTTGGTCTTCCTCACTCGGGGAGGTTTGTCGATCGCTCAAAGGGGGTAAAAGTGTGCGGCCAAAAGATTGGCCAACGCCGGGATCGAACCGACGACCTTGGCGTTATTAGCACCACGCTCTAACCAACTGAGCTAGTCGGCCAATATGGTGTGGACTGCTGGTGCATTTATTCGAAAATTACCACCTAGATCAGTGAATATAGCAGCGATCGCGAAACCCTCCGGGCGAACCGATTTTAATTACCAGAACTTCATATAGCGTAGTACCAGCTAGGAGACAGACTATGCAAAACATTGATTACATGTACAGAAGCAGAGCGAAAAGCTGGGATGCGAGAGCGAAGAATAGCGTGGGCAGCGAAAGAGCGTGCATGATAAAACTTGACGATGCGCACGAAAGCGTCAGAATATTGAGGACACATCGTGGCTCGTTAAGCGGGGGGCGAATCCTACGTTCGAAAACAATGCTGCGAAGCGCATGTGGCCACGGTCCGAAGCTCACGGCCAGAAAGGCAAGCATGGGGGATGTATACGCCATGAGATGGGCGATCTAAAAAGCCGTTTTGCGGCGCATCGAAGTTTTTGCCATGTGCCAACTGCCCTCTCAGCTGAGCGAAATATCAGTCGGTTGCTCGAGGTGAACGCGCATCGAATCAGAACTCACGTTGGGGGGAGTGCGGAGCTGCGGCCGCGTATGTGCCAGGGGCCCACCTGAGTCCGCGTTTGTCGTGGAAGTCGTCGCCGAATATGCGGAGAACAGACGATGCGATGCTGATGTGGCTGATTGCATCGTAGTCAATACTGACCACGGACTCTTCGTGCGGCTGCCAGTCCGCGGGCGCTCGCTCTCGTGCATCGTGGATAATTCTGTAACGTGTGAGTAAGTAATATTGAAGTGACGTGCGCGAGTGACCTACTGCATTATCATGTCCCGCTCCTTGTACAGCTCAACAGGGCTCGGGATCGTCTCGGCGGTGAGATGGTCCGCGACCTCAAACCACAAGTCCACCAACGGGAGGAACTCGGCGGTGTGGTCCACGTTGTGCCCGAAGATATCCATCTCCATGATGAGTGCGAGGTCACCACGAATGGGGGGATCGTCATCGCCCGGAGTGGTGGGTATATCGTCAGGATCTGAATCCTCATGAAGGTCGCTGCCTTCCAGGAGGGAATCGGCGTCGTCATTGACTATACGATGACGGTCAGTTTCCGAGGGAGCTCGATCTTCCGCAACATAGCCCAACGGTGGTGATGGGGGATCACTCTGTCCTGAGTCATCGCCATACCCGTCCACGTTGCCTGCCGGACCACGCTTTTCGCGCAAAAAGGCGTTTATACGCCTATAGTCCGGCATGAAACGGCTCTCGATGGTCATCGACTCTGGTACGCTGAGTATGGGCGCGCACGAATCGTCGTATCTGATCGCTTTGCGGCGTATGCGGACTGTGAGGTTGTTCATGATCCAGAAGTAGCAGTTCGGAAATGGAAAAGGGGATTCGGGCGAGATGGGAGGGCGTCCTGCGGGGTGAGCGGTATTGGGGTAGATTGGTATGACCATGTCGGAGGTGATGCCCTCTTCTGGTTCCTCGAAACGTAGCGTGGTAGCAATGGGGGATACTTCGTAGCGGAACCACGGCTTCTGTGGTGTAGACATGTCTTGAGCCTATAGCGAGTGAGTCCCTCTAGCCCACATAGACAACGGCTTGACTCACAGTGCGAAGATATACAAGATACTTCTTGGGCTTCATGGCTTGTGCTGCAGCCAATGCGATCGGGTCGTCATAGTGCTTAACCATCCCCACCGGATCCATCTGGATGACGGCAAACCGCTGAGGAAGAGGACAGAAGAACTTCATCCTGCTTCGGTGACGGTGTGTACCAGCGAATGCGAAGTAGAGCCAGGAGGGCCGCGGTAGAAAGTCGGCGGGAGGAGCTCTGGTTCAGTGGTGACCGGTAACGGAAAGCGCACACAGGGCAACGAATGAGGCGCCCACACCTCAGCCACCATTGTTTATTTACGTCTGCTTGCGAGTGTGGAGGCACCCTCTCACGCGATCAAGCAGAAGCGCCCACAGCCTGTTTTGCGACAAACCTGAACACTCCTACACTGACTTTTACAGCTGTTCTTAGGTCGATAGACCCCTGTGGAAAGTCAAACAGAGAGGTATCTGCTCCCAAACGACGCGGCGGTCAGCAGGTTGCAAGCACCGCGAAGAGGTACATCCCCATCGTCGCACAAAACCGCTGTCCGTGATTATATTTTCCACGGGCCTATCGATCTGAAAACAACTGCATAAATGGCTGCTCCTCAAACTTGATACAAATTATGGAATGGTGCGCACATATCGCCGATCGACGAACAATCCTCGGCCGCGGCTGGACCATGGCTCACTCTGTCATTGGACGGGAGCCTGAGTCTGTAGCTGACTACCGCAGCCCATCCTCACGCGCACGAGGAATCCGAGTCCAAACCTTACCGCAAGGTCACATTGGCCCATCGATAGTATCACTGCGGGAAAATCACGACTGCCTGCTCAGGATCTTTTAAGATACACACAACTCCAAATCTCATCGGATCGTCCTCGTCCCTCCAGTATGTCCACCTCGTCCACATGTCCCAGCTGCAATACGCCCAACCACGCCTCTCACATTCCCAACCCCCATGCGACGAAGTATCATCCTGGCGATATATGTGCTATCCATGAACATGTTTCAACGGCGGTCTATCATTTCTTTGAAGCTAGCAATAAGGTCCCTGGCAGTCGCGCATTCTCATCGACGATAACCTGGGGATCGTTCAGCTCCTTGGGGAAATGGTCCAAAAAAGAGCCAGTGGACGCCAGGCCGGGCATAATCCTGGACGAAACGGACATCCCCCCGCCGCCGACCGGTGTGCGGGTATGCCTATCGGCGACGCTTGACGGCGAGACCCGCGACAACGTCCTCCCGAAAATTCTTCAGCTCATATGCGTTCCCCTATCACCTCACGCTCTCGCACGCCAAGGGAGGATGCACTATCACACCATCCCCGAATGGCCCATAGAGGGCGCCTGGCTCATTGCGAGTCCATTCGTCTCGCACGGGCGTGTCGACGGCAGGTGGGAGGACAGACGTCCGCAGGGATCCCCCGAAGGATCTTTCAAACTCAGTCCCCAGGACACTGCCTCTCTCATCCGGCTTTGCAATCGAAAGCTATCGCAATGGGAGGCTGCCTGTTTGGCTGATGAGAACCTCGCCGATAAATCCTGGAAAGCGTATAAGGTAAGCTTTAAGTTCCGGTGTTTGGCAAGATGTCTCAGTTAACCGTGGAGCTGAGCCACCTTTCCCTCAGGAATCGTTGCAAAATTCCATCCAGGGGCGAGAGCGCCGTTCTCAGGTGAGCACGTATCCTTGTCGCACTGGAGTCGCCCGGCCCGTGCTTACAGTAGTGTCAAAACTCGAATGCTGCAGGACGCCGCACCACGGGCTGACGCAGGGCCCTCTCGAAGCCCCCACGAGAATTTCTATCCTGCCCGAGCTGAGCCAGCGAAGCAGCTTGTAACGTTCAAATGGCTGACCAAGAAACACGGCAAAAAGGTACGTATACCGCCAGGACTTGACTCCCGCCGGCGCACCATGCAGCGGCTATATGCTTACCGCGCACCCTCCAGGGATTGAAGGGTGCTAAACGCGCTGCAACTGCTGCGTCAGTAGCACCCCAAGTCTCGGTGGCACAGGCTACTTTGGTAAGTTGTACCCCCGACCGTGTTTGACGGACCACTAACCATTATCTTCTTCGCGAACATTTAGGAGACGGCAGATGCTACGAGAGCGCCTTCGCCTGCGGCCAGTACGCAGTCCAAGCCGAAGCACAGCCCGCGCAACGCATTGCGCAAGCTCTTCTTGGTTTCGAAGTCCACGCTGAACCTCCCGGGGTGATGCACGAATGCCATGCCCGCCGGAGGAGCAAGGGATCGACAACAAAGCAGGCTCGAGGGACTGCGTGTGCCGCGAAGAGGAGTATTTCGGAACCAGGTGTAACAGAAAACAGATGACACGCCTAGAGACTGGTGTGTGGGGATAAGTACGGGGATATGCGGTCGGTACTGCACGTATGCACACAGTCACTCGGGATAGCAGGAATGGATGCCAAATTTCCAGAGGAAAGCTTCTCCGCCCGCGCACAGACCCTTCCCAAGCAATCGCGGGACGGGCAATGGTGATGTGCCCATCCCTATGCGCCTCCCTCAGCGCGGGCGCGATGCGAGTAGAAATCGCCACCAGGGAGTCGCGACACGAACCTACCGCAGCCGGCCGCCGACCCCACGCAATGTGAGCAATGTTCATGTCTCAACCCGATCTCAGACTTCGATGAGACGGCAAGGACTCGTATAGAAACACCAACGACCGCAACGCGTAATATGCTCATACAACTCGATGGAATTCCCAGTACGAGGTTAGCGGCATGAATGCGAGTCCGTAACAGGCAGCGAAGAAGGTTGGACCAGTCCGAACATATCAGAAACACCAAGCGGCAAGGCGTCCACAAAACCCAACTCGTGTATGGAAGACAGAACGAATGGACGGCACATGGCGGCTCCCAAGCGTACATGTAGTAAACCCCACACGAGACAACATTATCCCGATCGGCGGCCCTCATCACGCCCAAGCGTGCTGCCCGGCCGCCCGTCGTCCGAGCTCGCGCGCGGGAACAGCTCCCCGTCCGTCTCCGGGTTCCAGTTCGCGAGCGTGAGCGACAGGCGTGTCGGCCTCCGCTCCGAAACGCTCTCGCCCTCGCCGGCAGCGGCGGCGTCGCCAAATGAGTCCCGCGACGCGCGCTCCTCGCGTGGGGTGGGGGGCAATACTGGGAACGGGTAACTCACCGCAGTGCCAACGGACGCCTCGGAGCCCGACGGGCGGTGCGCACCGAGGTAGGCGGGCGTGAGCGGCGTCATGGGCGTTATGGGCCGCACCGTTGGGGACACGGGAGAGGTCGTGCGTAGCAGGTTGGGAGTGGATGTGTTTTGGTTCGGGGATGGTAGGGGCGCGGTGTATGCGGTCATTGCAGAGAATGCGGAAAACGATTGTGGGCGGGTGGGAGGAGGGGAGGCCCCGGGAGATGAGCAGTAAGAGGGAGTGGACGACGGCCGGCCAACAAGGCCATACTGATATGGTTTCGGCTCCAGACCAGGGGGCGGCGGCGAACCTTTGGTGTAGCGTGGGCGCGGAGAGTATACAGCAGACTCGTTCTCGCGCATTTGAGGACCAGCATAGCGCTCTCGCCAGCTTTCTCGCTTGCGCCTGGAGTCGATTGCCGGGATTAGTAGAAGCAGCTGACGGGACTGAGAAAACACACCAGAAGAACCACATAAGCGCAACTATGCCTATCAGCCCAAAGAACCCTCCTAGCACACCCCCGACGATAGGGCCAACATCGTCTGTTGAGACGCTCTGCGGATGATTATGGCCATCGTCTCCCACCAGCGTGGTGGGAAGGAATACAGGAGTGGCAGGTAGAGTCGACGTCGAAGTCATGTATGTCACAAAAACAGACCCGTCCAAAAGAGTGGAAGAGACCGCAGAGACGATAACAGTAGGTGGAGGCGTCGATAAGCTGACTACTACGGGGCCGGTTGGGTACGTCGGTTGAGAGGCGGGGGACGAAGACGAAGGCGGCGGTGGAGGCGGAGACGGTGGAGTCGGCGGAGGATTGGACGAACCATCGTCGCCGACGGTAGCGCAAGAGGAGAAAAGAGTTGCGGTGGGTAGGGATTGGGTGATGGGGATGGTGAGCACTATCGGGACCTGGATGGTGTTCACTTCGCCCTCTGTGGTGGAAGTACAGGCGTCAGATTTCGGCTCACTGCCCCCATCGAGCGCACACTGCGGATGACTGAGCCATAGCATACGCTAGCATACGGCGAAAGCACGCGAATGGTCCGAGGTGTTTGCGTACAGTCTCCTCCCAGAAAGACGACGTACCATCAACTGTGCTCACGATCTCCACCGTCGTCGAGGAAAGGCATGTCGTGCCATTTGCAGAGTTGACCGAGGATACGAGGCAGGATGTGGAGGAGATTGTCGTTACATCCGGAGGATCCGTGGTGAGGCTCTCGGAAAACGTCGTCGTGACGCTACTTGTCGTCAGCAGCTCATATTCGGTCAACGTCGGCGTCGGGGTGCATGCCATCCACGAGAGCACGGGGTCCCTCGAGCGAGCAGACGAAGGAGATGGCGGCGGGGAGAGAAAAGCAATTTGCGGGCTTGGTTCCCCGAGCGCGCCAGATGGCAGCAGTTGCGCCCGCCGCGAGGTTCCGAAGTCTCGTCCTCGTTGCTACTATAGGCTCCTATCGCGCTATGATTGGCACGTCGACCGAAAAAGCAAGCAGATAGTGCATTATGAGTAGATGAGCAGGGGCGTGGTGGTGGTTGGGGGCAGAAATGTGGACGACGCCGGCGGAACGCACGCCCCGGCCATGTGCCCGTCGGCTGCTCTCGCGGCCTGATCATCGACCACCACCAGCCCCTCGCCATCCACACCGGGAAGGACCTGTCTCGAGATGTGGTAAGTCTTCATAAAGCATAATGCCATCGCTGCAAGGGCCCGGGCGCGATCGAGGGGAAGACTCCGCTCTGCTCGCCCGGTTCTTCGTACGGTCTGCCTTCCCATCGCTCGCGAACACTCACTCATCCAGGCACACTATGTCTCCGTACATCCCAGCAAACACGTCCTGAACGCGCAAGTCTCCATTCGCGCTCCATGTTGCAAACAATGGTTTGACTGCGCCGAATGTCACGCGGAGACGCAGGATCACCTGCTGAAGAAGACGGTGGAGATGCACTTCCTCTGCAAGAAATGCAAAAAGGCATTCCGCAAAGACATGTCCAACTACGAGGAGAGCGACGAGTTCTGTCCACATTGCGATAATCACTACGTGAGTCCTTTGCATGTGCAATCGTGGAACGTCCACGCAAGCCGTCGTAGGTCATCGAGGCCAAGACTCCCCAAGCAGTCCTCGGCGTAGAAGGAGATGATCCTCGAATCAACGCGCGGTGAGTGCTGTTTCGCATGCGTATAAGCGTAGTGGGCACTAACGGCCCGTTCAGCATGCTCAAGGACGAGCGCGTCAAGGAAGATCCTGCTCGATCCCTGTTCGCACAGGACTTCACGGAACGTATGGGCTAACCCCTTGGGACCTTTTTCTACTGGTACGCAGAGTAAATCGCCTAGATCGTGAAGTGCTATTCCATTGACGAATGTCTCCTAGTGCAGTATCATGTTTGCCATGCCGTCGCTGTCTGGCCCGCAATATAATAATGTCATCGTCGTTGTGCCGTGCTTTACGAATGCCGCCTGGACCTGTGCGCGCATCAAGCCAACCTTTGATGACACCAGTCTGTATCGGCAAGGCAAGCTGGAGCGGACTTGAAGATGTGCAGACGGTCTCTGTGCGGGCGAGGGCTCTTGGATGCATGCACAATCAATATCCTAAGGTACCGGTGCGTCGACGTCGGTGCACGTATTCACTGATTGCTCATTCGTCAAGGTCCTGGAGAACCTCGCTGACATCCGTGATGTTCGCTATAGATGTTCACTACTCGATCTGACGCTTTTGAACGGATTCCGGGTAGGCGCTCTTCTTACCCGTAGGCACTGGTTCGACGTCAAGGCGCATTGGTCAGAGGACGATATCTCGAGTCCGATCGCACTTCACGCATTGCACAGAACCGTCTCAGCATGATGCACGCTGCAGGCTTCCGGACGTGCGCGCTGTCTCGCAGTACTTGTGATTGAAATGCCGCCAACATCTTCTAGCCAGGATCGCCTGGCTCGACTCCTCATGCCCACCAAAACGGTCCAAATGATCTAAGCTGGTCTTAGGTACCCGTCGACAAGACATAGTAGTGGCGCGACTGATTGCTTCTCACACACCAGGGGAGGGGCCCCGCAAAGACGTAAAGGCGGGGATGGATATCCACCGACCGCAGTGACCATTTATCAACAATGAGAGCGAGGGGCGACTGCGAAGCGAGTATCTGCGTATCATACATGCTCTTCTGTCTCTGATGAGACACTGTTCTTCGTGTGTCAAGGTGATGAACGGCTTACCTGAACTGCTGGGCAACATACCCCGTTCACGACGGGCCAACATGCAGTCACGAACTCCTTGTAGTGCGTCATAGGTGTCTGCGACGATGTATCAAGTCACGCTCGGCAAAGCAAAACGGTTCACGCGTCACTTACCGAGGCACGTTATGCAAACTGGGCAGAACTTTCTTGAGAAGTGGGGGACGAAGGCGGCGGAAAATCGGCAGAAATAGGTGAAGTATCCTCAGGCTGAGGATCGGTCCATGAGAAAGTTGAATGCTCGTTGATTTAGATCGCCCAAGACACGAAAGCATCACTCACTACGACATCGTTCCAGCCCTCACCCAGTCCCCATTCGGTCCCCTGGCATAGTTGAAACACGATGGTGAGCATCGCTTCCCTTATGCTATACAATAAACACTCACGAGGAATTCCTGCTCGTACTACTTATCGAGGATCTCGAGATTCTTGCATATCTTTCTCCACTGTGTTACCCGAGCCTCCACTATGATGTACAACTTCTCCCTTTGCGATTTGTCTAGCTTGCTGCATCGGCGGTCTTTGGGAGATCCAGTGCCGTTCGTGTGGTACCATCTGCCATCGATATCCCTTTTGGTCCTCACAATACGAGCGACGAGCCACGCCATCTTGTTCTGCGGCCACTCGGGGAACGCATGCATGTGGTCATCTGGATTGGTGTTGTTCATGCCAAGGTTTGGGAAGATCGCGACAGAGAAGCACTGGACGACCGTTGGCATCTTCTCCATGGGTATGTCGCGAAACGATCCCAATAGAAACACTTCCGCAAATCCCCTGTGGGGACGGTGACCTCCTACGAGGAGGCATGGTCTGTGATAGGCCGCCGACTCACGTCTGTTGAGCGATCGAAGGGCCTCCGAAGCGGCACTGGTGCGCCGCGAACTCGTCGGAGACCACGTTGTCACTGACCCCGCTGCTCTCCCCGCCTCCGACCTAGGGCCGCTCGCTGCGCTTGTGCCTCCTGCACTGGCGTTCTAAGGGCCACTCTTCCTCTGTGTCAATCTTCGCCGAGTCTCCTCGAAAATCTGGAGGAAAGGGACCTTGATCGACTCAGCGACCTTGCAGATGTCCCCCGCGGCAAATTTCCGTGTGGTTTCTGCAGGTATGTACTCGTCTGAGGCAGGCCGGTATAAGCATTGTGGGAAGCGCATGCTGGGTGACGACTTAGTGAGGGAGGAGGGATCTCAGGCCATGATGGCATTGTCGTTGAGGGCGATAAGTATATACTCGACGAGTCCCAGTCGAGGAGAGCAGCAGCCAATGACGGGAAGGGGAATATCGCGTTATCGATGGCAGAGCGAGGCATATGACGGGAGAGTTCAATGTTCTCTGAATGGTGTGAAGTCCAATGAAGCCTGGGCCAGCCGGCAACGCTAGGCAGCGCCCTGCGCAATGCCCACGGTATGTCAGAGGTGCCCACACGAACAAATAGGAGCAAATATGCCACGTGATTTCAACGCTCCGAAGCGCATCTCCTCTGGACTCGAAGTTGCTCTCGACCGCTACTTTCCACTACGCCGTCGGGCCCCTCTCATTCCTTATCATTCCTATCCAAATTACTTCAAGTTCTAGTGACACTCCTCACGTCGTCGGCAATGGCGATTGAGAACTTTTTTCCCGCTGCCAGGTCGCTTTGGCGTAATGCAGATCGACCCCGTCGCGATGGTGGAGCACCTGGAGGACGAGGACGCGTTGGCACCCGCTAAGGCGATCCAGACAAAGAGGTACATCGGGTATCTTCGTGATGTGAGTGGCAATAATTTGCAAATTGCATTTCTTCTTAGACTGAGTGTTGTGGAATGACATGGTGTACTAGACCATAGAGCTTCCGTGGCCTCAACGACCGTGGTATGGATACAATGTCTTGCCTATCGCGACCACACTTCGCCCAGAGGACCCGGAGAGGGCTATTTCTGCCGAGATGTGCATCCCCATCGCCCCAAACACCAACCACCCCACGAACCGCCCGTCGCTTCCCACAGAGCCGTCCTTTCCATTCTCGAATTGCTATTACTGGGTCGAATCGCATACAAATGTGCGGATTCGTTCCGGCGTCGAATTCAACGAAGCCCGCGCCGTCTCCCTTTCCCCTGGAGCCCGAGTCGATCTGCAGGATATGCTAGACGAAGATTTGGATCGCGCCGACGACATCGTGGAGGAGCGGGAGGAGGCAGAGGCAACACGACGCCGCTCGAATATACAAGAAGGATTCGAGAGTCGACGTGGCTCACCGGCCGAGAGCACCCGTTCTTGTGTTCCTGATGGTCAATCTGCGTGTGAGTGCTCGAACTGTGGCGCCTCTTTGCATGCGCCTTCCAGTATACGAGCGCCAAGCATCAACTCGTTTGTCGCTATGGCCCCTTTTGACCCATTCGGCTTCAAAGAGGATGCTGTCTACTTCCCGCTCGTGGACTTCTGTTTCGACCTCACAGACCACCTCACGGAGGAGGACATATCCAGTCCTGTCGATTTTTGGAAGGAGCGGGATGCGATAGTGTGGTGTGTTGCTTCTCTATCTCACAGATACTTACACAGGCTATCTAATCAGGAGGCGTGTGTACAGGATCATCAAGGCAGCACAGGAACGCGCGTTCCGCCGTTCTCTTCCCCCTCTTGACAGTCATCCTTCTCGGGAAGATGTCAGTCCCGCCATCGATGAAGTGAACCTACATGACGCGGTCCTGCGTGCCCTGTCCAAAGTAGACGTAGGATTTGATAAGGAAGGGTTGCAGATCGCATCATTCCAAGATGAACGGCGTGAAGCCTCGCAAGCAGGTGAGTGACCCCCCTTGCTACACATACTTGCTGTCCTGACCGGTCCAGCTACCGCAGTAACGCCTAAAAATACATTCCTCCACAGCTCGCGTCAGCGCATTCAGCAGCACGCGCGGCAGATGGCGGACGTACTGCACATCCGGAATGCCGTCCGCCGTCTGCGGAGTGGCTGGCGGCGCGCGTCTCGCGTCGTCGCTCTTCCGTATATTCCTTATTGGCCATGACCATGCACGCTTGCCCCGTACTCCGAAGCCACGATATGGCTTTCGTGCGCCTGCTGTCGTTTTCGCTATCCACATGCATGCTATTCGCTATCTCATGTATATCACATTTGCACATCATCTCCCATCGACTTTCGCATGTACCTAGACGCATGTCATCGCAAGCCGTCTGCCTTCGTCCGCCGTCCGCCGTCGCTTCGCCCGACTGTATCGTCGAGCGTAAGAAGTGCGATACAAATAATAATTGTACATAACAATCCACCAATCACCCGCAACATGGGTCTTTCGCAACATCGCCCGAGGCATAGCGCGCTGCGCATGCCATCCACCCCCGAAAAATTGGTTCGAACGATGCACGCCGGCGGCCGTTCTCCAAAATTGCGAGCCCACACCTTCCATGGTAGTACATCCGTCCGCGCCCATCCATCTACGCCGCGGACACCGGCGCGATACCGGCGGGCTGCGCCGAGTCTGCCAAATCGAGAATGTCAGCAAGAAAATACCCAATCGCGCCAGGTTGCGTACTTCCAAGCCCGGCGATAGTCCCTACGTCCTCCATAGACGGACCCGGGTCCAGCCTGGGGATCGCATTCGGTAGCCCATGTGCGGGCTCGAGCGTGACGGGACCCTCCGAGGTGGAGCTGGCGGGAGAGTGGGGTGCAGGGTCCCCCGCAGAGGCAGAAACAGAGGCAGAGGCAGAGGGTGCGGGGCCTTCGGGGAGCGCAGGTACGGGCGGGACTTCCGGGATTGTCGACGTGTTGTCGTCTCGCACTGCACCTCTGCGCAGACCGGAGGCGGATGTGCTACTGGCCCGCGATGCCTGTGTTCCGCGTGAACATCCCTGATGGCGCTTGTGGCATGTTGTCTCTAAAGAGAAAACTCACACTTCGTTCCCTTCCGATCCTCGCGTTATCCTCCTGCATAACGGCGATTTGAGTATACGTCTGACTTCGCATTGAGATGCGGATGATCGAACCTGATACTCCTGAAACCACTTCTGGGCAAGTCCGGGGTCTTGACCCATAAGCGCGTCCCATTCCGCTCGCTTCTGCTCACAAACGTCTAACAGTGCGCCGAGCGCCTCATCATCCAGCCGGTATGAAGACTGAGAGGGCGAACGAGACTGCGTGCCACGATTCTTCCATCGACCGCTGATCGCCGCGCTTGAGTCAAAGGCGAACGCGATGAGCCATGCGTTGTGTTCGCACCACTCTGGGCTCGTGTGTACGTGCGGGGGGTGTCGCGAGCATTCAGAGAGGACATGGTGTGGATAGACGGGGAGACAGAAGAACTGGAGGATTCGAGAGAGTTTGGCGATGTCTCCCTCGTGACCGAAGGTCGCCAGGAGACATATACTGCACATCGCCGTGCTCCGGATTCTCTGTGCGCCATTGGGAGGCCTGCGCGCGCGCGCCTTGAGGATGACGGCAGGCCGGCCACCGCCTTCATGTTTGCGGGGACCGCGGTGCAGAGAGCGACCAGGACGTGTTGCACGACGTACGACGGTGGTTGGGGTCTCTTCAATGACCCATATGTCCCCCGCACTGCGCTCGTCAGTATTCTCAGGGTGATATTCGTTGCTGTTGGGTGCGTGGCATCTCGGGCAGTCCGTGGAGTCGAACTGCGGTGCTAGCGGGTCACTGCCAGTGATGGCGTCCGAGTCCGCGGCGACGTCGGACGCAGCATGCTGGGGTTGCAAGGTAGATGAAGACATGTGCGGATCGGTGGGTGGAGACAGGAACGTTGATAGTTATGGCAAGCAGCTGAAGCAAACCTTGTGGGCCCGAGGAGACTCGAAGGCGCGTTCTGTCGCTGCAGCCCACCGTGCTACCGCAGCACCACCGTGAGACGTGCGAACCCAGGATGCGGGCGCCAAAGGAAGCTTTAGCGTACAAATACGAACAAACACCTGTATCCCGTTGCAATAGGAGCATCGCCACAGCCTCATCTTGCAACTTGCCTCCCACCACCACGCTCTGCGCTACTTCCGCTCCACTCTGGTAGATTTGAGCGTGTCTTCGAGTGCCTCCGTCTCTGTTGACGTGCTTTGAAGCATTGTTCAACACCTACCACAGTAGACCCGTGGAGTCATCGTAGAGGTCTGCCACACCTGCGCCATCTCGCGGCTTAGACGCTCACATTCTCATAGTCGCAACATCTGCCTCATGGAGCGTATGTGTCCAGGATCCATGCAGTATGCGGTCATCCGCATCGACCCGGTCGCCATGGTCGAACACTTTGACGATCCCTTCGCTACCGAGGAGGCAGAGGCGATGCATGCGAAGAAGTACCTCATGTACCTCGACCACGTAAGTCCTATCTTCTGCAGGTGAAACTACCGCACCATTTGGACTGCGTACTGCGATTCTGAGTGTATGTGCCGAAATTTGTGTGGTCCGAATGGGCATAGCCAGGGGTCTCACATATGATTCTCATGGCGAGTTCGGACTTCTCAACTTTTACGCATACGTATCAACCATGAGCGTATCGCTACCTTCACAGACGACGTCGAAACTGTGCAGTATCTGCTGCGGCGTTGGAATGGATCATTTCCCCATTCACGTGGCAGCCTCTCGTTCAGCTCAGTCGTCCATACGTACATCAGCCGTTCTCACCATAAATCCTATCCGCAGGCGATGGACCTCCCCTTCCCGACTAGCCAGTGGTTCCGTTTCCATGTCAGCCCCATCGCCACTGCGCTCCCGCCCAAGGATCCAAAGCGCGGAATCACTCCCGACATGTCGATCCCGATCTTTCCGAACGAGGACCATCCCAACGGCCGTGCCCCTATCCGCACATCGGCACCCTTTCCGTTCCCCAACTGCTATCACTGGGCGGATAGCGAGTTGACGGTGCGCGTCCGCCGCCATCCGGAGAAGAAGTACGATGATCGCAGGGCGGTGAAAGTAAGCACGATGGAGCATATCCGGATGGCTCGGCTTCTTGGGGATGACGGCAACCGGATAGACGACTATCTAGATGCCAAGGAGGCGGAGGAGTTGGCGACGCGGCGAGCGGCACGGGCGTATTCGCCATCCTCGCAGGACTCCCGTCTCTCCGCCACCTCGGGCGACGTGGACATGGACTTCGCGGGCGCCAACGGAATTCATTCTCCTGATGCTGACGATGACGATGATCCCTGCCCTGAGAACGCTTGGGGAGCGCAGTTTGCGGAGAGCCTTATGCAACTGGACATCCTCAACCTCGTGCATCACGACGACGACGGCGAGGAGACGCTGCCGCTGGTCGACTTGTGGTTCGACCTCGACAAACATCTGTCAGAGGGCGATATTCCGAGCCCGTCGGACCTAGACAAGGAGTTGGACGCGGTCGCAAGGTATGACCCACTCTTCTTCGCAACATATATACCCCGCTGACTCTAACCGCACAGGATTGTCCAGGATGCACGCTCACGGCATCCGGAGGTACCCTTCCCGCGACGGAACGGCACACTGGGCTTGGGCTTTGAAGACGACATGTGCGCGGACGAGGACGAGGGGGATCAGGAGGTGTACACGAACGGCGTCGTCGAAGATGACGACGAGGAAGTGCCTCCGCCTGCCTCTTTAGCACATCCATGGTCAATACCATCGAAGATCTTCGATAGGCCCACATGTGAGCGACGTTATGAAGACTCCTGCGAGTAGATTGCTGATGTTCATTGAAGCAGCATGCTCGTCGTACGATGGGTCACTCAGCACAAGTCCGAACACACACCGGCGAGACATATACATGCATTGATCCGGATTTCCAGTTTTCTTGGTATGACTCCATGTTTGTATACCCAGTTGTACTATAGTGTACTATGTAGCGACGCCATTCTCAGTCTCTAAGCTCTCAGGTCAGCTGCGAGCACACCTCGACGATTATGCCGTCATATCCGGTCCCGGTAGGAGACTCTTGCTTGGTCATAGTGGATCATATATGGGCTGTTTCAGAGTATAGCCAGGATCCCACTCCATACGGTCTAGCGACGCGCGGCGGAGGTTGAGTAAGTTCTGACAGGTGAGCATCGCTGGATGTCCGACTCCCTAGATCAACATGGCTGACCAATGCTACAGGCTACAACAACACGAACAGCGCTTAATGTGCGACCTCTCCGAAACTGTTGCAATCTGGCCATGCATGAACGTTTTTCAGAAGTGTTGCGCCAGGTTGTGCTCGAGCTCGTCGCGAAGTTCACTCTGGGCTACAATGTGAGAGCCCATGGTATCGCACATCGACATGAGCAACTTTGCTGTCCGACACTGCATGCAGTGACTAGCATTGGTATCCGTTTCGTGCACTGCAGGCGGTGCGCGCCCCACCATATCGGAGCTGCCTGCGGTGTAAGTAGTTGTGCCGCGCTACGCCTGGCCACGAGAAGCCCGAGGAATGGCGAGTCGAAGTTAGCAATGAGCATGGGATCGTCATCTATTTCCGGACGTCGATGTGCTATGTGCTATCCCCGCGATCGAGCATATCTCTCAAAGTGCCCCTTTGGCTGGGTATATAAGGCCTGCTCTCGAGCGATTGCACTCACAGAACGTTTCCTATCCCCTCCAAGCAGCACCACGATATCGCAATCTACAGATATGGCACCCAAGATGGAGTATGGTGAGTGCGCACTGTATGCGGTACTCGCACGGAGTGATTCTCTACTAATCTTACTTATCTCTAGTTCGTCTCGGGAACTCGGGCTTGAAAGTGTCGAAGATCATCTTGGGCTGCATGTCGTATGGCGACCCCGGTTGGCAGGACTGGCTTTTGGGCGAGGAGGAGGGCATCAAGCACATCAAGTTTGCGTACGTCTATATATTCTTCATCCTACCACCACACCCTATTTATGTGTATTTTACAGATACGAGCATGGTATTACTACGTTCGATACAGCAAACGTGAGTGATGTGTTTATTGTCATGTCTGATCATGCTGATTCCGTGTTCTGCCCCAGGTGTACTCGAATGGTCTCTCGGAGGTCATCCTCGGAAATGCGATCAAGAAGCTCAACCTCCCCCGCGAGGAGCTCGTTATCCTGACCAAGGCGAGCACATCGACCATCACGACCGCGTCCATCGTTTGACAGACAGCGTCCTCCATGGCAGGTCTACTTCCCGGTAGGGCCTGAATATGGCGTCAACACGGTCTTCAGCCCTGGGGCGTCAGACAGCATCATCAACCAGAAGGGGCTGAACCGCAAGCACATCTTCGACTCTGTGAAAGCGAGCTTGAAGCGCTTGCAGCTCGAGTACATCGATGTCCTCCAGTGCCATCGCTTCGACTACACTACGCCGATTGAGGAGACGGTAAGCGCCGATGGTTCGACGCGGTGACCCGACGGCGCGCGCGTTACTGATTACGAGACTTTTGTAGATGCAAGCTCTGCACGATGTCGTGAAGGCGGGATACGTTCGCTACATCGGCATGAGCTCCTGCTATGCCTATCAATGTACGTTTTTAGAGTCTACCAGCCCGCCCAACACCCTCTCACAACTGTTCTTCGTTCCAGTCATCCAGATGCAGAGTACGCCACTCCACGTGCTACCACAAGCAGGACTCTAGACCTAACAGTTTAGCAGACTACGCGATCACGCACAACCTGACGCCCTTCATCTCGATGCAGAACCACTACTCGCTCTTGTACCGCGAGGAGGAGCGCGAGATGTTCCCGACGCTCAAGATGTTCGGCGTCGGCTCGATCCCGTGGTCGCCCCTTGCGCGCGGCCTCCTCTGCCGGCCGAACGCCGCCTCGTCCAAGCGGGGCGACACCGATCAGTACGTGCACTCTCCCGTCCCTCGATGCTTGCAACCGCCCTTGTTTCTCACTCTCCCACGAATAGGGGCATGGCCAGATACAAGACTGAGGGCAACCTGCAGGTCGTCGACCGGTGCGTACTTGACTGCACTGCTGAACGACCAATGTGCCTGCTGACCGCGTCCTGGCTGCGTAACAGCGTGGAAGAGCTCGCGAAGAAGAAGGGCGTGAAGATGGCGCAGGTCGCGCTCGCGTGGATGTTCGCGAAGCCCGGTGTGTCCGCGCCCATCATCGGCACGACAAGCACCTCCAACCTTGAGGAGCTCATCGGTAAGCGCGCTCGTGTATTCGTCAGGCGTATCACGACAGGGCTGACGCGGTGTTCTAGGCGCCTTGGATGTCAAGCTGTCTGAGGAAGAGGTCAAGTATCTGGAGGAGCCGTACAAGCCGATGGTCGTCATTGGGGCTTTTTGAATGTGTGTGATAGCGCAGGAACACTTTCATGCGAGACACTTCGTAAAACTGTGTGCTGTGTTGTATCTCTGAATACCCTGTATTGTACAGTAGAATTGGAAAAGCCCTTACAGGAAGCGAGGACGATCTGGGAAGTGGTATATATATTCCGCGCGTCATGATGTGGCCGCAAGGCGCCTGAGTTCTGTATCTCCCTATGTGCCTTCACAGTGGCACGATGCGCATGCCACGTCCGACTCTTGAAGCAAGCCGTTTGATGGAGAGGTTCGGCATCAAGTCGTCGAGTGTCCGCACGCTGCGAACTCTTGACTATCCAGAGGTTACGTACACGGCATCTCTGCTGCCCGCCAACGGTAAGCCCGTGCTCCGCCTCGTGGGGCACAACGCACGAAGAGGTGTCGCGTTCGCCTCCTGTGGAAGGCTCAGGCCGCCATCGCGCTCTCCGCCCCACGCCCAGAGTCGCAGTGAAAGGTCTTCGCGATCAGCATTTCCGCATCCGACACCGAGAGCGCCACGGCGTGCCTCTCGTCGAAGCCCTCGCGCCCCGCGCGTACCCGCCGGGAGTGAAAGCGCGGATTTCCAGGCTCGGTCGGCCCCCTCTGGCAGGAAATGTGAGTATATGTCCACTTAAGGTCGGCTCCTCAGGGCCAGGGGAAGCATGACATGTGCTTGACGTGAGCAGCAAGCGGTGTGACCCGTGTGTAGAGCTTGCGACACAGCGTCGAAACCCGCCTCAAACGTCGGCCTGCCGCCGCCAGACAAGTCAGGTATACGTACGTTCGGCGGATGTAGTTCTACTCACGAAAGGGGAGTGACCGCGTTCGCGTCGAGTGAGAATCTGACTCTTTGAGGTCGTTTGAGTTCACGGCCGGCGCGGTCAACGCAGCGTACGCACGGACGCGTGCTTCCTGGATGATGCTGTCATCGACATTAGGGACATCTGGTGACAGCATAGGCAGGCGCTGGGGGTATGACACTCACCCCTGTATCGTCTTGATCTCCTCGTAAAGCTCTAGAGGACTGGGGATGTCTTCTTCCTTAAGCGTATTGGCAATATCTGGCCATAGGTCGACGAGAGGGACGAGATCCAGGTCGGCGTCAGGACCAGTGAAGATATCCATACGGATGATATATCCAACGCTGTCCGAGGGACCTTGTTCGCTTCGAATGGATCGAGACGACGCAGAGGAGATAGACGCCGCATCATTGTTGTGCTCTAGCGAGCTATCTGCTAGCTCCGCTGGGTGCACGTTGCGTGGCTCGCTGGAAGTCACTTCAAGATTACCACTTGCTTCGTCTTCACAGTTGGGCGCTGAGAGGGGAGCGGGGTGGGTGTTTCGAGTGTCGCAGTCATCGAGGGAGATTTCGGGGTGAACGGTAGCTTCCGGTGGGCTTCGAGATGCGCGGATCGCTCTCGCGCGCTTGTAATCCTCTCCCCACGCGACACTCATGAGGACCTCGTCTCGCGCAGGGATTTTGATTGCGTTCGTTTCGTCGAAACCCTCGGGCCGAGCACGTACGCGGATGACGACGGATTCGTCAATCCAGTGGTAGCAGTTCCCATACGGAAAAGGCCGCTCCGATGGCAAAGGGGCACGACCAGTGGGGTGGCTCATGTTCGGAAAGATAGGAATACACATATCGGAAGTGTATCCCTTCGCTTCGTTGGGCGGAAGAAGATGAGGGCCTATGGGAAGTGCGCGGAAACGGTACCAAGGCTTGTCGGGGAATGGTAGATCCATTTCCTAATCATAGGCAGTAGGGTGAATATATGTTTTTTGCGAGACGTGTCAGGCTGCAACTCACCAGCTCGAGACATACGAGGTATGTTTTCTTTTGCATCGCGCTAGCCGCGCGCAAGGCTTTGTCGTCTTGTAGATGTCGCACCATTTCGACTGGATTGATACGTATTGCCGCATATGCACCAGGACTTGGGCTGAACCATACGCCGTACTCTTCGACCTGAAGCTCTGAGGTGTCGTCGGCCATGCAGACAATCACGACTGCCGCCGTCGCGAGTGTGCCACTGAATGAGAATCTTGGGTCGATCAGGGTGGGAAGTGTGTGGGAAAGCGAAGGGAAATACGGCGCGCTTAGTCCAATATAAGCACGGGAGATGACTTTGAACCAGCATGGTCGCGATGGACGCACAAAAGTAAGTAAGAGGAAGAACGCCATCTTTTTGTTCGTGCCGCGCGCGGCGGTTGCTATGTTGACCACTGTTGGTGCGTGTGTGTGTCTTAGCGCTCAAACTGCTGACGCGTACTTATTAGCAACTGTCATGTTTCCTCCCCTCGTGTACTTAGCTTTCGGACGGTTCGGGCGCAGAAACGAGGAGCACAGCTGGAGAACGGCCCGGGCGTCCATGGAAAACAACAATAGAAGGGGTTCCTTGCCCTCTTTTTAGTGAGGGCTTGTCCCAGTATGCTTTTCTTCATACGCTAAATGGCTACGAATCTTTCACAGCAGCGCGTTCAGTCACCAGAAGCTGCGTAATTGGAGCGATGCATTAACGCGCCTCGTCCACATCTCTTGCGTGTTATCCGCTCGCAGATGTATGAGCGCGACGCACCTGAATAGGCATGGAGAGATAGTTCGAGCTGTACTAAACTGCAGCGTTGCTACTAGCAGATCTCTCACATGGCTTTGCGACGTACACGTCGGTTCGCACGCAGCTGCATTGCATACGACATCAAAGCAAGGGACAAGAGATGCCGGTGCACATGCGCCCGCCGCGGCGTTCTGCGAGCATCCTCAGCCTCGCAGTCTGGCTGTGTCGGCCCAGCGGGCCGCAGGGCCGTTTGTGCGCATGTTGCGAGGACCCGTGCCTCTCCACCAAAGGTTTGTCCAAAGTTTGCTTGTTGGACCTTCCATATATGGTAATTATCCTTGTCCACTTTGCTTGTTCGAGCTACCAAATTGGGAATAGGCGCCCGCTAGACGCCGAAAGCCTTGTCCATGCGTTGCATGTTTGAGGCCCTCTTGAGACCCAGTCGAGATATTTCGGCCAAATGCTGTTGCATGTTGTGCCTCTAGACTACCACCATCATCAGCAATATATTACGAGACTTTGTGCCGTGGATTCACGCAGGGTTGCGGAACAATATTTCTTTACCGATCCGGATTCCGGCCAAGCGGCGAAGGTGGCGAAGGCAAGTGTGTTAGCGGGTGCTTATTTCGTAGCTTTGCTGATATGAATTTCTCATGCAAACACTTCCAGAGAGCGGCGCGTTCATTTCTCTCGCTTTCGTGGCGACGAGACGATTTACAGACGATCTAGCGTATGTTCTCTGAGCTCTAACATAACCAAATATGGAAAGTCACGCTTGGTAACATCACGTTACTTCGTGACTTACGTGACAACCCTCGTCCGATTTGGCTTGTTTGAGGGCCAAAAGTTTGCTTGTTTGAGGCCGAAATTTGGCGGCGGGATGGACAGACCTTTGGTGGAGAGGCACGGGTCCTATGTTGCGTTGATCAAGTACCCACTCACTCGCAACCACGCGCAGCTGCAAGTCGAGTCACTGTCCGCCCTTGTCGGGCGTGCGATCACAGATCCACAGCTCTCCACCGAGTCGCTTTGTCATGCGCCACGGTATCCCCGCGATAAGGCCTGTGGCCGACGCCCGTCTCGCGCCAAGCAGCGTCCGATCCCCTCTTCTCCCAAGCCCAAACCTACTAACGCGATGGCACCGAAGATGGAGTACGGTGAGCACCGCCCGCACCTTTAGTCGAGAGTAGACGAGTAGAAGCGCGCTTCTGACACGGATCCTTTCTAGTGCGTCTCGGCAACTCGGGCCTGAAGGTGTCTAGGCTCATCTTGGGCTGCATGTCGTACGGCGACCCCGGCTGGCAGAGCTGGGTGCTCGGCGAGGAGGCGGGCGTCGAGCACATCAAGTTCGCGTGCGTCTCTTCGTGCAAATTTACGGGTAATCGCTCATGGTCCGTTTTCTCCCAGATACGAGCACGGGATAACGACGTTCGACACTGCAAACGTGGGTCGCCCATGATAATCTGTGAACATCGTTGCTGATACTCATTCTGACTGCGCGTTGTACTCCAGGTATACTCGAACGGGTTCTCGGAGGTCGTACTCGGCCGCGCAATCAAACAGCTCAACCTCCCGCGCGAAGAGCTCGTCATTATGACCAAGGCACGCCCCCCTCTTCTTTCCCTCTCGCCCCCTCTCTTTCCCATCCCTGACTCAACCGGCCCCTGCGCCTACCCCTTCAGGTGTTCTTCCCGGTCGCCGCCGAATACAGCACGCCCAACGGCACCGCCGCAGACAGCAGGATTGTTAACCGGAAAGGGCTGAGCCGCAAGCACATCTTCGACTCGGTCAAGGCGAGCCTAGCGCGCCTGCAGATGGAGTATGTGGACGTGCTGCAGTGCCACCGGTTTGATGCGGAGACGCCGATCGCGGAGACCGTATGTACGCGCGGGCTGGCTTGGGGATGAATGGGGGATGAATAGGCTGACGTGCCGTGGTGAATGCAGATGCAGGCGATACACGATGTGGTGAAGGCGGGGTACGCGCGGTATATCGGCATGAGCTCCTGCTTCGCCTACCAATGTGCGTCTCCCGCCCTCCCCTAGTCCCCGCACCCATTTCATGCTCACAGCCCTCTCTCGTCCCAGTCATCCAGATGCAGAGTACGCCCCGCCCTTCGCCCCCCTTCCATCTCCCTCTCCCCTTTCCCCACAATCCCACTCACACCTCCGCATTGGCACACGACAGACTACGCGCTCACGCACCACCTCACGCCGTTCATCTCGATGCAGAACCACTACGCGCTCCTCTACCGCGAGGACGAGCGCGAGCTGCTCCCCGCGCTGCAGATGCTCGGCGTCGGCTCGATCCCGTGGGCGCCGCTCGCGCGCGGGCTGCTCGCGCGGCCGAACGCCGCGTCGTCTGCGCGCGGGGACAGTGATCCGTGCGTCCACCCTCCGTCCTCTATCCTCCCGTGCGCTCTTTGCGCCACGTCTTTGGTCGAGATCGAGCACAAACTGCGTGCTGACGCGAGCGTGTACTGCATAGGTCCCTTCGCGGATACAAGACGCCCGCGAACGCGCAGATCGTCGACCGGTGCGCCCCTCGCCCCCTCCCCTCTGCCCCGCTAACACTCTCTTCTCCCTTCGTTCACAGCGTGGAAGAGCTCGCAGCTCAGAAAGGCGTGAAGATGGCGCAAATCGCGCTCGCGTGGGTGCTCGCGAAGCCCGGCGTCGCTGCGCCCATCGTCGGCACGACCAGCCTCGCGTCCCTCGCGGAGCTCCTCGGTAAGTTCCCTGCGCGTTTTACGCACGGGGAGTGGAATTGAGGCGCTGATGCGCGGTTGGGTGTGTAGGCGCGCTGGAGGTGACGCTGAGTGCGGAGGAGGTGCGGTATTTGGAGGAGCCGTATGCGCCGATGAGGTGAGCGGGGTGGGGACGGGGCGTGCGCGATGTGGTCAAGGAGTGGCGTCGGACGAGATGAGGTATGCTGTGTGTTGGTGGGGTCGTTGCCGGCTGCGCGATGTTGTATTTGTGTTGCTGGAGGCTGCGTTGTGTGTATGACAGTCCGAAGAGGTGCATTACGCCACTAGAATCGCTACAGGAGGCGGTGGAGTGATATACAGTACGAATACAACAAAGATCGAAGTCCGAATGAAGTCCGTGGAGAGGCATGTCCGTGTGTCATGATGTCCGAGGCGCAGTGTCCGCAATCCGTTCTCGCTCGCGCTATGACGCGCAAAACGACACCGCGCGAGGGGGAGAGTGGGTGCGTACACCCTACTGCTTGATGGTGAACTCCTGGCCCCAGTTGCCAGAATCGCCCATCACTGCCGCACACGCATACAGTCAGCTTCGTGCCAGATTCACGGGAAAAAGGCACTCACGGACGACGCTGTAGTCATCGCCCTCGAACACCCAGGGGACGGTGACCTCGATGCGGCCGAGCAGGATGTCGAACCCGTCTGCCAGGATCACTGCGCATCGCGTATCCTGTTAGTGTGTGGAAAGGGAGAGGAGAGGAAGGGACGTACGGGGAGTGGAGGTGACGCCCTTGCGGAGGTAGATGAGGCCGACCTTGTTGGTGATGTTCACCGGGGGCGAGGACACGTCCCTACGCACAAGAATTGCGTCAGCACTGGACTGCGACAAGGCACAAAAGGAAGACGGGGCGCACCAGGTGACGTTGTGCGTCTGCCCCTTGTACCAGACTGTGCCCGCGTGCGGGTACAGCACGGGCGGCGCGTACACGTCGCGCGTCTCGAGCGGCGCGGCGGTCGCGAGCTGGAGGAAGACGCCAAAGAAGGCGAGGACGAAGAGGAGGAGGGAGGAGGTGCGCGAGCTCATTACTGGGTCGTGAAGTATGTGGGTCGTTAGATGTGTGGGTGGAATGCAAGCGGATGCTCTGCTGGAGAAGCTTGAGCAGCCTTTGGGCTCCCTTTATACCACTTGTGTAGGGGCAGAAGCGTACCGGGTCTAGTGTTCTGTGGCATTCGGAGCGCGTACCGCGCCGTAGGCAGAGAGCGAGAGATGCACAAAACTGGATCGTCTCTCGCCTTGCACCGTTCGAGGACGGTTCTCGATCGGACCCGGAGCCTGACCAGCGGCGTACGACGCCGTGCAATGTACCTGCTCCTCGTACGTAGGGTGCATTTCCGAACGAACACGCCGGCCATCGATTCCCGCGGGGACGGGGACAAGTGACGCGCACGTGGCTGTATGCGCGTCTCTCGCGTTCGGCGGTCCGTCTTTGTAACATACGTACGATCTGCTGCGCTAACTTAAAGACCGTCTCGTACCTGGGCCGGAAACATTCGAGCTCACCTCTGCCTAGACCCGACCATATGCGTGTCTGACGTACTTGCTGCTCCCCGCGCTGTCTGGACAGTATACAGCCTGCGGTGGGCTCAACGGGCATCGCACACCCGACGCGAATCCGGATCATGGCGCCACAAGTCTGAGGGACGTCAGCTGGACCTGTCTAGTAGGCGCATGCATTACTGGTCAGCAGTGCTCATCGACATTCGTACGCCAGGCCCAGGGCGAAGAGACGATGGAGTGGCGACTCGGAGTCATTGAGTCGAGCAGATTGCCGGAGCTGGACGGCTTCGGCGTGCAAGTCGCTGTATACTGTGCAGGATATGTCAGAGAAGGCGCACGAGCGCATACAGTGGGCTGAGCATACCCGCGAGGATGACGCAGGAACCGAACGCGCATGGCGTGTACACCCGTGAACGTCCAGAGTCAGGAGAAGAGTGCGCACTGGGACGAGTATCGCAAGAGGAGGTTCGAAGGGGCGAGACCTGCAGCCGTATCATCTCAACTGAGCTGGGTGGCCTCTTCGATAGCTGGCACCGCACAGAGCGTGGTGGGAACGAAGCAAGGGCCGACGGCGCCTCGGCCGGCCCAACGGAGACGCGCCCCGACGCGGCCACGTGCCCGCGTTACCGACAGCGCCCCGCCTCCCTCGGTCCCACGCCGCGATCCCTCTTCCCGCACGCGTCGCACTACATACCTCTTCCGTCCCTCTATGCTGCAGTGCCCCGCGACCTTGCCGACGCGTCCAGAATGCGAGCTGCGCTGGCGAGAGCGCTTCCAGCTCGGGCTTCGTGACTGCTACAGGTTGACTACGAGAGGCGTCCCTCCGCCTGCCTGTCGGACTATGCGGACTATGCGGACTCTGTTCTGTCGTGTGCAGGTATAGAATGGCTCATCATATGGCTCAAAGCTCTCCAGCAAATCTCTGTCTTGCATTCCACCCACACATCTTACGACCCACACACTTCACGACCCACCAATGAGTTCGCGCACCTCAGCCTCTCTCCTCCTCTTCGTCCTGGCCTTCTTTGGCGTCTTCCTCCAGCTTGCGACCGCCGCACCGCTCGAGACGCGCGACGTGTACTCGCCTCCAGTGCTGTATCCACACGCGGGCACGGTGTGGTACAAGGGGCAGACGCACAACGTCACCTGGTGCGCTCCATTTCCTCGCTCGCGAGGGTATATTGCTGATCGTGCATACAGGGACGTGTCGTCGCCCCCGGTCAACATCACCAACAAGGTCGGCCTCATCTACCTCCGCAAGGGCGTCACCTCCACACCCCGTATGTCCCTTCCTCTCCTCCTCTCCCTCTCCACCCAATGACAGAATACGCGATGCGCAGTGATCCTCGCAGACGGATTCGACATCCTGCTCGGCCGCATCGAGGTCACCGTCCCCTGGGTCTTCGAGGGCGACGACTACAGCGTCGTCCGTGAGTGCCTCTTTCCTGCTCGTGTGGACTGAGTAGTAGGCTGATTGTATGCGTGCGACAGTGATGGGCGACTCGGGGAATTGGGGCCAGCAGTTCACTATTAAGCAGTAGGGCTACCGACGCACGCGCCTCACCACCCACTGGACTGAAACCCCGCTATGGACATCACCACTAATGGACTAATGGACTTCTTTTATCACGGACGTCATTCGGACTTGGACTATGTTGTATTCGTACTGTACACCGCGCTTTCTGTATTCACACCCTCTCCGACGTATAGTACGCTTCAGTTGCTTGTTGTGTGCGTGTGCGATCCCTCCCTCAGCACTAGGATATAATACACCCGAATCTGCGCTCAGAGACCGAGCGGAAGAAGAGGGCGCGGGCGATGCAGAGACGGAGCACCACATGGGGTATACGCATCGGCGTTCGTATTACAGGGGTATACATATATACATGACTGGAAACATGGAGAGCGCGACGCACTTCGAGTTCGCCCCGTGCGGGATACGTCGTGCAGCGTGCGCGGGGAATGGGTTGCGTGCTGTCTGCGCGAGTTGGCCCACGGTGGCAAGTCCGCTTGAATGCGCTCGCACGTGCTTGGACGGTGCTCGAGCTCACTTGTGGTCTTCATCGTTGTCGACCCGGCCACAGCTCTGCGCGTCCGGGCCCATGCATACGCGCGCATGCGCCCCTGGTGGATGGCCCTGCGCTCGACATCAGCATACACTGGGGGTGGGCGCTGCACGCCGGTGCTCGCCCCTGGATCGTCTCGACCTCCCTACACAGCTGTAGGTATCAGTGGAGAAGCACTCGTGCCGCGCTCGTTCCAGTATGGCTCAATCACGCAGGACGCTGGTAACATGTGATTGCTTCATATCACTTGCAGGGTTGCATTCGCGCCACATGCTACATTGGTCCGTCGTGTATAATTATGTCTGTACGAAGGAGCACTACCGCTGCTTCGCCGCGGTCGTCGCCGACTCATCCCTGGAGCATTGCGACCGATGCGCGGTTCTCCTTGACTTCCAATATGCTCGCTCAAAATGTTCCCAGAGTTTTGACCCTGCAGTGTCGGACTCGGCCGCACGAACCAGCAGGGTTGTGGCTGGAACTGGCAAGGCTTGCGACCTGAAGGCCCGGAATCGCGGTAGTATAGTAGGCATACAGGAAAAGCAGGTGTCCGAGTGTCATGTAGAAACAGCATCAGGTATATAAGATTGCGGTAAGAGAAAGGAGATCAATGCTTCAATGTATGTGGGGTATCCGGTGAGGAGGTTAGAATGCGAGCGCATGCCTAACGGAGACAAGTCGTATAACAAAGGTACTGCAGCACACATGCGGTCGTCTGCGACCGTGTCAATGTCCGCAGGAGCACCGACCGCGCCTCAGGGGATGTATAGTCCAGCTATGCAATGTCCCTGGCGGTTCTCATGCCATCATCGGGTTCGGGCCGTTCGACGTTCGGGACACTGCAAATCCGTTGGGTGCGTTGGCAAGATGCGCCGCGTTGTGGAGACACACTGATAGACCTACTGGGTATACCGCGGCCGAATCGGGCCGACTACGCGTCCCCAATGGACTTCTTTCGCAGTGCGCTGAATCGGTTTGCGAAGCGGGCGAGCGTGTTCTGTCCTTCACGGATCGGTCCCGTGCGACTGGCGATGGTGCTTGCCGCCGACTGTCTTGATGTCTTCTTGTTACTCTGTAAGAAGGGAGAGATACAGTCGGGAGCAGTATGTCGCATGCGGCTGTAGACGAACTTTCTGTACCACACGCGATCCTCCCGGTACATGCGAGGATGCACTCGGTTTGCCCGCGCTTTGATGCGCTCGGGCGTGAACAGCGTGTGGATTATGCACTGAATTGCCTTTCTGCGTCTATCGTTTCGCTTAGCGTATGGAACAAATCCCAAAAAAGCGAAGTTTCGCACCTTGGATATGGTAGACCATCCATCGACCGTGACAGCACTGACAGCAACGCTCCGCCGTCGAGACTCTGTATTGGTCTGCTCCTCGAAGATCGTCGGTATGGCACTGCTTGAAGGCATCATTCGAGACGGAGAGATGGACGCCGTATCACGCGGAACCTGCATTGGAGGGTTGTCAGGGTTGTTATGGCAATATAATTGTACATGCTCGAAACGGTGCTCACCGACGGTGACGATTGCGCATTCCTTTTCTCTCGATAGTCCTGGACTCGCGCAATGAGCTCCAGTACATGAAGAGATGTGATAGTGGGAGGTGACTCACTCGATATTCCCTCTCGTACTCGCGAGCGAATGCCTTATCGCGTTGACACCGGCGCTGCCAGGACTTTCTCAGCGCTTGACAACGATCCTTGAGTTGCTGAGTGGCCTGGAGGCCAAATGCCACCCCGATCCGCCTCGCCCCCTCTTCCTCGTTGTCCGTTGCTGCGTCCACCACCTCGTATCCTCCGTGACGCTTTTTCAAGTTGTTCCATTCATCTTCAGTGAACCATCTTGTTTCGAGGGCCCGTGTTGTCTGAATAGCCCAAGCGATGATCCAGCACGACGAATCAGCCCATTCTGGAAGAGAATGAAAATGGGCATTATCGCAGCCCTCCGGGGCGTTGGGATATACGGGGTGGCAGAAGTAGTGGAACACACGGGGGAGGTCTGCCATTGGTGTTCCTTCGAAGGTAGCCATCAAGCAGATCCAGGCTCTCCTACGGTCGAGCTGAGGATTTTCAAAGTCCTGTAGCAAGATGCAGGGACGTGACTTGAGAGTGGCCTCGTGTCGCGTGCGAAGACTAGCCAGTGACGCCTGGGAGCGATGTCGTTCATTGACGGCGAGGGAAGAGATCGCACGACTAGAGAAGAGGTCTTCTATGGGCGTGAATACTGATTCACGTACAGAGAATACCTCCCCTGCACTATAGAACGAGTCAAGCTCCTCTTCACCGAGTCGGTCGGGGGTGACGCAGTGGGTGCATGGAAAAGACATGGGGTACGACTTGAGAAGCGGATAGTGGGGGGGGGGGAATTATTCATGACGTACCTGCACACGGTCAAGCCTTATATACCGTGCTCTCACCTGCGGTATCTCTCAGATTTCTCAACAGCAGCGATGCGATGCTGGGTTCGCAAGGTTACTCTTCAGGAAGAGACCCATCATGGGTACAAAGCCCAGTGAGTCTGGCGGCAAGACAACAGCGTGGAGCCACGATGAGAAGAAAATGACTTTTGTACTCGCACGCGTTGTTGTTGTAGTCCGAAAGAACCCAAGAATCATCGAGCAGCAGGACAAGAGCACAGATTAGAGCCTCGTGGACCAGTGTCACTCTCACAGAACACGGGCGCCTATGTATACACGCGGACAAGCAGTAACAAACATGGCAACCAGCAGGACAATAACGACCACTTTCGTGTTGCTTTGTACCGCATCAGTAGCTTTGTGCACCGACTATGTCTTGAATCCGCCCGACTGGCTACACGCTGAGCCCCCTCATCGTTGCAAGCTGATCCTCCCTCGTGCTCAACGTAGACCTCTCCTTTACTACCCTAACGAGTTGCCGCTCACCTACCGCCGGCAGGATGCTTGACAGCGCCGCTGCATCTCAGGTCGGCTCCGATGACTCAAACGTATGGTATAGTCCGAGCCCGGGTACCTACTTCGTCCTCCGCATCAATGCCGTCGAAATGGTGCGACATCTCGAAGACGACGATGCGTTGGAGGCTGTAAGGCTCATGAAGACAAAATCTTATCTCATCTGTCTGAACCTGGTACGTGATCACAATGTCTGCACCTGGCGAGATTTGCACATCGTTGAGCGTGTTCGGCAGGAATTGGATCTTCCCTTTCCAGACAAGCCCTGGTACCGCTTCGAGGCGTTTCCTATTGGACCACATCTACCTCCTTCGCGCAAGGCGGAGGGATATACTCCTGATATGTGTATTCCTATCTTCCCCAACTCCAAACACCCCACCGGCCGCGAGCCCGTGCACCCTGAGCGACCATTTCCATACGGAAACTGCTATCACTGGATCAACACCAAAATTCGTATTCGCGTGCGTGCGCGTCCGGAGGGTTTCGACGAATCGAACGCTGTCAACATCTCAGGGAAAACCGAGCTCCTAATGGGATCCATGTTCAGGAAAGACTACCTTCGTGCGATGGACAACGTGAAACTCGCGCAGAAGGCTCACGAGACCGAACTCTCTGATGATCAGCCACGCTCGTCTTCCGCCCATGTTCACGGCCATCCGCTATCTCCGCCACACATATATGTGCAGCCAAACGGGCTTCCTGAGGAATCTACCCAATGTCCTCAGGAGGGAAGTGTGGATGCTGCATCCATGTCTTCTGGGTGGTCGAGATCGAACGAGAGCACACGCGGACCCATGACCAGCGTCGAAGATATCATGCATATGGATATCTTCACCGGACCAGATGAGGACCTCGACCTGGTGCCTCTGGTGGACCTCTGGCCAGACTTGGCCGACAATCTCAAAGAAGAAGATATTGCGAGCCCTTTGGAGCTACATCGCGAGATTGAGCAGGTCCAGAGGTGAGTACCGCGCTTAGCACGTCGACCTCGAGCTCATTTCAAATCAAACAGGATTGTTCAGGAAGCCCGGATACGAGCGTATGCAGCGTTGACCGCTCAAGCATCGGATACAGGTGTGGCCGAAGAGCTCGATTCCGTGACGCCGCGGTCGACAGCCCCAGGTAAGCTGCATAGTACCACTCGACTTGCTTGCGTGTTCTTAAAATGTTTTGACAGGCCGAAGCCGCTTCGCTCGACTTTCGAAGCTGTTCCGTAAGGTATGCGCACCGGGCAAAACATTGGCTTTGCATGTCAGACGTATCGTCCGTCTTCCGTATCTCGTGGTTTGGCCTTGAGGGGACGCGCGGTTCGCGTCCCAACTTGGTGTATCTCTACTACTGTTTTCGATTTCTGTTCGAAGCGCGTTGCGTCTGAGTCCGCGGTTATACAAACAATACATATACCACATTTCCTAGGATGCTCTTCTCCGCACGCCGCTCGACTCGGATGTCTGTCAAGGCGCCCAGGCCCGCCGCGGCCCAGAGTAGACGTAGCGCTACGACGACAAGCAAAATCAAACACCATGAGTCCTAGCAACCAGCCACTCTATTTTACTCCGACTTGAAATTTGAAGTGCTGTGATGAGGAGGCGACATGAGCGATACCTCACGGCCACATGACGAGATGAGGAATACGGGCGCCGCACCTGGTGTATGAGGCAAGCCTTCGAGTGGATGCATAGCATCTACATCGTCAAAAGACGAGCCCAGCGCCGACCTGTAACTCCAAAAGGGTCAAAACGCATACACAAATTAAAATCGCGCGGCACCTACATAAGAGCGTCAGGCGGACTTTTCTTGACGGAAGTTCCGAGGCTTCATTCGAGACTTGAGCCGTCAACGCTGCGTAAGCTCGGATCCGCGCTTCCTGGATAATGCTGTACAGAATACTTATGTTCGAGGATATTCGTGGATGTGAAAGTGGAAACCTGTCAACTCACCTCTGCATCGTCTTAATCTCGCGGTGCAGCTCCAGAGGGCTTGGAATATCTTACTCTTTGAGATTGTTGGCGAGGTCCGACCAGAAGTCAACGAGGGGAACGAGAGGGAGGCCTTCGTCAGGACCGGTGAAAGGATCTACGCGCATGATATCTTCGAGGCTTTTATTGCGACGGTGAACGCTCTCGCTAGATCGCGCAGTGACGCGCTAGTGCGCGCAAGTCCGACAGGAGCGAAGTTTCGGTCAGCCGCCCTGGAGCATTTGATGCCGTTATAGCGTGTGGATTGAGTATTTTGCGGGACAAGACGACGTCACACAAGACAGCAGCTTATCGTTTAGCGCGTTGCCATGTTATCGCGTCTGCTTGTCCGCGCGTGCCAATATAAGCGCCCCAGTCTCGCAATTGTGAACGACTCTACTCAGTACTCACCGATGGCCCTGGACGCTTTTGTTTCGCTGGCGGACTTCTTCATCAAATTATCTCCGACGACCTCTTGTACGCGATATGCGATAGCAATATCTTGGAATCAGCACAAGGCCGAGACTACAACAGCTCTGATCTCAGATCGCGCCCACTCTTCCCGCCGAAGCCGCTCTACACTCTACCGCACCGGTGGAGACACTCTGTATGATCGTAGCGGGGGCCAGCCTCACGCATACCCAACAAAACGTGTACGCAAGGTACCCTTGATGCGTGAAAACGCTCGTCTGGCTTGTACGAGCAGCCGTGACTCCCGCCACATCCGCGCAGCGTGCATGATGCGGCTTCCTGATAGATAGATGAGAGATCACGGAAGTATGCTCCGAGCGGCGGAACTTACGGATACACGACGACTGTGAGCGAGGGCTCGTAGTTGTGGTGTTTGACACGGACTGCGTCGCTGGAGCGGTCAGAGCCGCGTACGCTCGCACACGGGCGTCCCGGATAATCCTGCTCTGAAGGTCAGCATGCGTCCCGGAATCAACTCAAAATATTGATATGGCGTACGCACCCTTGTATCGCCTCGATTTCTTTCTGCAGCTCCAAAGGGCTCGCAATGTCTTCCTCCTTGAGAGTCGCGGCGATATCCGGCCAGAGGTCAACGAGGAGGTCCTCGTCGGGACCAGCGAAGATATCCATGCCGAGGAAGTCGTCAAAATCGGCGCTCTCCCTGGATCTCGACCACTCAGAAGATATGGACGTGCCGTCGCCATCCGGGAGTACGGCCAGAGTGAATTGACGGCCCGCGGAACATTCTTGCAGCCACATCGGCGTGGTCGCGTCCTCGAACGACAGAGGGACCGGGTGTCACTGCCGGCAACGAGTCCTGCAGCGCGGCGGTCTTCCTCGCACGCAGGATGTCTTCCATGAACAGTTTGCCTATCAGAAGCTCGGTACGAGCAGATATCTTGACGGCATTGGTTTCGTCGAACCCTTCCGGCCGTGCTCGGACGCGAATGTGAATCGTGTTGTCGATCCAGTGGTAGCAGTTCGCGTAAGGGAACGGTCTCCTCGGGCGTATGGGCGCACGGCCGGTGGGGTGATTCGTGTTGGGATATATGGGGATGTACATGTCCGGAGTGTACCCTTCCTCTTCTTTCGCAGGAGGCAGGTGGGGTCCGATGGGGCGCGCCTCGAAGCGGTACCAGGGCTTGTCTGGGAAGGGTCACGCCATTTCCTGCACATACAGTCTGAGTTAGCCAGAACGGAAGGCTCGCAGGCTCGAGACGGTGAGTCGGATTGCTACTCACGATGTCTAGACACACGAGGTATGTCTTCGTCTGCATCGCCATGGCCGCTTGCAGTGCGTCGTTGTCGTCGAGATGCTGCACCATCTCGATAGGATTGAGGCGGATTACAGCGTATGCGCCGGGGCTTGGACTGAACCAGACCCTATACTCCTCAAACGGAAGCCTATCTGAATCCGAGTCGTTTGACATCTGGACAGCGCAGGAAGTAGAGTGATGAGCGCCTAGGCAGGTAGCAGGTGCGGGGAGAAGCTTGGAGTAACAGGAAGAGCCGTGTTTGCTCGAATGGAGGGCCCGAGGGTAAAGACGTAGTGCTCGACTTGTGTTGTCGATCGGGGCACAAGGCCATGATCGATATTTGACCTCACGCTATGGTCTGCCCGGTTGCCACGTTAGCCGTCCTTGCTTGCGTAGGTACCAAGTGAGTGCCCTCAGCCTTCAGTAGCAAGACCCAGTATCGAGGCTACAGTGCAGTATTCGCGAATCACAACTGCTGAAGATAGAAATATCAGGTGTCGAAGCCTGGTAGGGGTCCTTAAGGCCACAAGAATACGGCGGAATATATCAGCGTGCGATACTTATCGTGACCCAACAGACATCGCCCACGGCCATGCTCTCCTGAGTGTACCAGCAAAAATTTCAACGTCCGCAGCCCCCAGTGTCCCAGAGAGCAGCGATTCAAGCGGCCGAAGGCAGCAGGAGCCAGGGAGATGGTCAAGCTGTATGTTGCCAGTGCTGCCATATGCTGGGGTATCCGGTGAACGACGATACAGTCGGAGCTTGAAGCGTTGAAGCTGGAGTTGAAAGAGCTAACGTGAGCGCTTATAGCGCCTACGACGCAGGAAAGTTCACCCATCTTCTTCCTGCCCTTTCCTGCGCATCAGGAAAAGCCAAATCCTCCAGACGGAGACGCCCGACTCCAGCGCTCCAGGGGCCTCCATATGGAGACACGTTCTCCATCCCTGCGACAAACCTCATCTCGCGCTTGCTTCGACGTACGAGCTCATAGATCTGGCCTTCCGTAGGCCGGCCGCAATGATTTTAATTGTGAGCGGGGAGGGCGTCGTTGGTGAGTCGCGCGGGGATGCCGTGGGAACGCCTCCATAGGCTCCATATGGCCGCGGATGGAGACAGAGCGTCTCCGCATATTGGGGGGGAGTCTCCAGCGCTCAATCCAACCACCTGTTACCATATAGGGCCCCTGGTTCCTGAGGTCATTCCTGATGCGGGCTGTTACGACAGTCGGAACAGGCCCTTCAACGTGTGGTACGAAAACGGCGTCGATTAGCTGAGGACTTGAACGGCGCATCCTTGCTCGTCAGATGACAAGCGCAAACCTCGTGCACGGTCTAAATCTGCGCATGCTCGACCACGGACGAAGGACGAGAGCCTTGCTCTGACGACTCGGAGGAAGGAATTTTCGACTTGATCTGCTCAAGAACGTCAACCCGTAATCAGTGCGTCCTCGTCACAATGTTCCAACGTGCTGACAGGGTACTAGCGAACACTTACCACGTCAGCATTGTTGTTCATTACAGGAGTTTATGTATAGCTGGCATCTCACATGGCCGGGACCTACCGTTGAACTCGGAAGGTGCGAAGTAACCAGCAGCAATACTCAAGTCAGTCTGGGAGACCGTATCAACGTCCATATAGAGAAATGGGGGCCGACAAGCTCGCTTCATAAGTTGTCTTCAAAGACGAGATCGCGTCATATGCGTACGCGTTGTTGATCGTCGATGCTTGTTGTCAATTTATGGCAGAGACTCTCAACGGTTCGAATCCAGAAGACGGGGGTAAGCGGCCCCACAGGTTAGGCCTGCCTGGTACATCTTGCATACGTATGCCTCTAAGCAGTACTACCAAATTGGCCGATAACCTAATGCATATACTGCTTCCGAGTCGGTTAGGCCCTGGCACGAGACTCGGGCCTTGGACATTCTTCGCACACTCTTGCCCGCTGATTCACTGACATCTCTCGAAGGCCTGGTGCAGCGCTACATATATGTAGGTCTCCTCTCACTTCCTTGTTCTGACCTCTCTCACTTTCTACCGTGTAGGCGGACTTGAAACGAAGATGCCTACATCCGTGCACCAGCCGAGAACGCTATACGACAAGATCTGGGATGACCATGCGATGTACGTGCTCGGTGTAGCCCCTGCGCGTACATTGGGATTGACCATCGCGTTATTGCGCGTGTGCAGCGATGTCGACGAGAATGGGCAGGGCCTGATCTACGTAGACCGGTGTGTCTAGATGCTGCTCTAGTGTGTAATCTGCCATGTGCTTACGGAGAGACGCGTTACAGCCACCTAGTCTTCGAAGTTAGCAGCCCGCAGGCGTTCGAGGGGCTGTGGGTGCATACGATGCTCTGTACGTGGACGATGCACTCATGCAAGCGTCAATGTCTTCAGTCGCGCCGCAGGCCGCCCCGTTCGCCGTCCGGACTGCACGCTCGCAACCGTTGACCATAACATCCCGTGAGTAGTCCGCTCCCGTGGCTTCCCATGATGTCACTCAGTAGCGCTACATTTAGAACCGTTTCCCGCAAGAACTTCACCACCGTCGAAGACTTCGTCACGCAACCCGACTCGCGCGCGCAGTGCATGACGCTGGAGGAAAATGTGAAGGCCTTTGGCCTGACGTACTTCGGCATGACGGACAGGCGGCAAGGAATCGTGCACGTTATCGGTCCTGAGGAGGGCTTCACGGCAAGTTTGAGTTTCTATTCCTGCATCAGACGTGCCTAAAGCCCACTCAGCTGCCCGGGATCACTCTCATGTGCGGAGACTCTCACACGTCCAGTAAGCATTCTTTTGCGTGTCTATTCTCGTACCGGCCCTGACGTCCCCACGCAGCCCACGGCGCATTCGGCGCGCTCGCATTCGGCATCGGCAGCTCCGAAGTCGAGCACGTCCTCGCCACCCAGACGCTCCTGCAGCGCAAGTCGAAGAACATGCGCGTCATCGTCGACGGCACGCTTGCCGAGGGCGTCACCGCCAAGGACGTCGTCCTGCACATCATCGGCACCATCGGCACCGCGGGCGGCACGGGCTGCGTCATCGAGTACGCAGGCTCTGTCGTGCGCGGGTTTAGCATGGAGGCGCGCATGAGTATGTGCAACATGACTATCGAGGGTGGCGCACGCGCGGGCATGGTCGCGCCCGACGAGACCACGTTCAACTACCTCCGCAACCGTCCGCTCGCGCCAAAGGGGGATGTGTGGGATCGCGCAGAGGCGTACTGGCACACGCTCAAGTCGGACGAGGGCGCGAAGTTCGACGTAGAGGTGATCATTCGCGGGGAGGATATCGTCCCGACCGTCACCTGGGGCACATCCCCCGAGGACGTTGTGCCCATTACCGGGAAGGTTCCCGACCCCGCCTCATTCCCAGACGCCGGAAAGCGCGCTGCGGTTGAGCGTGCACTGCAATACATGGGCCTGGAACCCAACACTCCAATGGAGGAGGTCAGGCTCAACAAGGTGTTCATCGGCTCGTGCACAAACTCGCGCATCGAGGACCTGCGCTCCGCCGCGAAGATCGTCCTCTCCGTCGGCCCCGAGGCCAAGATCGCAGATGGTCTGTACGCGATGATCGTCCCGGGATCAGGCCTCGTCAAGCAACAAGCCGAGGCAGAAGGTCTCGACGCCGTCTTCAAGCGCGCCGGGTTCGACTGGCGCGAGGCGGGCTGCTCGATGTGCCTCGGCATGAATGAAGACAAGCTCGTCGCGGGGGAGCGCTGCGCCAGCACGAGCAACCGCAACTTCGAGGGTCGCCAGGGACCCGGCGGGCGCACGCACCTAGTCAGCCCCGCCATGGCGGCCGCGGCTGCGCTGACCGGCAAGCTTACGGACGTGCGCCGGTTCCTGGGTGTGGAGGCGGAGGCGAGGATCGCTGCGGGTCCGAAGCTGAAGCTCGCGAGCGCGGCTGAGTTCCTGACAGACCCGGTTCTTCCCCCTCCTGAGCCAACCGAATCGATGGGTGCCACGGAACGCGCGCTGCCGAAGACCGATGTGCCCTCGAACGTCGGCAAGTTCTCAGTGCTCAAGGGCATCGCGGTCCCGCTGCACATCGAGAACCTCGACACGGACAAGATCCTGCCCGGGCGTTTTCTGAAAGTAATCAAACGGACGGGTCTCAAAGATGCACTGTTTGCCGACCTCCGCTGGGGCGCGGACGGCCAGCTTACGAACTTCGTGCTGAACCGCGAACCATACACGCGTGCACGCATCCTCGTGTGCGACAAACCCAACTTCGGCTGTGGCAGCTCGCGCGAGCACGCGCCCTGGGCACTGTGCGTATTCCTACAGTCAACACTCTGTATGTGACCGACGCTGACGAGTTTCTGTGTGTACAGAAAGGACTTCGGAATCATGTGTGTCATCGCGCCGAGCTTCGCGGAGATATTCATGAATAACACATACCAGAACGGGATGCTCCCCGTCATCCTGCCCACGGAGCAATGCGGGGCGCTCGCGACGGAGGCGGAGCAGGGCCTCGAGCTCGAAGTCGACCTGGAGAAGCAGGAGGTGCGGCGCGCGAGCGGGCAGCCCGCGCTCCCGTTCGCAGTCGACGCGTTCCGCCGGCACTGTCTACTGAACGGACTGGACGACATCGCGTTGACGTTGCAGCGCACGGCGCTGATCGAGGAGTTCGAGCGGCGGCGGAGCGAGGCGTGGCCGTGGCTGGACGGGCTCGGATACAAGGGCAAGCGCATCCCGGTCACTGGTGGGAAGGCGACGCTGGAATGGTGAGATGCGTGGGCGCGCCGGCATGGACGGAGACCATCTTGCGTCGTCTAGCTAGACGGTCCAAACCACGACTATAATTGCATGGTGACCTCCATTTGGCCTTTGGTTGCATGAATACGTTCGCTTGTCATCTGCGCAGTGTGCTCACGAGGTATCAACGGACTGCCGCACTGTCCACGACGAATGCTCCTGTACGTTGCGAATATATTCCTCTGGAATCCGGTTGCAGCTTCTACTGATGACACAGAGCGCACTCTCCAGTCACCAGGCACTACCATTAGCAAGCAAGAGTTACCTGCTTGCGTAGCGCGAAGACGACATGCCTGAAAGTCAGGGAGGTCGATGCCCAGTGCTGTCATCAGTCTTATTCCTACTCACATAGACACCACTCTTTGACCGACCTTCACGACAAATGTTCGGTGCTACTGCACGCATGCCGCGACTCGGATCCCGCAACTCCGATGTCTTCGGAGGCTGACCACGAACCTACCATCAAGAACATCGTCGCGACCGAGACCTTGCCGGCATCTTGCGCGTCTCATCACTCACAGGCACTCACAGTCCACAGGCTCGTTGCGAACGCAACCCCATAAGAAGGCTCAAACGAAAAAGCAGTGATCCCGCACAGGTGTGCTCATCACCCCTCAGTGCTAGAGTTTTACCATGCTGGGTGTTCGGCACGCCCACACGTTCACGCTCAGCCTTCTGGGCGTTGCATGGCTCGCGACTGCCGTCGACCCTCTTTCTGGCGTGGCTACGGCTGCTGTGCTTTCGCCTTCAACAGTCATCACTCCTGATGTGTCCGCTTTCGTCGAAAGTGTTCTCAACAGCTCGACGATTCCTGGGGTGACGACGGGTGTCGTACGCCTTGCGCCCTCCGACAGACAGCCCGTCGTCGAGCTCGCGGCGTGGGGACGTCAGACGGAAGAAGGCGACGGGCATGACCTCACTCCAGATGTAAGTATACTTCGATACATCTCCTCTGAGTATCTTGCTAACACGTTTCTATCACAGGCGCTCTTCGCTCTCGCCTCTTGTTCGAAGGCTTTCCTCGTCACGTCTATTGGCCTCCTCATGGATGACTACGCGTATGGACGCAACGTCACGCCCCTCCCTCCTGCCGTAGACGCTTTCGACTGGGACACGAAGATGCAAGAACTGCTCCCTGACGAATGGGCGCTGCAAGACGAGTGGGCAAACGTGAAAGCGAACTTACGGGACGCCTTTGGACACGTCACAGGCCTTCCGAGGTCTGCACCAAGTCCCGAATGTGCGATACGATATCGCTGACAATTTTGCGCTTTGACAGACACGACTACTCTTACCGCCCCGGAGACACGCATGAAGACGTGGTGAAGCGCCAGAAGCTACTTCCGCCAGCTTGGGAGCTCCGCGAACAATGGTCCTATAACAACCAGGCATGTACCCCGAAGTGCTGGTTAGCGTCGAGGAAGTTTCATCGCTGACTCTAAGATACAGATGTACATGGTGGGCGCCCGCATCATCGAAAAGTACGCCCAAGTACCATACGGGACATTCGTAACGTCCCGCATCTTCAAGCCCCTCAACATGACGTCCTCCACGTACTCGCCGTCCGCTGCCGCACGCACTGGCCGCGTGACGCAAACCTGGACGCGCGGCGTACGTCGTATCCCGTACTGGTTCTCGGACGAGGTCAATGCACTGTTCTCTGGGCCCGGCGGTGCTATCTCCAATGTGGAAGACATGGTACTCATTGTGTTCGCCCGCTTTCGCACATAAAAAAGCTGACATACTGGAATCCAGACAAAGTGGCTGGCGACGCTGTTGAACGGCGGGGTAGACCCGCGGACGAACATCACAATCGTCCCAGCTTCCGTCCTCGCAAACATGACGACCTCGCGCGCTATCGAAAGCGGCGTCCCCGCATTGGATATTTCTATCGTGGGGTATGGAATGGGTTGGTTCCGTCAGTCATACAAAGGCCACGATGTTCGTACTTGCTCTGTCGTGTATACCAAAAATGCTGATACGTGGTGGTTCTTGCAGGCCGTGTGGCATTTTGGCGCCATCCCGGGCTTCTCGCTGCTCGCCGCGTTCCTACCCGCCGACAACCTTGGGGTCGTCATTCTCGCCAACATGGACGAAAATCAGGACGCCACTACGTCTATCCTGTATCGCGTGATTGACGAGGCGCTCGATTTACCTCGGTCAGACGGGCTCAAACTCGACTCCCAGTGCGTTTCTTACAGCGTTTAAAGGCACATCTCCTCTGATTCGAGTCTCTTACAGATCTGACGCGCAAACACCTCTGCTGCGAGTACAAAGTGCAGCCCAAACTCCCGCAGACCCTCTCCCGCTAGACCTCGACGCCTACACAGGCAACTACACCAACGCCGCTTACGGCGCCATCTCATTCTGCGCGCCCACCAGCACATCCGCGTATTGCACGCACGTGCTCTCCGCCTTCGCCCCGGTCGAAGCCGCCTCTGCGAACACCCTTCCTGCCGCTCGGCTCTACGCTGCGTGGCCGCGCGTCTGGTCGTCGCACATCCGCCTCCGGCACACCAGCGGCAATTCGTTCGGGCTAGTGTTCCCGCGGCTCTTCCCCGAAGGATATGGGGAAAACAAGACCGCGTTCGAGTTCTATGACTCGGTCGTGTCGGTGGGAAGGGTCGAGTTTGAAGTGGAAGGGGGGCAGGTGCAAGGGTTCGCGCTGATCACGCAGGAGGACGCGGCGGCAGCGAGGGCGGAGAGGACGAATGGAACTATCCGGGAGATTGGGGACGCGTGGTTCGACAAGTTGGAGTAGGGTTTGATTCGAACGAGGATATTCGCGGGAGGGCGTTTGATGCATGTTGTTCATGGTCATATACCACTGTCTTCTGGTCATTTCGAACGCCCAGCGTTGAAGACGACAGGAGCAGGTCAGAAAAGAATACAGAGAGTGATAAAGGATGATATATTGTGCATGAGATAACGACGCGATTGATATACGATGCGATAGCAGTGGGACGAATAACGAATGACAGCATAGACAACAAAAACTTCAAGTGCAAGGAGCTACTGATACGTGGTCAGCGTGAACCGATATGACGACACTGCTGGCATGCCGCTTACTAAAGAAACAATGACACAGTGCATGACGAACTTCAAGGCCAACAAGGAAGCAATGGTGGATGAGCCTGCCAAAGTGGCGGTCGCCAAAGCAGACGCCCCGCTCGATGTTTGACTCGCTGCCACCTTCCGGGCGCCTCTGTGGCTATGACACCGGTCAGACATAATCTATGACCACGACGAGGCTGGGATACTCACGTGGGGGCTGTGGCCGTCGCTTGACCGGCTGACGCAGAACTATCCCAAGCCTCTCCCGGACCTCCGCAGGGATGAGACTATGTTCCTTATACGCAGACTCCCATCGCGCAAAGGTGCTCAGAATGCTGGCAGTGTCGTGGTCGAGGTCGATTCCACTGTCCTTTGGCGGTAGCTCGAGGTCATCGGGGGCTCGTTCTCGGGCATCGTGGATTATTCTGACGGAGCATTAGTAAACCCGCGCATGATAACACGACAGAGACGAGAACACATACCGCATAATTGTTTCTCTCTCCTTTTCGAACTCGACCGGGCTAGGGATCGTCTCCGCCGTGAGGTGCTCAGTGAGCTCGAACCACAGGTATACGAGAGGCATAAATTCGATTGTGTCGTCGACATGGAATCCAAATGGATCCATCCGGAAGACTGCATCAATCGAATGGTTCGAGTCGCGCCTGCTGTCGTGGGACGCGGCATAAGACGAACTACGCGAGTCGGTGTCGGCGTCATCTGGGCCATCGGGAAGTGAGTCCGCATCATCCACAACTACGCCTTCATCGGTAGGCATAGATGACGGAGGCGAGGGCGACGTGGTCCCATCCTTTGGCGCAGATAAATCTCTAACCGATGGCTCACGGTCGGCGGCTGCCAATTTATCGAGTCGGAATTGGTGTATGCGAAGAAGATCATCACGGAATCCTTGGTCGATCATCAAGTGCTGGTAGTGGTCCACCCTGAACGCATGCGAGCCATCGTATAGGTCAGGTTTTCGGCGAACGCGCAGATTCACGTAGGTGTTGTACCAGTGATAGCAGTTCGGGAACGGGAATGGCGCAGGGTGAGTATGAATGGGATCACGAGGACCGCCAGGATGATGCGTATTTGGATAGATCGGAATGACCATGTCTGACGTGATCCCCTTCTCTTTGACTTGCGGTCGCAAAGTGGTAGCAATGGGAACCACGCGGAAACGAAACCAAGACTTGTCCGGTGATGGGAGGTCCAGTGGCTACAACATAGCAGCACTTAGATGACGAGTCACAAACAAAATAAAGGTGCTTACCGTATCTAGGTAAACGAGATATTTCTTGGGGCGCATTTCCCGAGCCTCCGCGGTTGCAATTGGATCCCGGAAATGCTTGACCATGCCGACAGGATCTAGTTGAACGACCGCGTATCGATATCCAGGAGGGCGAAGCAACTTCATACGAGTAGCGGCGCGTGAGGACCGGAGCAAAGGGATAGATCTGGTGCCAATAACTCCAGGGGGGTGTCGGGTATCGGGCGGTAGGAGCCTCGGGGGTGTGGTAGGTGGCAGCCGTACACGTCAGGCTGTGGGGGCTGCGTCGGAGTGGTTGGTGATCTAGGTAGAAGTGGTGCGCCAACGTTGTGGAATGCAGAACGGCGCGTTCAAAAGAGCCTAGAGGTAACGGTTGGGAGAGGCCCGGTGGTGGGAGATGGTGGCCGTCACGTTGACCGCTGCTGCGAAGCGCGCAATGAAGGAGCGCTGACTAATAGTTTGCATGTATTTGGTCGTGTGGATACGTCGTCCTGCAGCCGGGAAAGCATGAGTCGGCCGCCTGACCCAGTCCGTCCTACCACCGCATGCCAGCTGACACTCCGACTCGCAATCGACCTATGGACGACTACCTTCGCACAGAGAAGGAGCCCCGTTCAATTGGGGTATCGAAATCGATATCAGTGCGGGAACCAGCGCTGGGCTGAGCTGGCGTTTCTAGTGTGTACAACTCCTTGGCAGGCTGACCTTTGGCCTGGGCGCGTCTCATATACCGACCCTGCCCCTGCAGTCGGGTAGTGTCGACGAGAGCTACACATACTCCGCACATCTCCCACCAGTCTCTCTCTTTCAACCCTCGGAGGATGTCTTTTGACGGTTGTGACGACTGTCACCAACCCTCTACGACCCCATACAAGCCTGATCCGCAACTCTACGCCCAGGGAGACATATGCGCAATCTTCGAGAGCCCATCAGTACCCGTCTACCTGATCTTGACTGGGGCCCCTCCACGCAGTCGATCAACGTCTAGGATTCCTCAGAGTACCGGTTCTCTGATGCACAAGCTGAAGGAGGCCGTCACTGGTCGGACGAGCTCACAATCGAACCGCTCGACAGGTTCATCCGACGCGAACCCGAGGCCAGCACTGATCCTCCAAAATGTGATCTTACCGTGCGAGGAAGGCGAGATGACGGTGACGGTATGCCTCTTAGCCACATTCAATTCCACTGTCGCTCGCGAAGACCTTCCATTGGTCCTACGCCACTTCTGCATACCGGTTTCCCCTCACCCCCTTGCCACTGGCGATGAGTGGCACATCCACACGATGCCACAATGGGAGAAGTCGGACACGTGGATCATCGCGATACCCTTCGAGTCCAAGATGAAACACATCCCGGAGAGATGGAAGGACAGGCGTAGGGAGGCCAAACCAGACGGCTCCTTCAAGCTCAGTCTGCAGGCAACGGCGGATTTGCTGACCGAATGCGAGAAAAGGGCACAGGAGTGGGATAGACAGTGTCAGGAGGAAGGTCAAACCCTCGCTAGTGATGCCTTGAAAGACTACGATGTAAGTGCGACTAGTAGTTGCCGCGCTAAGCGTCTTAATCTGACTGCGATGATTCGGTCATGCTTAGGAACACGCCAAGAAAGCCGCCGCCCTAAAGGTTAGTCTGACCTGGTTAGTTCTATCCACTAGCGATCAACCGCCGATGGCTCGTCGCAGGCTGCGAAGTCGAAACGCTCCAGAGGTTCCTTCGGTAGTGGCGGTAGTAGTGGCCGCAGCAGTGGTCAGGCCACTCCGAATTCGCGCCCGTGGAGCCCCACCCACAGCCGATCCGGCAGTGGTCTGCACATGACTGGTGGTTCCCCTAGTCCTGTCGGGATACGCTCTGCTAGTCGACAGTCTCCCAGCCCATCGAAGGGCAGCTTCTTCGCCACGAAGGGGGAGACAACCACGAACGCACTGGTGGCAGAGACACAGAGCGAGGTTAGTCAAGGGTTCCGAATATATGCACTTGAATGCATGAAACTGACAACGCACCTTACCGGCGACGAACACCCTGGAGAGTGGAGCCGCGGGAGCTACAACTAGTCTTCAGGCTGCTACAAGCTCTAGCATACCGCATGGCTTACAGGTCGCCGAGGTATGACGCGTTCCTCGCGCAGATACGCTCACTTTCTGATACGCGGCTGCACAGCATGCATTACCCCAAGGCGTCTCGATGGAGTCGTTGGAGGGTGACGTACAAGAACTTCGGACCCAGACCGTAAGGCCCCTGTCACCATCACTCGTCGGTCCGTCGACATCCTCCCAACGGAGTTCAATGGCGGAAAGCGCACGTCCAAAGAGGATCCCCGCATACAAGAAGATCGTGGTCAAGTTGCCGGCCACGATCAAGAAGCTCACGGGCTCTAATAGCAGCATCGCCGGGGCGTCCAATGGGAGTGGGCGCACCAAGGAGAAGTAGACGACGCGCTGAAGACACCGCTCTACCCATGTACACCAACGATGGCAGTATGTCTCGCCGGCCGAGCACGTACCATTCGTGTGCTACAGGCGAGCGAAACCGGGATCGGGAGGGAGGGCGGGGGAAACTGGGCGGACTGAGCGGCGAAGCGATTGTACAACAATGTATCAGATTTGGTCTCTGTAACGGCAATGCGAGAATGTAACCCACAGCTAGTCCATAAGCGACGATGGCGAAATGGTTATAGTACGCGCTGGAATGTAGGGCGGCGTGCCAGGCGCGCTCGCGCGAAAATTCATGGCCAGTACGGTAGATATGGCGGGCCGGTCGACCACGGAAGGCGCTTGAAGACACTAGTAGCCTTATTGCAGGCACGGCGATACGGCCCAACCCCGCGTGAGGTAACTAAAGCTGAATTCATCAGCAATGGTTCGGTGCGCGATCACTACAGGTGAAATCACCAGAGGCTCTGTGAGGTTCGGTTGTCGCAGGTATGGCCGTAGGGGGGGTGCGGGCGAAGCGGGGGTGGGTCCTCGCCAGTCCACCAGGTCGGATTGCGGAGAGGCTGCAGTCGGATCCTGCACGAACTGAACCGGCATTGATTCGACTGAGCTGTCAGTGAAATCGCTGCCGTCAGACGCATCGTCCGTTATAACGCTCAAGCCATCGTCGTTACGAAGAGGCGTGGGGACGTGAGGCAATCGAGCACGAGCATCTTTGAATATCCTGGAGGCATGGAGTCGTCAGTAGCCGTAGCGCGCAGAGATAGGTTGTACGGACTCGATGATAGCGTCTCGTTCCTGGTAGAATTCCAGCGGGCTTGGTATGGTGTCGGCGGTGAGGCGGTCGGCGAGCTCAAACCATAAATCGACCAATGGAATACGCTGGGCCGCATCGTCAGGTGCCATGCCGAAGACGTCCAACCGAACTATCATCTCCAGTAAGGTCTCCGTGGCTGCCGCTGGAGAATCAGCTCGTGCCGCCTGCAGTTCGTCGTCCTCGCTGCTGCCGGAAGGGGGTTGTTGGTTGTCTCTGGAGGGGCTGGAGAGGCCGGATTCTAGCGAAGATGACCGACCCAGATTGGACGCTGGCCGGACAGCGCTCACAGCGGATCCATGCGCGTCGCCACCGGATGCGCTTCCGTCGCTGTCCGGAGAGATTGGACTATGCTTGGTTTGCTTCAACTCGCGTAAGCGATCAAAGTCTGCTGAGAAACCGTAGCCTATTTCGACGTGCTATTCAGGAGTGATCTCCACGGCGGTGCAGTCATCATATTCGAGGTCCTGCTGACGGATCCGCACCATCATTTTGCTGTCGATCCAGTGGTAGCAATTGGAGAAAGGAATCGGGTTTTGGTTTGAATGGGAGTACGGTCATCGGGATGCGTGTTTGGATATATAGGGATGATCATTTTTGGGGCGATACCAGTGGCAGGCTCCGCAGGGCGCAGGGCGATCGCAATAGGGGCTACTCGGAAGCGGAACCAGTTATTTGTGGGGAAGGGGAGGTCGGTGCTCTGGAACGATCGTTCGGATTTAGGAAAACGTTGGAGGAAAAGCGACACACACCATGTCAAGATATACAAGATACTTTTTAATTTCGAGGGCTTTCGCCCTGGAGGTAGCAACGGGATCATTGAAGTTTTCTACCATTTGCCACGGCATCCATACGAATGACCGCATACTGGAAGCAGGCGGGGGAGAACGACTTCATGATACCAGATTTCCTTCGCACATCCTCCAGTACTTTAAAGAAATGTGAGTCTCCCACAAATAGCTAGATGTTGGCAAGTAGTACTCACGCCAAAAGTGTTCTCCAATATTAGGAGCGTAGTGACGGTCTGCCAAAGGGATATAAGTATACCACTTAAGAATCTGAAGTAGGACAAGTTACTGGATTACGCTGAGCCTATATCCGCAGCAGAAGAAGCATGAGTAGTGCTTTAGGCGAGAAAGAAAGAGAGAGAGAGAGGCTGGCGTTGAGTAAACGGCTAAAAAAATAAGGTTTCAATTACGATTGCCGCGGCCCGATTTTAGGCGCCCGCAATCCGGGAGGAGAGGAGGAGGACGCTCAGGAGGAGGAGGAACAGTTGGGATGCACCACTATCTTCTCCTCTTTGACTACTCTACCTGATGAACGATGCGTAACTTGACACTCTGGACATCCTCTCATGTCTCTCTGGCAGCATCGGATATCGCGGATTCTTCAAGCATCACCGCCGTAGCCGTTGATCTAGACCAGGATTCGCTCTTAGCGGCTACGGAACAGAAAGATGCCTTAAACGACGGTGAGGTGAACATCACCATCTGGAGAGCATCGGAGGGCTCCGAAGGTGTGAGTAGTATTCACACTATCTCTCAGCACTAGCCGCAATGTTTCTTAGGGTATTCCGACTCTGGTCACCAGCTTCCCTACGCCAACCCAGCTTGCCGCCAATCCATGGTCTAAAGGCACTGCAAAACGCCGCGCGCAATCAAAAGACGTGGAGATAGTTCTGCTGCACGTCCTCCCAGATGCGCATTCCCTTGCGGTCATCACCCGCGCCGGAGACATCACCACCGTCGCGTTGGATGAGGACGCGCCGTCGGCGGAAGTGGTTGGATCGATAGAAGGTGGGGTGATGGGTGCGGCCTGGAGTCCAGACGATACTCTGCTTGTCTTGGTCACCGGCGAAGACAAGTTGCTCCTCATGACCTCAACTTTCGACGTCCTCTCGGAGGGTCCGCTGCATCCCAAAGAGTTTGGCGAAGATGCGCCTATCAACGTTGGATGGGGTGCGAAGCATACACAATTTCACGGATCCCTTGGCAAGGCCGCAGCCACATCGTCGGTCCCATCTACAGCAGTAGGTGCGAGCCCGGACGACGATGGACATGTCCGTGTCAGCTGGCGCGGAGACGGAGCCTTCTTCACTGTCAGCGTCCTGGAGGGTGCGACGGAGGTCAGCGCCGCCTTGATCCCCAGGGTGGATTATTCACTGATCCTCATGACCGTAGACTGATGCTAGGCCACATCGGACAGTACGAGTGTACTCGCGCGAAGCTGCACTTCAGACTACCGCGGAACCCGTTCCCGGACTTGAACATGCACTTTCATGGCGCCCTTCCGGAAACCTCATCGTCGCAACCCAGCGATTTGGCAACATCCCCGGCGAGACTACACAGTCGCCAGATTCTGGATCTGGACTTGGACAAGGCCGGGATGGTAGACATGACATCGTGTTCTTCGAGCGTAACGGTTTGAGGCATGGGGAAGTCACGTTGCGGGAATCTCAGAATATTGAAAATGCTGTGAGCGAGCGGCGCAGATGGGGGTACCGTGTGCGCGAGCTCGGCTGGAGTTCCGACTCGAACGTTCTCAGCGTATGGATCGAACGCCAGGACGGTGACCTCGGTAAGCTCCCGTTCTGCGCGACGACGCCGTTTGTTCACGTGTTACAGTGCAACTATGGACTATGGGAAACTATCACTGGTCAGCATCGGTGCTGTTATTTCATCTATCCGTGTTAATGGCTTCTCAGGTACCTGAAGCAAGAGATCACTGCTCCGCTAAGTGAGGATGTTGCGCCGGGTCGTTTCACTTCCGTTAGATGGCACCCTGAGGACGCATCGCGTCTTATTCTCACTACGTCATGTATGTTCAAATATGCTCAAGCTTTCTTCGCGTCGCAATTAATGTATGATTGTAGCGAGCATCATCCAACGCACATACGCCTGGGACATGTTCGCGTCCCCGTGCCGGCCGCCCTTCGACTCGGGGTCCGTCGCAGTGATCGATGGCAGTACGTCCGCAGTTTGTTTGTCCTGATCTTTGACGCACGCTCACAACGCATGCAGCCAACGTGCTGCTCACACCATTCCGAAGTCAAAACGTTCCGCCCCCCTTGGCGTCACACACCCTCGCTCTCCAGCTCCCGCCCACTCTGCAGCCCACTCTGCCCCAGCGTACCCCGGTGCCCATCCATGCTGCGTTTTCGTCAGCGCGCGACCTGCTCGCCGTCTTGTGGGAGGCGGGCATCCTTCAGGTATACGACCTGCAAACCCGACTGGGCCCTGGACGCGGTAAGGTCGTGGACCCCGTGCTGGTCTGGTCAGGTTCGCTGGGGCCGAAAAGCTACAGACAGGTTGCGTTTGCTGCCAATGGCACCGATGCGGATTTCCGCCTAGCGGTACTGGGATCAGACCCCGGCGGAGACGCAGTCGACGTTGTCTCCGTCCTCGACATCTCAGGGAACGAGGTCGTGCAGACCACGGATGTGGCGTTCGTCGCGCACAACGGGCGTCTAATTCCTTCGAGTAACATCGCGTGGGAGGCCCCAGATGGCGAGGTATTCGAAGGTGAGTGTTTGTTTCGTGAAATTGAATAAACGTCTGATTTCTGTGCAGTGGATGCTGGCACTAGAAGCGCGTCCGAAGTGGCGAAATTCCCAGAGTTCTGCTTCTGGGCGGCCCACACGTTCGTGAGCACAGATGACAGCGCCTCGCCTGCGTCGCTGTACATTGGGCTCTCGCGAGGAGGCAAGCTACACGTCGTCAACGGCGACGCCTCGCGTATACTGGCAACGAATGCCAGCTCGTTCACGCTCACCCCCGGGTTCCTCATCTTCACGACCACGGCGCATGTCGCTCAATTTGCACCCCTGAAGACGCTGGGTGCGCTCTCGGCGACCCCTGAAACACCTCTGCCGGAGTTCGAGTCGCGCAGGGTGGAGCGTGGGTCGAGGATTGTGACCGTCGTGCCGAGCACGATGAGCTTGGTCTTGCAGATGCCGAGGGGCAACCTGGAGACTATAAACCCGCGCCCGCTGGTCATGGAGATCGTGCGGCAGGACATCGACAAGTATGCTCCTCACTTGATGGACTCCTGCGTTTGCGTAGAGACTGACGAGAGCGCAGTGGAAACTACGGCAAGGCGTTCGCTGCGTGCCGGAAGCACCGCGTCGACTTCAACGTGTTCGTCGAGCACGATAAGGAGGCGTTCATCAGGGGCATACCGTCGTTTGTCGAGCAGGTGTCCGACGTGGACTACATCAACTTGTTCTTGACGAGTCTAGGGTGCGTTTCATCCCCCCATCGTCCTCGAACGAGCGGGCTCGGTTTTTAACTATCGTGTACCAGCCAGGGCCCTTTGCCCTCTGACGTCGTGGCACGCATATGTGACGAGGTCCGCGCGGAGCTCGAGCGGAAAGACCTCAAGACATACGTCAACTCAATACTGACCGCGCACGTCGTCAAGCGTCCGCCCGATCACGAAGCCGGCCTCGCTCTCCTTCTGCGTTTGAAAGGTTCGCTCGTGGTTGTTCATATGGAATGAACCATCTGCTCACACGCGTCGCAGAGTCTGACCCGGAGCTCGTGGAAGACGCCGTCAAGTACATCATCTTCCTTGTAGACGCGGACAAGCTCTTCGACACTGCGCTCGGCATGTATGACTTTGCCCTCGTGCTGATGGTAGCGCAGCACGCCCAGAAGGTGTGTATTCCGGGCTGTAATGTGGGAATGACCTGGCTGATAGCGCATATACACAGGATCCGCGGGAGTACCTCCCTTTCCTGCGCGAACTGCGTGCATTGGACCAGCACTACCAACGCTTTCGTATCGACGACCACTTGCGGAGATACGAGAAGGCGCTGACTGGCCTCAGTCTAGCTGGTGAGGGCGTCTTCCACCCTCCTGATGACGTGCATTGACATCGTATCAGGCCCAGAGAGGTTCGAGGAGGCGATGGCTTATGTGGAAAAGCATCAGCTGTACGACCATGCCCTCTCAATATGGCGTGATACAGACAAGTACCAGGTAAAATGATTCAGATTATCCGATTTAACACTCGCGCTCAACCCCTTTCAGGCGGTGCTCAATATCTACGGCGATTGGCTTTTCGAACGTCGAGATTTCCGTGACGCCGCTTTTGGTGAGCATCGAAGTTCCAAGCGCAGTGGCTCCCGCTGACTTGCAATCCAGTGTTCCGCCAGGCGAACAGGCTCGAGAAGGCAATGATCGCACACGAGAAAGCGCTAGACTGGCAAGAGCTCTTTGAACTGGCTGTGCAGCAAGCGCCTTCGGACGAGGAGTTGAAGGACACCGCGTATCGTGTATCTGGTACGTTTTCGTACGCTGTGCAGGTGTGATGTGGACGCTCAAGGATGCACAGAGGACCTCGTTACGAAGAAGCGGACGTCGGAAGCCGCGAATGTACTACTCGACTACGCTAAGGACGTGCGCGCCGCCGTCATAGCACTTGTTGAAGGGAGTCATTTCTCTGAAGCTAGGCGTATAGTAAGTTGTACACTGTCCAAGCATGTGGCTAAGTTTGACGTCGGAGCAGGTTGTTTTGCATCGTCACCCAGAGCTCCTAGAAGAGATCATCCATCCCGGCGCCCTCGAGTGCCGCGCACGCCTTACGGAGGAGATGGGTGAGATGCGGGAGCAACTTCGGAAGCAAGTGAGCCGACTCAAGGAGCTTCGTGTTCGCAAGGTCGAGGAGCCTGGTGGGTAAACACAACAAATGTTCTCGATAACTTCGCTCACATAGCTCCGCAGAGGCTTTCTATGGCGTCGAGGATACGGACCTGCACAATGTCGACGTCATGACCGACATTTCCATGGCGCCGACGATGTTCACACGCTATACCGTTGCGCCGTCCGCTATGTCCAAGACGTCTTCAAAGTAAGTCAGGGTCGTTCGTTCAGAGACTTCAGAGACTGATCTCCTGTGCAGGCGGAGTTCACGATCCAAGCGCAAAATGGAGCGTAAGGTGGGTTCTGGGCGGAAGGGCACCGTGGACGAGGAAGAGTACCTCCTGAAGTCCATCGGAAAGCTTGTCACAAAATTCAACACGACCCAGGGTATGTCCCCGCTGGTTTGTCATCTGTTTCACCGTAGCGGCTGACAGACTTCATCTCGGCAGCCGACTGCACGAGCCTCCTTCCTCACCTCCTTCAGTTCACCGATGAGCATCGAGCGGAGGCGGCTTCGCTGCAGCAGGAGCTCTCAGAGCTCGCCGGGGAGCTGACGGAGGTCGTAGAGGAAATCTGGAAGAAAACACCCGAAAATGAGGAAGGCACCGAAGCCGCGCCCGCGCCCGCGACGGACAGCTGGGCTGCGCGCATGGAAGCACACGAGAAGCAAAAGCACATCAATCCCGTGGATAAGGTGGCCAAGCCCGACCTTGCGCGGCCTGAATGGAAGCTCAGGCTGCCCGATGCGCGCGCCTAGGAGGCGATGATGAATGGTCAGGGGGTGGCGGACGTGAAGAGACGGAAGCAGAACCGATGTTGTACCCTAGATATACATAGCAGCAGATGTAGCGCGATCCGTGTAGCCTGTAGCCTAGATCCTCAGAGTCAGAACCCAAGAATCTCGTTTGCCGCCGCAATCACTTCGCGCTCTCCGTCGTTCAGGAAGGTCTTCTCGCCGAACGGTTCAAATCCAAGCACGCGGCGGCCATCTGGGCTGGCGATGTCTTCCAGGCCGCAGCGGCCCACAAAGCGCGATTCGCCTTCGCCGCCCGGGAAGTCGCTGTGCGCGGAATGTCAGCATATGTCGCGGCGAACGCACGCCCGAGAGATTCTGAACCACATACGGAGACGGGAGGCCTTGCAGGAATGTGGCGCGCTGGTCGCGCAAGTAGGCCGCGCTAGTACGAGTGATGATAGGTCAGCGTTCGCTCGGTGGCGTTTTTAGACTGCGAGGAAGCACACGTACTTCCGCTCGGTGAGCGGCACGGCGGGGATGTAGAGCACGGAAGAGTCCGCTTTCCCGTTGTGCTCGCTCTCGACCGCGTGGACGACGTCCGTGTGCCCTGTGATGATTGCGCAGTCAAGATATGCACGAATAATCAAAGGATATCGGACAGATGCTCACAGTATACCTGGTCCCCGGGTTCCACCCTGGGAATAGACACGACAGTCTGCTCGACGCGCAGATGGGGGTGGGCCTCTGCATTTATCGCCTGGGTCTTCCCTGGCTGGCTCCCTGGGAAGGTCGGGTTGTCGAGGTCGAGCACCCACGCGTCCGCATCCAGCGGTATGTCGGACGGCTTTGTCACGCCAACGGCATATTCCGAGCGCAGGCGGAAGAACGGGCGCAGGATAAGGTATGCCGTGGTGAGCGACAGCATCGGGAGGACGCGCAGGGTTCCTTCACCGGGCCCGGTGCTTGACAGCGCCGTCCACCCCTGCCACGGGCGGAAGATCGAGCACTGGTTGCTGTACATGGATGTGAGCAACGTAGTCAGCATTATTTATACGAAAATCGCGACTTACGAGGCGTTGTATAGATCCTGATTGGCAGTAAGGCGGGGCGAGACATCGAACGGGTCAAATTTGCGCCAGGCCTCACCGCCCTCAAGGATGTGCTGGAAGCACGCACGGAAACCGGGGTCCTCCCAACGCTCGATGCTCCCGCCGTCGATATGCGGACCGAGCGTGAATACGCTGGGACCTGGGGGCCGGATGCGGAGGCGGTCGAAATATGAGACCGGAGTGCGTACGCTGATGAGTGAGTTCGGGTCAGATGTGTGCCAGAGCGACAGCAGGTACTTCTGCGTCGCGATAAGCGCAGGGTGGGTGCGAGCAAGGACCTGCGCTTTAGTGTTGTAGAGCTCGTAGAAGACGATAGCCTCAGGAGGGGGCGGGGATCCTGGAGGCATAAGTCAGAACACGTGCATCCTCGGCATCGGTGCGCTTACCTCTGACTTTGTCCTGGTTCGCGGCAACATAGTCCCTGATAGACTGCTTCCAAGCCAGGGCTTCCTGTCGGAAAAAAGAGAGGTGAGCGATGATAGCGTTCTCTACAGCACCGAGCACGGACCTCCTTAGGGACACCTCCCTTGACAATCAACACGCCCGTCTTCTTCAGCGTCTTCAGCTGTTCCTCCGACAACCCCTTCTCGACATCCGAGTACGGCACCTGCAAAATCATCTGCACGGTGACGTCGTTAGCACCGAACCCAACATCACCCCGCCCACCCGCTCCATACCTCGGAACCACGCTGCTCGATCTCCCGTGTCGCGCCCTCGAGCTCCCGCAGCACGCTCCGCCAGCTCTGGGTAATAGCCTCCGGGTCGGTGCATATCTCCTTCTTCAGGTCCGCGAAGCGCGGCGGGAACGGCGGGCCTTCAGAGGTGAGGTTGGTGAAGATGTCCATGATCGTGCCCTCTTTCTTCATCGGCCGCCGCGCCTGTGTCTGCGCAACCTGAGCAAGGGTCCGCACGCCAACCGGCCGCCGTGCAGCCGCCTGGGACGAGCGCACGGTGGAAAGGATGGGGCAGCGTCCAGCTACAGAGCTATAGGCGAGTCGATAGGTTGCGACGGGCATGTTGGCAGTGTGTGGGATGTGGAAAATGCGGGAATGCGAGCCTTCAGGCCTCTATAAATCCATGGCCGCCCGCGCCTCGATGCCGAGTCAACATCATATGACCTCGATCGCGAGGGTTCATACGTTCATGAAGCATCGGCCCCCGTTGACACGGGTGCTACCTCGCCGCGTCCGCGCTCGCCCAGGCGTCGCAGTACACCCACGCGACGTTCGCGACAAGCTTCTAGTGTGCCCACGAGTGAGGGTGCCTGTCTAGCCGGCGGCGGCCATCTATCATGGGCTATCATGAGTGTGCCATTTGCAAAGTAACGACGGACGGTGCACCCCAGAGCGCTGAGCGGGGCAGCCATTCTTGACGTTTTGAGTTTCGCCGATATTGGCCCGAGGTTTTCCCGGAAATCCAACGGCACCGTGGGGATTCGGTAAGTAAGCAGTACTGATCCATTTGTCTAAGCTATAGTCCGAGTGTAAGTGTAAAGCGTCCACATATAACAGTAAAAACTAGATGACAAGAGCGTCAGTCGGACCGAGCATAAAGACGACATTGAAGTCGACTGACCTAGATTAAATCCTCCAGGGCCTCCGCTCCAAACACCACTCGGCGTCCTGCGCTTACCGCGCCTTCCTGCTCTCCTCGGTATCCTTGAGGACCTCGCTCTCAAAGCGCACGCGCCCCGTGGCCTCCAGCCGGCGCACGATCACCTCGCCGAGCGCCGTGGCAGGCGTGAGGATGCCTCCGGGTCGCGCACTCGGAGGTAGCGAGGCGTCGTCGAGCAACAGTCCGAGCGCACATTCTGATATCATGCCTGGGCAACAGAAGAGAGTGGGGAAACAAGCCGTAAGCGGGCTGCGAACGAACGGAGATAGAGAGAACAAGGCACTCACAAGCGGTCAGGCGGTAGCCCGGGTCGCCATCGCCGTGCATGACGGACTTCGCCCAGGTTTTGGGGAACGACGCGGTCTCGGTGTAGTTCGTGAGCTTGAGGAAGCCCTTGTCCATGTCCCTGTGATGTCCATCAGGAGATTGTACGCGCAAGACGACGCGCGGGTGCCTACTCTTGAGAAGGTCCATCACCGGACTGGATCAAAAACTTCTTCACGACCCATCGAATCTGCGAGAAGCGGAGGTATCAGCCACGCAGACCTTCGAACGTGCGATCAGCGCATTATGCTTACCGGCGTGACCAGCAGCAGCCCTACGACCGCAGCCAGTACTGAGCTGTAGAGCACTGCTGACAAGTAGCTGCCTGAGCTGGGCACCAGGTACTCGGCGTAGCTAAACGTGGGGCCATACGCGAGCGGTTGGAATTGCGCCTCTTTCTCTTGCGCGCGCTTGCTTCCAAACAACGTGAGCACGTTGTCGAGCGTGTACTGGTACACCCCGTACGAGCGCTGGACGATCGCGCGGTTTGTGGCTCCCATAGGCCACAGGGCGCCGTATTGGGGCGGCGAGGTAAACGGCTCGCGTGTCGCAGGACGGTCAGGCGGGCTCGACGATCCGGGGACTGCAAGAGTCAATACGGAATCAGTACTGTTTTTCTCGGCGCATATAGTCAGGTGGGCCTAACGCACTTGGGCTTAACGCATAGTCTCTGTACGACTCCGCTACGCGTACCCGGGGCACTTTCTCGATCATCGTGATCATCGTGGCGAGCGTGCCGCCTGAGGGCTTGACGCGGACCGAGTAGTACGACTGGGAGAGACCAAGCTGGGTCTGCACGCCGAGTGTGGTCTTGAGAGTGCGGTTCGAGAGGTACACGATAATGTCTGCGGGAAGGGAGTCTAGTCCGCATGAAGGAACGATGATGGCGCCCGTCTTAGTGGATAGATAGTCGAAGCTGCACGGACCGTCAGCATCCAAGTGTGACTGTAGCTACCATGGTCGAGTGAGGGAGTAACGAGCAAGGTCTAGGAGTGACTTCTACTGCAGCGGCCAGAATTCGCGGCCTCCGACGCACATAAGTATTCAGGGAAACACGTCCCACGAAACGAATGGAGGCTGCATGATCGCTCAGGAAGAGGTGGTGGTCAAGGGCACGATGCGTGCTACGCGACGCGCAAGTTGATGATGTGCCTTCTCCCCTCCCACCGTGGCCGCCCAGTCACAGTGAGTCCAAAATCTCACTTCTCACCTTCATTCCCACAGCTCTGATACATGCTCGAGTAGAGGTTAGAGACTCACTTCTCGATGATGTTTCGCACGAAATACGGCTCGCCGTTGATATCGACATAGCGCTTCCCGTGCACGGCGCACGCGCTAGAGTTTGTGGGCGCATGAGCGTCGCCAGCCAACATCTACGCTGATACCACTCACCGCACGACGTTCGTCCCCCACAGCCAGAACGGGCCCACGGTGTTAATGATCACCTTCGCGCCCTTGACCGCGGCCTCAACCTGCGCGTAGCTCGCGACGTCCAACTCGACGAATGGCACGCTGTCATCGAGCCCGAGCGACTGCCTGAGCGTGTCTGCCTTCGCTTTCGAGCGCACGCCGATGGCGAACGTGAACGTGGACCGTTGTGGGTGGTTGTAGAGATACTGCGTGATGAGACGGCCCGTGAAGCCTGCAAAACCCCAAAGAAATCGTTCGGGATCAGTCCGGTGGGGTAACGAAGTCCTGCTGACCTGTCGCGCCGAGAACGAGGATATCCACCATATTTGGGCTTGCGTTGGGTCGGAGGACGTGGTCGGGTCAAAAAGAGTGTCAACGTCGTCGTCGTCGTCGTGGGGAGAAGAGAGTGGCTTTGAAGTTTGCTGTGAAATCCCGACGTGTTGGCTCGCGCAGTGAGGTCACTGAGCGGTGCGCGCATCGCGCTCTGCCCATATGCAACATTGTCAGGCACGCGAGCGCGACGACTCCGAGGCACTGCGCACCACAAATCCACAACCACAGCTGCTCATAATACACGAGACTCAGGTACATAGTAGTATTGGGGAGCAGCGGAGCGGAGGAATAAAATGTGCGAAACGCGCAGGTACGCGAAAGCAATATGTCGCTGTGGTGCATAGCCATCGTATGTCGCGCACAACCTCCATATGTGGTGTACAGGTCCCCAGGTCGACGTACATGAAAGCCGGGCACTGCTCCGAGAAGGTGCGTGACGTATACGTAGTTCCCTTGATAAATATATGTCCTGTGTTGCTGGACATGTGTAATGGTGAATGGTCGGGCAGCTCGAGGGGCGCATTTGCACAGACAAGGTCCCCAAGCAGTTCGTATAGCCGATGATACAGTAGAAAGTACAACAGAGCGCGAGGTTCACTGCAACCGCAAGCGAGACGTCAGCGAGGTTTCCGCGAATGGACAAGGAACGACCTGCCTTGATGAACTTCGCCATGAACTTTCTGCACGAGTCGCGCCATTCGTCAGCGCTCCCGCACGCACTAAACGGGGAGACAGCGCAAGGAAGACGCACTTGTGGAACTCTGTCCGCAACAGATCGTTGACGAAGTGCGGCTCCTTGTCCTTGTCCCGCGAGCTCATCGCCTGGTTCTTGAAGATGAGGTCTGTCGGCCGCCGCGGAACATTGCGTCAGCACCCTCCCTGCCTGCTCACTGGAAGCGGAATCCACGCACCGTCGTCCCACCGCCGCTTCACCGCGAACGTGCCCGGCTTCGTCGTGTTCACGCCGTTCGGCGTCTGGCCGAGCGCGGCCGCAAGATTCAGCAGCGGGTTCGCCGTCGCGATCTCCGCGTCGCGCTCCGCCTGCGCGGACGCAGACTGCTCCCGGTCCTGCCGCTCCTTCTCCTCTGCTCGCTCCCGCTTAATCTTCTCCAGCTCGCGCAGGAGTTCTGCCGTGTCGTCCTCCTCCTCGTCCTCATCCTCGTCCCTGGTAATTCAACGTCAGTTTCGTCACAACGCACCGCCCAAATGAGGGAGAGCCAAAGGAAAGAGACGCACTCTTCGTCGTCGTCCTCATCTCCGTTCTCGCCCTTCTCGCTCTTCTCGTCCTCGTCATCATCGTCCTTGTCCAGCTCAAGCGCCTCCTGCAACAACTTCCTGCGCTTGTTTGACTCTTCGCTCTGTCCCTCCGTCGCCGCATCAGCCCCGCTCCCGTTCTCCACGGCCAGTGGCGGCTTGCCCTCTGCCTTGCGCTTCCGGTCGCGCGCCTCCGCCTCGGCCGCGAGCAACTCTGCGCGCAGGTCCCGCTTCGCTACCTCTGCCGTTGACGTCTGCCCAGGTTGTCTGCGTCACACCGTCTCACGTCAGCATACTTGATCAAGAGGTTGAATGAGAGTGGGGACGCACCGGAACTTGAGCTTCGTGTGTGCAGCCATGTCTCGCACCGAGAACTGGCGCGAGCCACCCTTGACGTCTTTCGCCTGTGCTGGATCCCATGTCGGCCTATGTGCTGTAGACATGTCGCTTGAGGGTCTCTAGATAGTCGGCAAGCTAGTTATGGGGAGCTACGCGGAACGAGCAGGATGAGGGGTCGCCACAAAGTTGAGTGTTTTGGCGCCCGTCCTCAGCGCCAAGCGTCTCTTTCTCCACGTGGGCGCGCCCGATCCGGATCGCTCCCTTCACGTCCAACCGAGTCGCGAAAGTACTCCGAGTCACGAACGGTATCATGTACACTTACTACAGGTGCATTTCTACCGGCGAATTACAAGAGAATGCACAACAAACGTGCTCCGGTGTAACTTGAACTGCAACCATTATCATTGCACCCAAAGATTGTCTACCCGTCCCTGGCCTCAGGCCCCAAGTTCCTCGTCGTCTACGGAGGCCATCCTACCACAATACATCGGGTAGTCGACTTGGGAGTTCCCCGTACTCGGAATACATGCATATACTCGCGGGTCAGGTGCGGCAAGACGCATTCTTGCCTGCAAATAGCTGCAATGACATCTTTATCACACAGTTGTACTCGGGAGCCTGAGCCTGTGTGGTCCAGGGCCCTATTCATAGGCAAGCCGCTCTACCCCGTCCGCTTCATGACTCGAGCTTCCAAATCACTCCCAGAGGATGAAACCTTGTCATCCCATATACCCTTGGGGTCCCTGTGTATGGCTCATCTTTGTTGTGTGATGACTCTCTGTGTCTGAAGACGCGCGCTGGATTTTTGTATGCACGCGCACGATCGCATCCTCGCGGGCATCGGATTTGTTATGTAGTTGTCTGGTGTGTTTCTGTAGGTTTTATTCTCTGAGCTTACGAGCTTGTTTCAAGCAAGCCTACATCACTGACTCTCACGAACGCATACAGGTCAGCGCCGGGGTCACTACTAGCCGTCCGGAGCAAATTTCACGACCGCGGCCAGCACAATCCAAGTCCCATCAGCACCCGCCCATGGCAAGCTACATTTGACACCCAGTGCATCATGGTAGTTTATTTGGAACACCGTATGCGCTCACTGACGTACTTCATTTCGGGATCTTGCTAGCCGGCGGGATATCCCGCAACTAGGACGCCTCCGCTCCTCGAGCAGCATAGTCCCTCCCCTTACCACACGAGCGGAGATAGGCCGAGGGATACTTTCCGCGTCCACAACATCGGCCTGCCACATACACGCACTAGTCATCCCAGATGACCGGCACTAGAGCATCGCCCATGACATCGGAACCTTGAGCTTGAGCGTCCTGAATCGCCCGCAGTGACAGCCCTTCATGCCTCGACCCCGCCCGGATTGTCGCCCGCTGGCGGCTGCAGGGTCGGCGCGGGATGACGTGCGCCAGAGCGCCGAACGCTGAACGCTCAGCGGCAGAGAGGGGGTGGCGCAGCGTGTGTGCGTCCATTCAGCGGGGATACCGAGGTCTCCGTGTGGACGCGAGCTAAGCTCATGCCCGGGCTTGGCCCGGTGGGGGCGTACTCGGGCGCTGGCGCGGGTGGGGGATGTGCTAGCCTTGGGAAAAGATAGTGGCGAATCAAGGCTCCTCAGCGCCGCGGCGGTGGTGAAGGTACGTGAAGTCCGCGGAAGGCGGTGAAGACTCCGATGAGCGCAGAGGTAGAAGGCCGTCGAGGATGTGGTAACGTAGTACGTTACCGAAGCTAGTACGATCCCATGCATAGCGCCGTGAGCTCTGGCAGCGACGTGACGCCGTTCGGGTATAAATGCACGGAAGAAAAACATCGGCTCGGTCTCCCGCACCCCAGAACGGAAGGAGTAATCGCGGACCGCTCTCGCCCCCGCCTCGGCGTTTAGTATGACTAGCTTAGCGACAAGCTAGCGAGTCATCGTTTTCTTGAGCTTCAACGATAACTATCCGGACAATCCAGCAACGACTTGAAAGAGTAACCTGCGTAGAACGACCATGGGCCAGTATGTTTATTCCACAGTTTCCGAACTCACAAAATTCTCACTGCTATCCGCTGTAGATGTTCACTAGACGCTGCGTAGCAGACGTATAAGCTTAAGTGCATCCGCTGGCACTTTTCTGTCACCTCTGCGTGGAGTGTAGAAGCTCTGGTAGATTGGCAGGCGTTCCGGAATTCAGACGCTAGAATCCCTAACCACATGCACCTATAGGAAGGCGTTACACACCAAAATACGGTAAACCATCGTAACTAATTCTCAGCAGCTTTTCCCCATTCAAAGGACAACTGTACATCTGCTTGGCGCGGAAGAATACAATGCATTACTTTTTGGGGACATCTGCAGTGAGTCAATCTCCCGCGCTCTCTCGTTATGCAGCCGCACGTGGAGTCATCACCGGTGTGCTTGGGGAACGCGGGTCGCACAGAACGCCGGTCAATCCCGCGGTACCTTGTGCCTCAAGCGTGTGTGACTGTCTTCCAGGAAGCATTACGGCCATCTCGTGATACTGTGCTCAGGCCTTCAGACGCTCGGAGTTACCTATAGGGACGCCATGGTAACAAGAACATAGGTGCGCCGTTCGCGAACTCCATCCACATTGTCCCAGCTGACGGAATGCTGGCGTGCACCGGACCACCCGCTTGTATAAAGAAGTTCGCGTCCGGCCCTGGATCGTATCAGCATACAAAGACACATCATCATCGCGACGTCGGCGGTCGCGATGAGCGACTGATTGCAACAAAGCCTTACGGAGGTCCAAGTAGTTCGCTTGGTCGTGCCCCGCTTTCCGTAGCATCCTATAGGTTCTACAGGGCTTCTCTCATGAAGGTGAGCTTCGGTATCTTGATTGCGATCATTATCATGAGTCTTTCTGACATGTTTGATGTTCTTCGCCTTACAGACTGTTCCCGGCGGACACTCTGGAGCGCTAGGGGTTTTCCAGCTTCGCGAGCGGTCTCGTCAGAGCGCATGGGCATGGCGAGTAGCAACTTCTTCGCCAGACTTCTATGTGCCACTCATAGTTTTCATCAATTTCTTAGTTGCCGGTCGCTCATTCATGAGGATGCCTAGTGAATTAATTAGAAGACATTTCAGGTACGCTGTTTGATGCCCATCTTCTTTGCTCACGGTACGCAAAGTCGCTCTCTTCATTGCGATGGCGGGCAAGCTCTGTGCAGATGATGATCATTCTCACTGCGGCCACCTCGGTGTCGATCAGAGAGAACATACGAGCGGCGGAGTTCGTCCCTGGCGACTGTCTCCTGGACACTTTCCTACTGTGGCTTCAGTTGAGTCTCCCTTTGTCGCCCTTGTCTCACGCCGTTCTATAAGTTGAGCGTCTTTGCGGCTTCTGCCACTGATCCCGCTCCCTACGGCCACGTTGGCTCCCCTACCGCGGCGTCTCCGAGCAAGGAGCCTAAAGTCGTCGCTCCGTCTGGGCTTACCGGCGTAATCCGAACTCACACTACCGCAGATCGAAAGCTAGCTGCTGTCACAACCCATTCGATTGCGCCTCACTAGCCTCGTCTAGCTCTGCCGCTCCTTCACGCAGCGTCCGAGGCTCGCTACTGGGTTTCCGCCTGGCTATTTTGACTTCGTCCGCCACTCGGTTTGCTCGTGGAACAGCTTCCCGCAGTACCAGCGTGCCGTGCTCCACGTCTTGCGCCATCTGGCTTCCTTCTGCACTCCCTTCCAGTCCGCGGCTTCCGATTACTACTAGTGCGTTATTCTTTCCCATCGATCGTCGGCTGACAAACGTGGTGTGGGAATGCGAGTCCTGTTCACGCATTGTCGAGTGCAGGCATGGAGGCCGTCCGCTGCAGTGTAGGGCGTACCCCGGAGTCGGCGGGAAGGTGAGAAGGCACTGGCCAATGACCGGCCGGCCAGCGCGACCGAATCGAGCTGTGCCATCGCAGCCGTCGGGTGTCATTTTGGGATGTTCATTACAACGTCGCCATGCTGTGCAGAGGGACGTGGACAGAAGCGGGCACCGCCAACAAGACAGTACGTTCTGAGCCTGTTCGGTCGTGATGCCCGCGCTTGACGACTTGGCGACCACGCGCGGACAGGCAGACGGTGCAAGCGGGCTTCCTCGCAGACGTCTGTGCGAGGCACCAAGTGACCGCCTCCGTCAGGTGCGATGCCTGCCCTGATCACGCACTGCGCGGGTCCGAACACCGTACAATGGCCGACATGGGCCCGGCTCGGTCGTGCGTATCGATGCTGTCCCTGGCGTTCTACAGCGCGTGACGGCTCCCTGCCTTGGAGGTGGAGTCTGGGGCGGCTGGCATGCACGCCACGCTGCTGACGTACGGGATGCGCTTCGGGGCTTCCTATCGCATGTCGACTCTGCGTTGCGCAGCTGTGAGGGCCGCGCGCTCTATGTTTATCGAGATTTTCCCCCGAGATTGCCTTCCTGTACTATCCTCACGATGGGTGCGTGCGCGAGAGGGGAGGCTGAGGTGAGAGTCGCCGCCGCCGTCGCCGTGCGCATGGCCGCGCTGTTCCCCCGTTGCATGCACACGGGGGACGTCGAGGGGCTCAGATCCGTTTCGCCCCCCATTCCTCCGTCAAGGTTGGTGAGGAAGACTGTCGGGCCGCTTCACAGATTAGCGGGAAGCGGGGCGAGTGTTCCAGTGCATGCCATGCCGTCTGGCGAATAATGCGATCCCAGCGCCAACGAGGGTTGGATCCGAGCACAGCGTCGATCCGAGGGTTCTGTGACAATATGGAAGGGCGGTCTCGACTAGCTGTTCTGATTACGCCCGCGAGTAATGTGCCGTTTTGAGGCGGCGCGGGACCGGGTGTTGCCGCAAATGGCTCGTTGACACTAACCGCCATCTCTCTGCTCGCACAGCCTGAATTCTACAACAAGGGGCCCTTATTTCTTGATGAGCGCGGGTTAATTTATCTTCTGGAACTGGGACTTTCACCTCTGCGGTTCTGGGAACTGCTTACTCTAGACCTCTGGTCCACGACATATAAAAGCTGGGGGCTTTGGCTGCTCGAGCTCGAACCTAGGACTCGGACGACTCGCACCTCGACGACTTAATTCTTTGGCGACACCTCGGTTGAACTACCTACTATGGGACACTCACACTCCCGCTCCCCCTCTGCCGGCCTGGACCTGGGACACGCCTCAAACACGCCGGCCCTCCACCGCAAGCGCTCATCGGCCTTCTCTGCTCTCACACTCGGCTGCGCATCTGCTCCCTATGCTGCATCTCTGCCTAGCTATGGTGACTGGCCGTCCCGCGAAGACCGTTCGTCCTTCAGCGACCGCGATGAGAAGCGGAGCTACGACCCACCCCCGCTGTACGCCATCTCGACCACCCCGGACATCATCGAGGACGCCGCCGCAGACGCCTACAAGGCCTTCCTAAAGGAGTACCCGCAGTATCAACTGACGTGGATGCTGGACGCCCTCCGCCGAAGCGACTTTTCAAGATTGGATCGCAGCGGGGAAACTTACGTCGATTACATGGGCGCCTCGATCTATCCGGCAAGCCTCATCCGCGTTTGCCATGGATTCCTGCAACGCAGCCTCCTGGGAAACACGCACTCGGTATCGAACACGTGCGTATACACGTCCACTTCCCCGCGATCTCCCCCTTTTCGCCTTCCGGGCATGGCGCAGGCCTTTGAGCGGCCATTTAATTTGGCTGCGAGCTCTAAAAGCCCCGGCTTCCCCAGATTAGGGATCGTCTCGGCACCGAGCGCCGCGATGTCCATCTCATCATTTATTCCGCGCGTCGTTCTGTGTACGCCAAATCTGACTGCTTGTCGCGTTCACACAGGTCCCGGCTGTCCGCAGCATGCGCCGACGAGGCACGGCAGACCGTCCTTGACTTCTTCCGGGCGCCGCCAGGCTACACCGTCGTGTTCACCCCGAACGCCACTGGCGCACTCAAACTCGTCGGGGAATCGTTCCCCTTCGGCCCCGGCAGCGCCTATGTGCTCGGCGCGGACTCCCACAACAGCGTGCACGGAATACGCCAGTTCGCCAACGCCCGGGGCGCCGAAGTGTGCTACATCGAGTCTACGGACGTCGGTGGCTTTGATGTGGCTGACGCTAAGGTACGCATGCAGTCCGGATATTCCGTCTTCTCTATTGAACCCTTCTTGAACTTTATCTAGAGCGTGCTCGTTCGACACGAGCCGCGCGGCGAGGGCGCGCCTCCATGCCTGTTCGCCATGACCGGCCAATCGAACATTTCAAACTCGAAGAACCCGCTCTCGATGATAGAGTTTGCGGCATCACGAGGCTACTACACGCTCCTCGACGCCGCAGCACTAGCACCCACCTCTGTGATATCCCTGACCGACACACCCGTAGACGCGATGGCGGTTAGCTTTTACAAAATGTTCGGCTTTCCCACCGGTGTCGGCGCGCTCGTCGTGAAGGAGTCTTTCCTTGCGCGCCTGGAGCGGCCGTGGTTTGCCGGCGGAACGGTCGACGTGGTCCAGGCTCCAGGCAATATCGTTACGCTGAGCGCGGAACTCCACGAACGATTCGAGGTAAGTCTCCCCCGCCAGCGCCCTGTGGCTCTCGCCCGCTAGTTCGTGTACGAGGCTGACATACGCCCCTCCAGGACGGCACCATCAACTTCCTCAACCTACCCACAATTACAGACGGCCTGCGATTCCTCTCCGCTTACCTTCCCTTCCTCCCCCTCCGCCTCTCTTCACTCACGCGCCACCTCATCACCTCCCTGTCGGAGCTGCGACACGACTCCACAGGCACACCCGTCGCGCAGATCTTGTCACGTCGGCCGGGCAAGATCCTGAAGACTGTCGGCGAGCAGTCGGACACGGGCTCGGTCGTGGCGCTCCTCTTCCTCTTCGTAAGCCCGTTCCTCTCCCCGCGCATTCCATTCCTGCGGCTGACAGTCGCCCCTGGCAGCCCTCCGGACAGATGATTCCGAATTCCTTCATCGAGTACGCCGCGTCACGACAAAACATCTCGCTGCGCACGGGCTGCATGTGTAATCCCGGTGGCGCCGCATCACTGCTTGGGCTTCGCGACGCGATGGCCGCGCTGCCTTCCGACGCGACGCTGCGTGCATTCGAGCAGTACATGGGCCGCGAGCTCGGCGTGGTGCGCATCAGCCTGGGGCTCGCCACCGACTTTCGGGACGTGTGGCGCGTAATACAGTTCGCAAAATCCCTCGCCGACACCGACACGCGGACGGCGATGTGGGACGAGTGGCTCGGGGACCGGACGGGGGTGGCGCTCTAGACGGCTCGGATGGCGCGCGGTGCGCCGGTCGTGCTCGGACTCTGGCTCTGATTCTCTCGGACTCTGCGGCTCCACGGACCTTCAGGGGCGTGTTCTTGGTTAGCTTGCGCCTCGTCTGATTGCGTTCTGTTTTGTTTTCTGCGATGTGTATCATGCCCTGTATTCTTCCATTCCAGCATATGCGCTGTCTGTAGCATCCGACCCCGCCCGCTATGTAGGCCCCATGTACTATCTCACATCATGATATCGCGAGCATATCTTCACCCCGCCTTCCGAGCACGCGCTCCACCGTCCGACGTTCGAGTTTCGGCGGGCCCTGCACGGCGTCGATGGGAAGCGAGGGGGGTGGCGTCATCTGTGGTTCAACGTTGGGCGCGCAGCGCAGACTCCCAACCTGTCGATCGATGAGTGGGTTGGCGAGAAGCCGCCGCGGCGCAGAATTGACAACTCGATCGTGGACTCGATCGGTGACGACTTCGAGGACGGTTTTCGACCCCCTGCCGCGGGCGGCTCCGAGGACGTCGCGGTGCGGTGTCGCCAATGTGTTCAGTAGCCACGTGTGTGAGAGAAGATCGGATTGGGACACGGATCTCTTCGTCGGGCGGGAGACAGGTTCGGCTGAAGTGAATGCTTCTTGGGATCGTCGATCGCTGTATGAGATGCGGCGGGATCGCTGTCGAGTTGGGCGCTGGAGTTCGGTTCGGAGGCGGCGTGGCTCTGTCAGTGTGGTACCATCCCTCGATCCGATCGTGGAGGAAGAGGATGACGCCGCGTTCATCGAGCCGATGGGGGCCCGAGCGTTACACGCGGCGAGGGAGATCCGAGTACGAGCATGGAGGAAGGATGAGTGCCGTGCAGGGTCGGCAAGCGCACGGCTGTCCGGACAGTGGGCACGGGGCATGTTTGACTTTGACACGGCGAATGTGGAGCGAGCCGAGCGAGTGCTGTAGTTGTTGATTGTGGACGTAACTTTGTGTTTTCAGATCTCGCACATCTTCGTTGTGCCACAGGGTTCAGAGATATATGTGGGCGAGACAGTTTTCCATTTTCCTTCGTTCGCTTGCGGATGCGCCACCTATGCTTCTAACTTATGTGCCTGACGATAGAGGCTCCGCGGGAGGACCGATTTACTCACCTGCAGTATGATGCATCGTGTGTCAGCAAAGCCTCTACAAACAATTGGATAATTGCAGCTTTTCAATCCTTACAATGTTTCTTCAGCCCGGAGGAGGCTGCGCAATGGTATCGGAGTTTCAGGCTCGGGAGTACGCCCTCCCGGCAACCCCGCATCAAATGCAGAGGCTGTCAGCAGTCCGGTTGTAGCGGCGGTGGGGTTTCTTTAGGCTGGCTGGTTTTTGGAGCTGTTTCAAAGAGAAACGGTGAGTTGTTCATCGTCCATGCCAAGGGCGTGCTGAGGCCATGGCGGGCAGAGACAAACCCAAAATGGCGGGCTTGCACTTCAAGTCGTCGGCACCTACAAACGCCCACAACGGGCCGGAGACCCGCCGGGGAATGCCGGATGCCACGTGTGCTATATGGGCGCCTCGCTGCTCGTCGTTGCGCGCGTCGCAGACGTGTTCCTCGACATCGTCGACGACGTCGAGCACACTCCATGGACTTCTTTTCTCAGATTAACGTCGCGCTTAGGGGACCAACTGGACAGCCTCAATCTGCTTCTGACACAATCTCCCGGCTTGCTGATCGACTTTCACCATCTACTCTGCTCGCCGACCGACGCGCTGCGGTTCTCGCTCTCAAAGGCCTCGCTCGGGACTGGAAGGCTGATGTTGGCGAACGCGCACTTCTTGGCCTGGTAGATGTGTTGCAGAATGATGCCGAGGTCGATGCGGACATTGGCAAGGCGGTGCTGGAGACCTTGCTCATCCTATGCGAGGTCGACGAGCATGCTCTTGCGCCTGAGCGCGATCTGGGCTACCGGCATACAGACGCGGTCTTGGCCGACGAGAAGGTCGCGCAGAAGCTCTTCACGCTCATGGGCGACCACTCGTTCTACCTGCGGTACTCGGCACTACAGTTTCTCTCGGCACTCCTGCAGAACCGCAGACAGCTCGTACAAGCGTACTTTTTGAAGGCCCCGGTTGGCGTTACGAGCCTGATTGCTCTTCTGGAGGACAAGCGGGAGATTATCCGAAATGGTATGTACACCTAGTTGTCCTCCGAATGCGTATGCATGGGCATGGGATGTACGCTCGTAATGATGGTGTTCTGCGAATGCCATGCTCACCACCTGCTTAGAGGCGATATTCACCATTCAATCGCTCATCTCACAAAGTCCTGAGATCCAGAAGATAATGGCGTTCGAAGGCGCATTCGAGAAGCTCTTCAACATCATCGTCACCGAGCAGGGCGTCGAGGGGGGTGTCGTGGTACAAGACGCGCTCGCATGTATCGACGGCCTTCTTCGTTTCAACCAGTCAAACCAAGTACGGATTGCCGTCATGTCCTGAGTGTCATCAGCCCTGACGAGCTTATGCTTCCCGCGCCGGACATGACTTGGTAAACGTCGTAGAGTTACTTCCGCGGCTCGTCTCTCCCGCCTGTCCTGCTCTCCCTGATCGGCTTCCCCCCTTCGCTGCCGTTCGATGCCCCGGCGCCCCAGCAGTTTGCCCTGCAGCTGTGGGACCAACCACAGAAACGCGCGAACACGTCGCTCGTGGTCGGGCTGGTCGGGCTTCTAGCTCGACACGCTGGTGTGAGTCGTACACAACCTCAGTCTAAATTGACGTCACTAACGTCTTTTCTTAGCCTCCAGATGTTTTGTCAATAGCTTGCACACGTTGTTTAGCGGAAATAGGTATCTCGTCCAATTTCCCAACTGGCGTCAAAGCACAGGTATGATCATGATGCCCCCACCTTCCACTGCAGGTCTCAACGCTATGTAGGCCCTCCGCTTGGTTCCTTCCAACCTATCCGCACTACCTCTTGCAGAGCTAGTGGTCACGCCCTACGTCCCTGTACCTGATACAAACGGCGAAGAGTGGGATCGACTCGAACCCGCGTCTGCGTTGGATGCGTTGGTGGAGCTCGTCCTTCATGGGGAGTACAACGGCATCATCGACGGGGAGCGTCGGACCAAGGAGGGCATGGAGCTGCGGGGTGCCGCAGTGGCCGTTTTCCAGGTATGTTCTCAGCTTATTGGGCCACACCACATGCTGATCGACGGCATGCCATCGTAGAACTTCGTGCAAAAGGAAGAAATTTCAGAAGCCATCGTACAAGCGATGGTCTCGCAACCAGGTTCGTGCGACGCGGACGCCGGACCCGTGTATAGCTCACCTGTACGCGATAGGAACTCAGGCTCCTGTGACGCCTTTGCTGTACGCCCTAACGACGGTCCCCGTCTCTCCCCTCAACGTGCTCTCCGTCACCTCCACCCACTTCGCCGCCCTTCTTTTCTCCCACCTGCTCCGCTTCTCCCCACGTGCCAAGATCCTCGCGCGTTCCATCGTCCCGCAATCTGGTGCCTCCACCCAGAGCAACTCATCTTTCTTCGTTCCCGCAGATGGAGGGCAGCCACCGGCGCCCCCTGAAGACGATGACGATGGGGATGCGCCACAGACATTACTTCAGATCCTGAGCGAGCATCTGTCCCTGGCGTTCCTTGCGAGAGGAAGAGCGGACTTGCCTGATCGCGAGGCGCGCGAATGGGACAGGCTTTGCGTAGGGTATCTCTGCCTACTCATTCAATGGCTATGGGAGGACCCTCCCGCCGTACGGGAGTTCCTTGAGGCCGGTGCTCTAGGTGTCGTGCGTGCCCTTGTCAACTAGTTCGATTCGCAACAGCCTACTGACATGCATGTTCGAGCAGTTAGTTGAGCCCATCAACCAGACAGCGGAAGAGGAAGCCGTGATACCTGGACTATGCGCGTTCCTGCTGGGGGTGTGCTACGAGTTCAACCGCGAACCTGGCGAAGTGACCCGGTGCGCTGCTACCTTCGCTCCCGGTCAGCGGAGAATGCTGACATCTAGAAAGCGCAACCGTGCACCCCATCTTGACGCGCCTCGGCATCGACATGCTCTCGGGCCGCATCACGCACTTGCGGGATGACGACCGCTTCAAGGCGATTGGACCCGACAACTTCGTGCTGACGCTCCCCAGCGCCCCAGTGGTGCACCATCAAGGTCACCAAGGACCACCGTCCGCTGCGGCTCCGAAGCACGACGTCGAGGAGGGTGAGGTCTGGTTCGACTGGGCGTTCGTGGACTTCTGGAAGTCGAACTACTGTGAGTGCTCATGTGGGAAGAGATGTATGTCTCAGAGCGAATGCTAACATTGGCTGTTGCAGACACGATACAGAAAGGCATCGCGGTCGAACCGAACTCGCTTTCCTCCGCTGCAGGTATGTGTGATATTGGGCGCACCTCAGGGACAGTTGCTGACCCACGATGCAGGCCAAGGCGCGGAGAGCGCGCTATTGATATCGTCTCTGAAAGACGTCATCCGAAACCAGGCAGCCGAGATCGACAAGCTGCAGAGCCAGATCAAGTCTCTTAGCGCTCCGAATGACGAGGTAGGTTTCGCCCATAGCCATTAGTGCATAAGCTGACGTTTGCGATAGGTGGAGATTCTGCGCATGCAAGTCACCACGCTCACGGAGCAGGTCGCGGAGACAGAGGAGAGACGGCGCGATGTGGAGAAGGAGCAGGAGGATTTACTTGTGTTGCTCGACGAGTTGAACAGCAAACGGCGACGGGACAAGGCGCGTATGCGCGAGGCCGGTTTGGAGGTGTCGGAGGATGAGGCTGAGGAGGACGATGAGGAAGACGACGACGAGTGATAGCGTACCGCTGCTTTCAGCAATGGCTCGACAGTACTTCTGTGTATTTATGCTGCACGTTCTTGCAACGGAATCGGACCTTCGCTCGGAGTCGGTTAGTCTCCCAGAGGCAGGCCTTTCACACTCTATTGGAGGCGGGGAGGACGAGTGTGTAAAGGGAGTCTGTAGTCTTGACGAGATGATAACATCCGATCAATGTGAAGAAGGTAAAGCAGTAAGTAAAAGGTAAGTACATGGTTCAATATGTAAGTAGTCTATACCCACTTCCGAAAGCGGAAGACTGTAAGGAAGTAACGAGCGCCGAGACGGAAAACTTTCCCCCGCCGCTGCCCTTGTCTTCCGCTTTACCCTCTGCTCTAGCTTCGTTTTACACCGCTTTCCTGTGCTCTTTTCGATATGTCGCACTCAGTACCAACGACAGACGATCTCGAGGAGGTCCTTCTCTCCTGCCGCTACGGCGACCTCGAAGACATCGAACAGTTCGTCGGCAAATTTGGCCCAGACGCGCTCGCAACCGCACGCGACGACGCCGGGAACACCATCTTGCACATGGTCGCTGGAAACGGGCACACAGGTAGCGTTGCCACCGTGCACCCTCTGCCGCGCCTCTCTAGAGCAGCCAGCTGATATGCGCAAGATGTGTAACAGACGCGCTCGACTATCTTTTGCCTCTGGTGCCTCCATCGTTGCTCGCCGCACCGAACAACGCCGGCTCAACAGCGCTGCACTGGGCTGCACTGAACAGCCATCTAGCCATCGCGCAGAAGCTCGTGCAGTTCTCTGCAGGGCCCGGCGTTGACCTCATCGACGTCAAAAACTCTGCTGGGCGCTCGCCGCTCGGGGAGGCGGAGATGGTTGGATGGGAGGAGGGCGCGAAGTGGTTCGTGGAGGTGATGAACCTTGACGAGGGCGCGAAGGGCGAGGAGGAGTTGCACCCAGCGGATGGCCCCGAGAACATCGAGGTGGAGATCGAGGATGCGGAGGGCCAAGTCGCGAAAATGACCCTAGGGCCAAAACCCGCCAATAGCGCAGACGAAAGTAACAAGGCGAATCAGCCATGAAGAGGTGAGTAGTAGTGTCGCCCGTCCAGTACTCAGTGGAGGGCTTGAATCTAATCCTGATGACCTAGATGTACTGTATCACTGCACAGTGTAAGCTGGAGAAGTCAAAAATAGCAGAGGCGTTTCGCCCATGTTCGAATATGATCCAGCGGGACCTGTTATACATTGCTCCATGTGGTACGTTCAGGTCATCAGGTCGCACATGAACAGAGCGTGTGGCCGTCTCAGTCGGGCACCATGACCCACGCGATAGCGACGACATGGGAATTCACAAAGAGGGCACGCATTGCGCTTGATGCCTACCTTTGAAGTCCTCAAGGATATGTCGCTCGTCAATGGGGGCGCCTGGCGCACTGAAGAGCGTATCATTGTAGATGCGCCTGGGTATTTTGAGTTCGGGTTAGATGCAGATGTGAGTGCTCGTACCTGAATATCAACGCCGCTCACTCTCACCTAGAAGCCGAGCTGCGGCACTCCTGCGCCTATGTAGCCAGCTCCCTCTCACAATCAGTTCATGTTCTGGACGACCGAGCCAAGCTTCAAAACCAGCCAAAACTTGCTTAGCTAGCTAGTGTACCCCCGGCCATCACAATGGTAACGCATGCACTAAAGTCAGCCGGAGTTGAAGAGGATGCGTCACATCAGCACATGGGCGATCGCCGAAATTCTCAAGATCTCGGAGCCCGGGATATAAGGCTGCGCACGGACGACGCCTCCACTTCAACATCTCGACAGCAGCTAATCACCGCGCAACCCAGCCATCGGCCATGAAGATGGGCCGAAAGCATGTTCGCCCGCTGTCAGATCCTCGACGAGGCATATCCAGTGCAATAAGCTGCCTTCGATGGTCGGGGTGGACGGCGGCGGACAAGGTGCATGAGACCGTCATCGGCAACTTGTCATGCACGGAAACGATCGCCTTTCCTGGACTACAGAGCAGTGCTTCAGTCTCGGTACCCCGCGCACGCGCGATGGTTGTGCTGTTTGGCCTGACGCATTGCGGTTTGATGGCCCATTGGGTGCAAAACTCCGAGCGTCAAGATTTGATGCGTTTGATGGGTACCATGCGGTATGTCAGTTTACTGCGATGGTTTGGGATGCGGACGCGGGTCCGCGGCCATATTATCCCTCCGTCCTCAATGTCGTTCTCCCAGCTCCGACGCTCACCCCCGCCCCCACACGCCCCCGGCTTTACGGACGTTCGACTACCTGGTCCATCCGCGCCTCCATAGGAGATCGAGAAGCACTTTTCATTCAGCTGGTGAGTAGTCCAGTCCCGATTCGCGCCACCGCCTGCACTACCGAGTTCGCTGCCGGTGCACGCCCGATCTCCCTCACGGAAGACCGTCTTTGATCCTTCATATTCTCAGGCGGAGTGGATGTATACGCCGACGGTCGGCGGATAGCGCACATGTCCGCGGAGGCACCCTCCAATGCAGCTCGTGGATATGTTTTGCGTCTTAGCCTTCCTCCGGCCTCGCGAGCTGCTTAAACCGCAATCTCACTTTGAAGCTATAGTCATATAGGGCACTTCCCCCTTTCTCGACTGGAAAATGTCGCATACATCTCCCGCGACGTACCTCGTGTGGTCCATCATGTCATGCCTGGTGCGTACTGCAAACTCCTAGGAGGTCTTCGATTGCCTGACACGGTGCCTAACTCAGCTTCTCGGGTTCCTGCTGTTCCATCTCTGGAAGTTTGACCGGTTCAAGTGTCTCAGGTCAGTTCTCGTAGATTGTGTCGTAGGCAGTCGTCTGAAGTCAGGTCAGATGGAACAACGGGCCATACGCCGGAGCATTCAAGCGTCTCATGACTGTGCGTCTTGCTCTTACGTTCTCAAGTACAGAACCCGACACGCATTTCAGTATACGTATCTATTAAGCGTTCCATGCATAGTGGCATATGCAGTAGGGTTCGCAGTGATAAAGTATGAGGAGGGTCTGGTCGATATTCAAGGACTTGGTAGTGAGTGCGCCAGACATTGCTTCATGCCTTAGTTGCTTGATCTAGCGTCTTTCCCCAGTCATGCCTAAGCCATGGCAAGAGTGGTCACAGCCGCACAAGAACGCGATCTTCCCCCTATACCTCCTATTTACAGTCGCTTGGAGCCTTGAGATGTGAGTATCACGCGAGCATCCTTATAACTACTAACTAATCCTCCGTGCAGGGTAACTCATCTAGAAGGTGCATATATATTCCTTTCAACGCCTCTGATATTCACGACTCACCTATCGCACAGAGCTCTGCTTCTGGTTGTTCCTCGTCAACTCCGGATCGGTGAAGCAGGACTGGTTCCGCAGCCTGTATTTCAAGACCTGGATCGGCGGCTCGCTCATCGCGGTCGCCTATATGCCGCTTGTGACTATCTTTACGCGTTCAGACCCACAAAAGGTTCGCCCGGTGTTTACGTTTGAATCTTGTCAGTGCTGTACTGACGCTACTGGGATCGCAGTGCGAGGCGTTCACATTCCTTGCGGGTAGCTTGGGCAGCTTGTCGTTGACGCTCTGGTTCCTTCCGATCCTGTACGTGACCATGTGGAAGCTGCAGAAGAGACGTCAACTCACGCGTCGCATTGTAGATGGACGTTCCCCTCTTTCCTTCAAAACCTGGTGAGTGTGATGCGCTCGTAAGCGCAGTGCCAACCTGATCTCCCCACAGAAACGAAACGCCGTCGACGTTCACACCATCGTCCGCTTGACTACCTTCCACGAACTGAACGTGGGTACATCCTATCGGCTCTCCCTCGTTTCGCGCTGAATTGTTCAATCCTAGTGTCTCCGCGTTTTCTTCCGGTTGATATTCGTCCTACCATTCTTGGTGCTCGCTGTAGACGGTATCCGGCCGCACCAACACGTCAATGAGAATATGTGAGTGTTTCGTTGCGATCATATGCGCTTGGCCTAAACACTATTCTAGGTTTTGGACGGAGTTCCTCACGAGCATCGCCGCAGTCGGCTGCGTCACCTCATCAGCCATCACACTCGTTGTATGTTTCCTCGTGTCGGCAATGTCTTCAGGCCGTGCAACTGATGCCCGAAACCAGATCTTCTTCCCTCGGTCTGTCGAAAGCGAGCTGCAGTCGCGTAACGCCACGCGCGAACCAGGCTCGCAGTCACGCCACATCCGCCGCGACTCCGAACTCTCCGATCGGGACACCTCCCCCTCCCCATACACCCAGAAACGCCCCGCATCCGCGATGTACTCCAACTCCGAAGCGCACGAGTACCCTCCGCTCGATGCCGAGGTGAAGAGCCCCGGGCTCGACGCACCCATCATGGGTCCGAAGGCGAGCTTCTCCCCGAACCGGCGCGCCGCGTCGGGCGTGGTGATACAGGGGACCGTGGGCCTGACGGAACGCGCGCTAAACGCGCACGACCAGCGGATGAGCACCGTGCACCCGTTCGTGCACAACTTCACGTCGCCCATCGGTGCGTGTCTCTTAGCCCCATTGTATGCATACCCTGTGCTGATAGCTGACGATGTTCACCGCAGACCTCATGGACGGCGCACAGCAGACGCTTTGGTACGTGAAGCGGCAGTACGGTCCCCGTATCGTGTAGTTTTGCTCCTCAGTCTTGGGGGTGCAGTCATGTTGTACGATCATACTATCTTGGATACCTGTCGATGTTACATTCGTTTGCTCGTAATATTCGGGTTCCGGAATGCCTGCTCACATTAGGCTCCGGGGAGCGCGTCCCGGTCTAGACCGACAACTACGGCGGTGCTCGAGGATCCGCGGAATAGGAGAGATCCGATGCCGCCAAAGAGATATGAGAGGATCTCTAGAGACGGTCAAGTCACGGAGCCTACCCTTGCTCCACCTCCGCTGCCCCTCACTGCTTTTGCCAACACCTGTGGTACCTGTGCCTCGCAAATCCTCACGTGAGCCTGCTCATGGTCGTTGCGCACTGGACATTGCTGACGAGCCAAACTCTAGAATCCTCACGCACTACTAGTCTGTATCGGAGTGCTTGCGTCAAGACTGCGTATATCTTGAAGTGCCTTCTATGGTCGAGGCGACCTCCACATCTACTATACTGGTCATAGGAACCTGCTTCCGCACGCTGCCCACGTTCACCTTGCATATCGTTTTGTCCCTTTTATTCTAAACGCTATGCCTTTCTTTACTTGGTATCTGTCTACGACCCCATCGTGCCTTCTTACGCTATCATGATTCCGCTTAGTACTATATGTATTACAACTACCCGGTACTGTTGCCGGTGTAGCCTCATACGCTCTTCCCCTCCATGTCCAGCCATGCCACTCATACACAGTGGACCAGTGTTGTACATGTAGTTATGGTAAAAAAAATAAACCCCACAAGCCGCCTCCGACTCAAGCACCTGCAGCAAAAGTCGAATCAGCCCCCTGAGCGAGCTACGTGGGGTGACTCGCCGCTCAACGAAGACGTACGTGCCGATGATTGCGAGGAGGCCAGACGCCGTCAACTCACCCACACATAGCACGGACCTGAGTCCGGATCTGCGTCCGAGGGCACAATGCATGGGACGAGCTTCTCCATCTCGACGTTGCAGCCGAACACTGCATCGGAGCAACATGTACGGTTTGGGGCTGATTTCCACGCAGGCGGATGCCAGAGAACGTTCGGGAAGACCCGCGAGATGAGCTGTGCGCCAAGGGCCTCACTGGCAAAGTCGACGAGCGCGTTGCAAATATGGAGTTCCCGCAGCTCTGGGTGGGCGGCGGGAACGACGGCGAGCTGCTCGGGGGTGAGGCGGTTGAAGCTGACGCTCCGCAGGTGCATGGTGTGGAGATCGGGGCAGTTACGTGCGAAAGGGAGGAGCGCGGCGTGTGTGAGGGGCCCGAGGAACGTCGTGTAGAGGCTTAGGAGGCGGAGCTTCGGCCACGATTTTGCGAGGCGCGCGAGCTCGTCGTCCGCGCCGGTGGAGACGAACAGCTGGCGGGGCGTGCTTAAGGAAAATTCCTCGACGGTCTTGAGGTGCAGGATGCCGCCGAACACACTATCGAAGCTCTCCACGTCGGGTGTGGTATAGGTTCGTTCAGCGCATGTCCACTCCAAGGACACAATGCGAAGCGTCCGGTACGTGCCGGCCACGAGGTTGAGTACACCAGGGATGACCAGAGCGTCCTTTCCATCCATTACTAGGGAGAGCGAGATCAGGTGAGGAGACGCAAACACCGGGAGTATAGCCGTGATATTGTCGTGGAGATGCAAGGTGAGCGTTTGCAGGGCAAGGAACCCACGGAAGGCAAGGTCCCAGGACGCCTCCCAGTCAGGGCGCACGCCCAAACGAAGCTCAAGGAGTGCAGGAAGTTTGGAGAGCTTTCGCAGGAACTCTACTTCGGTGACGGGATGATAGAGAGGGTCGACGGACAAGGATCGAAGACGCCGCACTTGAACGATCTGCGCCCACATCGTTGAAGGTACCCATGATGCAGGGAATCTCCGGATGCTGAGTGCAAGAAGACCCGGCAGATCCTTCATTGTCCTCTCAAAACGAGAGTCCTCGAATGGCGCGGGGTGCCTGTCCTTGATCCTGCGAACGTACCTGAGATCGTTGGAACCATCGATGATCAGTCCCTTCAATCCCGGTGGTGCAAAGAAGGAAAGGTCTATTTGACAGAGGACGTACGTGTCCCATGTGTATTTTTTGAGATGAGGAAACAGAGAACCGCCGCTGTATACCGCACGGAGAGAGTTGAGAACATCGCGTGGGATGGGACGCGATGACAACCCCATTGTGTAGATGACGCGAACATAGGCAGCGTAAGTGTTTAGCCGCGCACAGTCAGGTGCTGATATCTCTTCTTTTAAACTCTGGCAATGGCAATCGGTGAACACAACACCTCAGATGAGTGATTAAAAGGAGAGCACTTACGATATCGTACTCTGCGGGGATACCATCATGATGGCTGAACGCCAACCTGGGAAGTCGAACGACAGAGACGGAAGAGAGGAGCATCAAAGCGGGCTCAACACCGTTAGGCAGAGCCCACCAGAGGGACCGGAGCGCAGGATCACAGAAAGCTTTGCTGACGCGAGCTGCTCGCGACAAGGCCCGCTGATTTTCTTGGTCCAGTAGGCTGACATATTTCCCTTCCCCTGGGACATCGATTCTAAGGTGCTGAAATATTTCGTGGAGGATGTCTGCTGTTGAAAGGATCGCATGAGGAGGCATCCTAGACGCTATGAGCTGTGAGACGAGAACTGGTGGGGGTCGTCCGTAGTGACAGCGGCGAGAACGCGCGGCCGGGGGGGGGTATAGAGGGGATGATCACTGCACAGATTTGGTCAGTGTATCTCACACGGGCCGCAGCACCCTGGCGGGTTACGCTTTGCAACTCGTGAATCCGGTAACCTCTTTAAGTCTTGGTACTAGGGCTTGAACCCACTTGATTGCACATCACCTGCATGGCCATATTTCAATCTCATAGCAAAGCAGCACAAGTACACGTAAGTCACGACGACATTCAGGACGGCCGCGGCGTTAGAAATCCCCGTCGATTGTCCCGAGCAACGGCCCGCCCCCGAGCAGAACGCCCGCGCGGCACGTTGTGCAGCTGGAAGACCGCGTCCAGAGCGCGCGTGCACCCTCTGTAGCGCTGCGTGTCATGGCACGACGGACAGATCCACGCCTTCGTCGTCGGCACGCGCAGCGCCGGAAAGAGCCTGCACAGAAACCGGCAGCAGCGCTGCGCGTGGCCCGCGCGCACCGCGCACACGCCGAATTCCTCCAGCGCGTGCGTGGACGCCCCCGGGAGCGCTCGGGCCTCCTCCTTCGTGAGCCCATCGAAGTCAACTCCACGGAGGTGCAACGTGCGGAGGGAGGGACAGTGTCGCGCGAACGCGAGCACGGTGTGATGCGTGAGCCGGGCGCCGAACGGCGCGGAGAGGAAGCTGAAGACGCGCAGCTGCGGCCAGCTCTGCGCGAGGCGGTCGAAGTCCGCGTCGCTCGCAGTGCAGACGAACAGTTCGCGGTAGGTATGCAGGGAGAACTCCTCGATCCCCGCCCGGTCCATGAGTCGCGCGAAGACCTCGTCAAAAGAAGGGATTGTGGACGGGTCCTCGGAGCTTTGGCCATAGCGTTCTTTTAGCGAGATGGAGCGGATATGGGGGTATGCGCGGGCGATGTGGTTGATGATGGCGGGCATGGCTGTTTGAGGGGCGCGGTCGAGCCTGATAGACAGCGTGTGCAGGCCCGGAGAGACAAATGGCTCAAGGACACCCTCGTGCGACCTACCACAGACGTCCAGCGTAAGCTTCTCGAGAGCGGAGAAGCCGGAGAGACTAGCTCGTGCGGTGGGGCCGTCGCGAAGGAGGTGCAACGACAATTCCTCTAGGACGGGTAGCGCCGAGAGGTGCTGGAGGAAAACTGGACTGGCGATGAGACAGGAGTGATCGAGGTTAAGCTTCCGCAGATGTTGAAGGCTGCCGACGCACGCCCACGACTCCCCCTCCCGCGCGTAGGGAATGTTGGGTGATCCTTGCACTTCCAGCTCGACTAGTTCACCAAGACGGGGAAGGGCCGTTTGGAAGATTTGGTCTACGGTGGCCCCCTCGAACTCGTCAGGATGAAGCCGGTGAAGCACCTGCCACAAATTGGGCACCGGTAGACCTATGTTTCGGCCCAGGCTGAGCTTGAGTGTCCGTACGGTTGGGGAGAGCAGCGGGAGGAGGCCAAGATGATCGGGCGCCTCCGAGTACCATGACAGTGCCCGCACGTTCGGGAAGAGTGGCCGTCCGTTGGTTTTGTAGCTCAAAAATACGTAGAAATCCGACGAAGTATGATAGCACGCAGAACCTTCGAAGATGATCCTGGTGTACGCTGCACGTCGGCACAGACACTCCCAATCCTTCGGATGCACGACAGTTGCAGCCGTATTCTGCTATATAGTGATCAACATTAGCTGGCGTTTCGCGAATTGGCAATGCAGCGATTCTACAACTCACCGCCATGTTGTAAAAGCGGTCAACCGCTCGCGATGCACCATAGATCGCGGCATAGAGTAGTCGCGAGGGAGATTCGGTCACGGGTATCTGAGTCACTGATAGCAGCGAAGTAGCCGCAAGAAACTGCAATACCGGCTCTACACCAGGGATCGCCCACCACAGCGACCTCATCGCAGGTTCGCGGAACGCCCTGCAGACGCACGCGGCACGGGCGAGCACCGCCCAATGTCCACCAGAGGTGCCCTCCGCCTCGGTATATGGCCGAAGATGAACGAAGATCTCTTCGATAATGTCGGGGACGAGGATAGCGGGGTGCGGTGGTTGGAGCATGATAGAGCACCAGTCAGAGCGATATTTAGCGCTGTGAGAAGATAAACCACATGAGCGTCATATAGCCGCTTCTGGGACCGTCGGACCGTTTGAGTATCAGAATCACCTGTCAGCACATAGGCTGTTTGACTGTCCTCTCGAGAAGAATGACGGTGTCCTGTCCGGACGGACTTGATCCTCTAGAGACGAGCCAACATTTGAGTATGGGTGGCAGTAGACCTTTCCGGGATCACTGAGAGGCCAGATATCAGGTTAATTGACAAGGACTAGACGTCTGTGCCCGTGCTACGCACGGGCTCCCCTTGTGAGTCTGAAGGGCGTACTTTTTACTCGACGTGCAATGGCAACCTGTCGGAGAGAGAACCTCGATCCCTATTGGAGCAAAACTTTGCGTAAGTCCCCCCGTAAAACGTGAGTCCCTCGTAACACGCGAATCCTCCGGTACTATGCGGGCTGCTTGAGCCCCCGCGCGCGAGGTCCGCACCGTGTGCAGGACCTGGCTTAACGCCCGGCCTACAGGATGCAGGCTTCCCCGTAGCCGTAAGACCGTCTCGTAGAACGCATCTCATCTGTAAGGTGTGAGACATACCCTTTTAGCGCATTAGGATCCGTAGTGAGAGTTGTAAGCCGGAAGAACGATAGGAGGAATAAGGGTAACGTTCCTAGTAAGACGCCCGTAGTTAACGTTGCAGGCTGGGAATATTATGGAAGCGCATCCAGATAAGATCTAGATTGTGTCCCACCTTCCGCCTCCTCGACGACAACCGCGCAACGGAACAGCGGATTTTTTCTTCTCACATATCTCTACCCAACGGTAAGACCCCGTGGGGAAGGTTGTGAGACTCAGCCTAACGGTAAGCCCAGGCCCGCGCAATGAGGCGCATCAAGTTTGTGTCACGACCTTGATTCACGTATAGATAATTCACGTATAGATAAGGCATGTATGTGCCGCTGTGCGGTTGTACAAGACTCGAGTTTTTACGCATAGAATAAACCCCAGCGAGGTATGATATAGAAAAGAGGAGAACAGATAGAGCTCGATCGAGATGCGGGAGGGCCCACACAGGACCCCCGCCTATGCTGCAAGAGGTCCGATAATAGTGCTGTACAAAATGACCTGTAAACAGGCCTTATGTCCGATAATCATGCGGTATATTGGGCCCTTATGGCTAGCTATGTCCGATAATATGTGCTGTATAATGGGCCTTAGGGCGCTGCAGGTCCGATCCGTTATGCTGACAAAAGAGGCAGCTGCCCGGCCGGCCTACCCGTATCTGCCGGCGGCTGTCGAGGAAGACTGAGCAGAATGGTACCCACTGGGCAGCACTGGGCTCGTATTTGGGGGTACGATCTCCATATGCTGGACAAAACGGTCCGCTGAGCTTGCTCCACGGTACGTCTACCCAGGAGACTAGACAAATCGAACCCTTATGCTGCACAAGGTCCGATCGTCATGCTGATAAAAACGACCGTCAAAATGGTATGTACCATTATCATGCTGTATATAATCCCGAAAAAGTATGCTGATAAATGTGGTCAAATCCGAGGGTTTTGCGATCGGACCTTTGGCGGCATAGGCGGGGGTCCTGCCCACACGTCGGATATGCGCTGAGTTTAGGGCAGGTCGCAACTCGGAGTCCTACTGCAGTGAAGCGCGGCGAGATCGAGGAGTCGGAGAACGTCCCATACTACGAGTCTACGACGTCGACTGTGTTCTACTCACATATGTTCTTTGGGGAGTCTAGATTGACTTGTGCTAGTGACAGTATAATATAGTCGTCACTAGGTGTACGTGACGAGCATCAGTTAGCGACCTGACTCGAATACGAAGGGCATGGGCCTAAGTACATCGACGCCAAAACCAATTTTGGGCTGGTGTTTTATACATAACGATCTACATGTACAGCTAGAGGAAAAGCGACTTGGACCTCCGAGACTGCGTTCCCGGCCAATACCCCGGGAACATGACCCCCGTCCTGAGGTTCTCACCCGTCAGCCCTCGGTAAACGTCCTTGTAGTCGAATTTCCTGTCCTCTTCCGTCGACGGCCGCCCAACGATTGGTTCCAGGTCGTCTTGGGTCATCAACGCGCAAACAGGCTGCATAGTGTCCGGGTCCCGCATGGCTAAGATGCGCTCCAGTCGCTCAACCGCGTCTGCATCGGGGAGCGGCCGCCCCTCGTCTGCCATGCAGCGCAGATATCCGCGCAGGTCGTGTACCGTTTGGGAGTAGGTCGAGTGCAGCGGTATACCCGTCGTGATGCCATCGGGATCGTCGACATCCCCGTGTAAAGTCGCCTCACAGCGCACAAAGCCCCACATGTTCTTGCCTGGGTTCTCGCGCTGGTGGCGGCGGTGGTCCCAGTCAAACCAGAACATCCAAGTCCGCCCGCCTTCCCCGCGCAACGTGTACGCCTGGCTGTGCGAGGGCACACCCACAACCGGCCGCTCGCCCCAGCACTGGTCTGGGCGGAGGGTCGCGGAAGAGAGCACTGTGTGTAGACACGTCTCCGCTGACATGTAGAATGGGAAGCCGTTCGCGGGCATGGCATAGGAGTTTGGGCCTGGGCGCGCATGTGTGAGGAACTCGAGGTTGCGGTACCACAATGCGGCGGACTCCCCGTAGCGGTACTCCTGGAACGCCAGCCGGAGGATCTCAGTGAGCGCCTGCACAACCTGAGCGGGAGTGCAGAGCGGCACGGAGACATAGATGGGCCTATCCGACGTCGCCTGGGTGGCGTGGTGGAATATGAACGAAGCCGGCCACGTTATCTCTTGGTTAGGGGTGAGGAGGGGTGGGCACATTAGACCCTCTAATTGACGAAATGCGGCGGAATGTTCGTGCAGAAGACTATGAAGGACATCGAAAGACTCAAAGCCGAGGTGCATAGCGTGCAGACGGCGGAGGGTAGGGGTGGATGCAATGAGAGCGGGTAGATGGCCGGGCTGGATGAGCTTGTTGCCACTGATAGAAAGCGCTTCTACTTCTGGGAATTGTCGTAGGACGGTCATCAGCTGGCGTAAGGACAGCTGGATACCTGACAGGTCGAGGAACGTGCTTGCGCGCAAATCCTGCAGGGCTTCAATGAGGTCGCCTAGCTGGGAATTAGGAATCTTCCGTCCACGAAAGGTGATTGAGAACACCTTGTCGGGGCTCAATATTGTCCACAAGCGCCACTCGTGTAGAAACCCCTCGTCGCTCGCCGCCATGCAACATTCCTTATCGCTTGAGGAGTCCATCGGCGAGCGATCTGGGGCGCCGTTCACGATCCGGTCGCGTTCCAGCATAGAGTGCTGCAGGCGTTCTACATCCCCAGCTATGGCATATGCCGGGAAGTTGTAACCATCGCGCGGGTACGGAGGATCCACGACGGACTCGAATGCGCGCTGTTCGGCGAGCATGCTCAGTATCACGCTGGTACGGCGGTAGAGCTCCTCAGTGCCTCCATCATATGGCGGGAGGATGGCCTTGCCAACCGCGAGGTGAGGCTGGTTTACTACAAATGCCTGCTCAAAGGTTGCGAGGTCGTCAGGATTAGCGAAGCCTAGATACAGCGATATGACAACGTCGAGAGGCATCTGATCCGGCAGATCCGGTGTGGCAGGGACCTTGACTTGCGCAGGCCCATTCCTGTTCGTCGCTGCGCCTGGCCAGATCGCGCATAGCGTGGACGCCGCGATGAGGGGATACCCTGCGAGGTCAACGAGGGCCCAGAACGTCTCCAGTACGTGTATGAAGTTTCTCATCACGCCCTCATCATCTGAGTTGTATAAGTACTTATTTTATGGAAGTTCAGCCAGGACTCATACCTGCTGCTGTACTCATCGTGATCGTCGCGGAAGAGTCGAGGTGTTGGAGGGGCCGTGCGATAAACGTGTGGGGCGTATATAGACGCAGATACTGATATGCTGAGAGTGTCTGTCGCCACATTGGTGATATCGATGACACAGATTCCCGCATTATGCGGGTTCGCCCGTACTAGATGATCCAATGAACTATGAGCAAGTGAACGAGGATGACGCCTCGAGCAGGACGTACATATGTCCCAGCACCCTTTGGTTGCATCTACCAATCCGTTCTGAAACGAATAGTTGCTCAGGTACGCTTGATACTCGAGATCTGTCGTCCACGCGACGGACAAGAGTGATACCGTGTAGGGACAGGGAATAGCAAGATTGAGGTGTTTTTCGTCGAAGCCGAGATGGTCGTCGAAGCTGCGGAGTTCATCCCGCACCAGCGCTGCATTCTCATCCACTCGGAGGAGTTGAAAGAATCGGTGCAGCGCACGGAGAGACAAGGTGTCGTGACAGTGCTGGTGGTAAAAAGCCCCTGCACACCGATAGTGCCCAGCCCTCCCCTTGCGAGTGGACATTCGGGCGATGAGGAAAACTTGAAAGCGAAGTCCCATGATGTTGACTTAAACCCTTAGCTGCTGCGTATGTATATCCTTGGCAGAGTAGTGGCTTTCTGATCGAGAACAGAGTACGCTGAGGGTGCACAAGGAAGAGATTTGGAGCGATGGTCAAGGACTAACGGGTACCACGCGTACACATAGCAGATCTGTTATCAATATATCAGTGGATCGTCACGTACTCTTCCTCACGCCGGTCTCCCGTGCGACATACCGGAGAAGACACGAGCACAAGGTCCCCGTGCCCTTGCATATCATGGGCGGCTCAAAGCTCCGAGCCCTTGGGGGCGTACGTCAGGAGACGTTCTGTACAGTAGAAATGTATAAAAAATACTCCTAACGATCGAGTTAACGACGATAAGTGCCGACGTAGGCCTCAAGATTCGGGCTTGAGTAGTACTGTGGAAGTACTTAGTGCCATGCTTAGTGCCAGTGCTTGCGGACAGAGGTGAAATGTTCCCTGCCAATGCCACCAAGTGTCGCCATCGTGAATATCTGTGGCCCATGCTCACCTATACCAAGAGCGCGCATTTAGCATAGAATATGGTCGGTCGCAGGCGGGCACTTTTGACGAGAAGGAAGGTGAGAGGTACAGAGAGAGACTGTGAACGGTAGGCGCAACACCCGGTGGCGGCTGTGAATTTGAAGGGCAAGCGGGACAAAATACTTCAATTTACCAATAGTCACAATCACAGCACGGGCAATTGGCACAGTGGTAGCGCGCACGCTTCGCATGCGTGAGGTCCAGGGTTCAATCCCCTGATTGTCCACTTTTATCACCGGTCCCCTGCGTGATCGTTTATGCGCAGAACACGATTCGCTTTTTGCTGCGAACCACCACCCACCGACATCCACTCTGGGCTACGCGCGATCTATTTTCTACCGCACAGTAACTCTGGCTGATCTGGAGCAAACTGTGGTTTCCGAGCTGGGAACTACTCTTTCAAGGAGGTGCCGGGAGCGCACAGCGCGCCGTCCTCGTTTCTCGACGTCCGACACAGATATCTTCCACCGATTCATAGTCAACTTCGTGTCCTCTACCATGGAGCAGGTCCCCGTGTCCCCGAAGCTCTTACAGACGCCGCCTCCCTGCGATGCGGCCGCGAAGAAAGCGAACCCAGGCTTGAAGAAAATCCCCCCATATTGGTATCCGTACACAACTATGGCGAAGGGCCGCTGGTTAGGGAGGGAGATCCTCGAGGTGGTTTCCACCGAATTCCGCGATCGGTCAATGGAGTTCTACGTGCGTCTTTCTCTTTCATTGCGTATATGTCGCGTCTCAATGTTGGATAAGCGGTCGGCTTTGAAAGCTCTTATGTACGCTATCCAGTGCCGGACGACGCAATATATGTCTACGTGCACCTCCGTCTTGTCCACTATGCCCATCAACCGTGCCGTCGCTTACGCCGCATTGAGCGCGACTGTCCCAGTCTATGTGAGCTGAGCCATTTCTTTATTCCGCAGAGATATGCGCTGCAATCTGGCGTTACGACGATCAACGGCAAAATTGCAAAACCTGACACGATCATCCGCAACGGCGATCGCATTGAGTGCGTCCTCTGAAAACAACTGTTTCCTCAGTACGTCCAGCTAATGCGTTACAGAAACATCTCACATCGACATGAACCACCTGTTACATCGACCCCGGTCCGCATCGTCCACCACGACAGGGAGAGAGAATTTATTGTGATAGACAAACCAGGATCGATTGTGAGTGCATACGAACTCTGAATGCCCGCTCGGTATTTGACCCTTTTCAAGCCCGTGCACGCAGCCGGCCGGTTCTTCAGAAATAGCCTAGTTGAGATACTCAAGAATGACTTTGGTTTCGAAAAGACCTACAGTACGTTCATCGGCAAAGGTGCATACGTGCGGTACTCATCCTTGCAGCGGTAAACAGGCTAGATAGGCTCACCTCCGGCTTGATGATCTTGCCGCTAAACGCGAAGCTGGCGAATACTGTGACGCAAGAGTTCATGAACGGGCAGGTGAGAAAGGAATACGTCGCGCGGTGCAACGGCAAATTCCCAGAGTACGCTCTTTTTCGTTCAGTCTATATCCCGACGCTCTTACACACCACTACAGGGAGGAGGTCATATGTGAAGAGCCACTCTTGACTGTCGACAGGCAGATGGGGCTTAACGTTGTGCACCCGGAAGGAAAGGTATGTTACGCGTGCATATCGTGATTCTCGATTACCTGACTCGGTCCAGCACGCCAAAACCATATTCAAAAGGATACGATACGACGCAAACACGGACACTAGCGTCCTCCACTGTCGTCCCATGACAGGCAGATGTATGTCACGACAAAAGTGTCCCACACAGCAGCTGATAACAGTGTCCCCATAGCTCATCAGATTCGCGTCCACCTTCAATACCTCGGCCACCCAATCGCGAACGACCCGATATACTCTGACCCTAGAATTTGGGTAGGTATACATACCTCTGTTCGCATGTATGCGGCCTAATTTGCCTCCGTCGCCACAGGGAGAGAACCTAGGGAAGGGAGGAATTGACCTCACCCCGAGCGAGGAGCGGTCCGCGCCACAGGCCCCGGGGCATTTCCAGTTCGACGCGGCGACTAATCCTGAGTCCTTACACAAGGGAGAGGCCGCCGCCGCCGCTTCATCATCTGCCGCCGAACCCAGCGGAGAGGCGGCGGTGGCGGGCCCGAAACTACTCCCGCGCGAGACCGGCCACGACATCGGGATGGGCTCACCCGTCCCGCTCTCTGCGGAGGTGGTGGGCATCATCACGCGGCTGCGCAACATGAAGGTCAGCGCGCTCCCCTTTGGCTGCGTAGCCCATAACTTCACCATGCTAATGGATCGCAGGATGAGGCTGAAGACTGGGGCCGCTGGCGGGACGTCGTGTTCCGCGCGAAGGGCAAGCTGGTCCCGCATGGGTTCGACATCCCCCTCCCGCCGCAGAACCAACGTAAGCGCGGTGGCGCCGCCTTTGCCGCACTCTCGATCGCGTCGACGCCCCCTCCCGATGCCGCAGATGCCCCGACAACAGGGATGGATGCGGCCGCTGCTCCAACGACAGACACTGACGACGAACCTCCTCGGACGGACCAGATCACGCTCGAAGACGTGGCGAAGTTCGCCAACAGCACGCCTCCCATGTCCGAGACGCCGACGCCGACGCCGCTCGCTGACACTCCTGCGGCGTCGGAGCTGACCTCTTCAGCTGCAGAACAAACGCCTTTGTCAGTGTTCGCAGCGTCCGAGCCCATCGTCACAGAGACGCCGATCGGGGACGCCGAGGGCATGCATTACTGCCCCGAGTGCTTCGTCCCGCTGCACCCGGACCCAAAGCCGGAAACGCTGTACATCTTCCTGCACGCGCTGCGGTATACGACGAGCCTTGGGTGCTTCGAGACCGGGATGCCGGAGTGGGCGGCGGAGGGGTGGGAGTGGGAGCGCTGAGGCGAACAACATCCTAGGTTTCGTATGTGCGTCTTCCCCTGGAGCACGCCGTTCAATCCCCATCTCATCGAGAAGCAGGGCCACAGTATCAATATCTTCAATACTGCGCTGTTCGACTTCATAGACAGAAGCTTATTGCACTGCACTGCCTACCTCGGGCTCGCAACCCAGGATGAAGCTCATTTCGCAGACCCTCTACTGCAGGATGTGCCCTTAGGTGGCGGTTGACTGACAGCGTGTTCTGATGTTTGATGCATCCTTACCTTGTGGCGAGATTTCGCGCTGTGGCATCGCAAGAGGCATAGCCCCTGCAGAGTCTATCCTGACATCTATCCAAACAGTGTTCTTTAGGGTTTTTTTTGCGACGCCGCTAGTGATCATGAGCATAAGGCGCAGCGTATCTATAACCCTGCTTGCCTCAGGTGTCTCGCTAGTGCGTCTTCCTCGACGGTGCCTTGGTAATTCACGCCTTTCTCTCTGCCACAGCCCAGGCGATGTTCTCTCGTGGACCGGTTATGTTCTTGGTCTTCTTGGCCGCCAATCTCGTCGACACAATCCCTCCTACTCTGGCACTGTCATATATCCCACTTCCCCTCGCACAGCACAGGCAAGACAGCGGTGATCTGTCCCTCCCCACTATCCATCCTCCCCATTCCTCATCATCGGCTACACTCTTAAACCGTCGTATAAACTGCCGAGCCCCCCTGCACGAATCGCGAGGATATCAGTGCGGAGTCCTATATGTCCCTCTAGACTGGCAGAACCCGACGCTGGGCCGTGGACGCATATACTATGCCAAATACCCGGCCTCTCCAGGCGTTGTGCGCAAGGGTACAATCTTCATCGACACAGGTGTGTAGTCTGGCGAGGCCACCGGCGTGCGCCCGAGCTCATGTCGTTTTCGCAGGCGTTCCCGTTGCCAGCTCTCGGATATGGAACCCGCAAACATGGCTCGATAGGCGAGGCAGTGCCGTGCACGACTTCACCCACGGCGAATACGATATCGTCGTATGGGACGCACGCGGGAAGGGTAAGGACAACCTCACCATGTTCGTCGTCTCCCCTGTATCATATGCTCGATGTCTAGCTCACGCGTGCAACCAGCCCGGGCCCCGTACGCTGCTTCAAAGACGACATAGAGAGAGACGATTACAGGCGGAAGTGGGACGTGGAATGGGCGGAACAGGCGCTGCAAAGCTCCGATCACATTGCCGAGTACAAACAGGGCATCGAGGAGGTCCGCAAGTGGCACTTCGGACAGTCCAAACTCGTCGAGCACTGTTTGACCCAGCCGGGCGCTGAGATGCTAGCGCATGTGGGGACAGCAGCCACAACACGCGATCTGCTCGCGATGGCCGACGCGTTCGACGGTCCTGGAAGCCCGGTCAACTTCTGGGGCATGTCGTATGGGACACTTGTTGGCGCCCACTTGCTGCGAAGTGCGTACATTCCTGTCTTGTCGTATCTGGGCAATACTAACGCATATTCACAGTGTTTCCTGAGGTATGCAATGCGTCAGATGCAAATACCATCGAAGCTGATGCTTCTGCTTTAGCGTGCAGGCAGGGTCATTCTTGATGATGCAATGGATCCAGCGGCCTTCGCTCAGCAGCCATCATATGACGTCAGTTGTTACCCTATTCATAGCGCGAGAGTACGCACTCATGAAGTACAACGCGTAGATGTGGCGTCAAGACATAGAACAGGCACACAGGTCCTTCACCAGACTTGCAGCCCATTGCGCTGGGTATGATCCGCATGGCTGTCAAACCGTCAACAACAACAGCTCAGAAAGCGAATCTGTAATGCAATACTTACGTATGAGTATAGCGGTGCGTCTATGAGGACCCGCAGTGCGCGGGACAACAATCCGATAACTAATTTCGCCTTGCATAGCTCACTCGGGCATCACTTTTGCAAAACATGCAAGTTTGATACCGCTGTCAGTGTTCTGCGCCATCTAATCAAACTCCCCTTGCAGAGACACATATCAAGCAGACATAACAAACACAAACCTGAGATACATGTTCGAGGGGATAGCGCGTCACAACGACCACCAAGCTAAGCTGCCAAACATCACCGACGTCGCCACCTTCCTCGCCATGGTTTCCTCGTATACCGACGAATCTCTGGGGCTCGGTGTTACGCCCTTAGTTTGTGGCGACAAGCTGCTAGATCACAATGCCACGGCAACACAACAGAACACCAATGATCTTGTACAGTCGCTTGCCCGCGACAGGGCTCGGGCTCCGGCGCTCGGTGAGTTTCCTTATCTCGGTGTACGTTTCTGTTCGCAGCCCTCAAATATACTGCTTCAGCAAGCGATGCTTTCCCCGCGCTGCATTACCTGTGTCACCTGTGGCCGGTGCGAGCGGCAGAGCGATACTCCGGAACAAACGATACCGCCGCCCTTCATGTACCTCGCCCTGGTCCCGCCCGACCTCATCTCCAGATCGTCAGCCACGAAGGTCCTCTCACGAGTTTCCGAGTTTGGGTGCCGCCGGGACACTGGGGTTCCGCGGAGTTCACCGGTGCAACCTTCGTGTTCCAGTCCGGCTTTGGCGTACGTAGTACTCCAAATGCACCGTGTCTCTGCCGCACGCGACTGACCGTCTTGGCTTTGGAAAATACAGATTCCCATGCTTTCACACTCACAATGCATGACAGACGGCATCGCGGATTACCTTCGGAATGGGACGGTAAGTCCTTCGCTTGCTCTCTCGTCCCATTCGTGCCACATGGACGGTTCGAGTTGCTGATGCACGCTTATCTGTCATGTTCATAGGCTCCTCTCGACGGGTGGTGCGATGGGGGCGACCGCCGTTCGGAAATATCTGCGGGCATGGTTTCCCGCTACGATGAAGATATGGCCGCGTCCAGCACCTGGCGCCGCTTCTTCGCTGGAAAATCTGCGTTGGCGCTTTTGATCCTGTCTGTGCTTGGGACGGCCGTGTTGGCATTCAAAGTATGGCGCAGCTTCTCACACGACCGCAAAGGCGCGGTCGAAGCGGTGCTGGGTAAGGTTTGGACGACGCAGAGCAATACTTTGGATGTTCATCCTGTTGGAGGCGAGTCGGTGATTCCTGAGAAGTTCTGATTTTGCCAGACTGGCCTCCCTACTCCCTCGTCTTGTATTTATGACATCTATAGTGTACATTCGCCACTGCTGAAGGTCTCACCCAGGACGTAAAGACCTTGGTTTTCGATGGTATGTAGTACTGTCCGCAGCGCTTCGTTCCGCTGCATCCAGACCCGATGCCCGAGACGCTATACATTTTCCCCCGCGCGCTGCGGTATACGAACAACCTTGGGTGCTTCGAGGCCGGGATGCCGGAGTGGGCGGCGGAGGGGTGGGAGTGGATGCGCTGAGGCGACCACGTCCCACCGGGACTCGTAAGTTCACCGTCATCAGGACTACGCTGTTCCGTCCCCATCTAATTAAGATACAGAAATACCGTATCGACATGCTCCATTCTGCGCTTTTCGACTCGCTAGACAGGAGCCTATTACACTGCAATGCTCGCTGCCCTGGACTCAATTACGACATAGGGCGATTATTCAAGTAGCCCTCCTACTGCGATCTGCGTCCTTAGGTGTTGGTTGACTGTTGATGACAGCGTGTATTTTCAATGCAGCAACCTATGTCAGGGCCCCGCCCTGCGGTCTCTGCAAGAGGCACAGCTTCTGGACATATTCTGTACACTCACGAACAACACCGGTGCATTGACCGCAGTGCCAGAAGATATTATTAGGCCTGTCTTATATTCCCCAATCGCCACAGGTGCTGCATTCTATATTTCCCTCACGACCATTCCCCATAACTGATCCTCAGCTCTTTCTGCCCAAGCCAGGCTATGTCTTCATTCCGACTGGTGGTGGTCTGCACCCTAGGCCTGTTGGCCGCGAGTCTCTTAGACATACCTACTGCACTGGCATCGTCGCAAGACCCTCTCTTGGCCCAATTCACTCAAGACGGGGGCAATATGGTTCAGCCCGCTTTCCACCATCCTTCTCACTCATCGCCAATCGGTGCTACGAGTCCGGCCGCACCCCCACCGTCGCAGCCTACGCCCCAGCCTAAACCCCAGTCACAGGTGCGCCCAGAGCCGCACAATCAGTCTCCGGCACCTGCTCACCATCAGGCGCACCAGAAGGGTCAGCCCCAAGGGGAGCCCCTTGAGGCCTCGCCGACCCCGGCCCAGCCACAGAGTGGACCGCCTTATGTGTATGATCCGAGTGTGACGTACCCGGACCCAAGCGTACAGGCGTGGGCGTTCTACTACGCAAATGGTGGCATGGATCCCGCTGGCGCGGTCTACTTCTTCTCGGTCCCAGGCGTAACGGATCGCCCTCCCGTTTCCGACCATCCTGCGCCGGTACCTCATGCGGTGAGTCTTGCCAGTGCCTCCATTCGCTTCCCTGCGTATCTAGGTTTAATAGCGCCCGACCGCTAACCTCTATCGATTGTGCGTACCAGCTGCCCACCAGACGGAAAGGGTTGAGCGTATTTGGCGACGACGACGAGGGCGACGAAGATGACGAAGATGACGGACTCACTCTTATGCATCATGCCCCACGCAAACCCCAACGCGACTCCCCCGCTAACCAGCATCCTTGGGAGGACACAGAGATCGAACGGTTGGCGAGTCTGCTGAGACTCGCGATCGTTATGGTGATCGGCATGGCCCTATTAGCATTCAAAGTACGGTACAACCTATTACGCCCACGCAAAGGCGACGGAGACGTAGCACTAGATGGAGCTCGCGCGGCCCAAAACAACGTAAATAAGGAAGAGGACTCGACGGTTATACAGAAGTGCTAACGATCGCCTCTTCCCTTGTCCTGTATCTATGTATATCTACCCATGTACATAGATGCGCAAAGGCGAGTGCTTGAACCAAGATATAACCTTTTCTACAGGCTCCGTAAGTTGTGGGCATCGAGTCACTGGTCGTGGGAGGTGATCAGCGTCGCGTGTCGATGCCTTGAAAACGACGAGGTATGAAAACGACGAGGTATGAATCCCATGTGGAGGATGCGACGAGTTGAACTTTTTGGAGAGGTACGTGAGAACGCCCGGTCGTCGACTCGTATAGTACAAGCAATAATGCATAGATCGTGGATCCCCGGTCCACTAGTCCGTCCGGCTCTCCGCCTCCTTTTCCTTCGGCCATAGATTCCGCGGGAGGTGTGTCGACACGGTAAAGAGCACGAGCGCGAGCGCGATCATGATAGGGTACACGCCGTAGCCCCCCAGCCAGTTCCGCTGCAGGGAGACCGCGAAGAGCGAGGTGGATGCCACGGGGCCGAGCGCGCGCACGACGGACGCAATGAACTGCGCGATGCCGTTCGTCGCGCCCAACGCGCGGTTGTTCGCCGCCGAGGACGTGATGAAGATGAAGATCGAGCCTATCAGGCCAATGTGTCAGGTTTCGAGCTGAAGCCCACGAGGTGAGGGCGCAGCGAGGTCACGTACCGAACGCAAGGTCCATAACAACGAGCAGCATCTGCTGCAGGAGCACGAGCGCCCAGATGACGGGGGTGATTCCGTGCGCCTTCGCATACAGGCTCATCACGGGGAAGAGCGCGTACAGCGGGAAGAACGCGAGCAGGCCCTGCTGGAAAAGCCGCTTGGGCCCATAGCGGTCCATGAGCCGCGCGAAGAGCAGCGCCTGGAAGCAGCCGTTGAGCAGCCCGAACGTGCCGATGATGACGCCAATCGTGGGCGGGGCGAGCCCGAGCCCGCCGAGCGGGATGGGCGTGGCGAGGAAGAGGGGGAGCAGCGCGAAGAACGCGATGTCGAGCACCGCGACGACGGCGTAGTTCGCGATCGAGATGACCACGCGCCGCGTGAGCACCTTGCGCAGGGGCGGGGGCGCGTCGTCGTGTGCGGAGCTGGTAGGGGCCGTGTCGTCCGTTGTGGCGGGATCGCGACGGGCCCGCTTGTGGACGGTCTGTGAAGTACGGTGAGCACTTGCATGCCACTGTACGACGAGTTAAATCACCTCTTTCAAGAAAATCGCGGTGATCACGAACGTGAACGCCGAGAACGCCGCAGACGCCGCGCACGGCAAGAAGTACGGGTACTTGCGCCAGAACGGGTGGGTGAACACGCCTGGCCACCGGTCGTGCGGCCGTGCCAGTTGGCCTCCAATAAGCGGCCTACGACGAAAATCAGATCTCGAGCAGGAGTTCATATTGGAGATGTGCGTACCCCATAGTTGAGCCAGCGGACCACGCAACAGGGAGCATGGCAAAGCCGTGAGAGATATTCGTCTCATCCGTGATTTCTGTTACAGAACGCATGTGTCAGAACGGCCAAGTACTAATCGCTGATTTACGGCGAGAGCCCCTTACCTGCCATCATGCTCTTCATTACGCCCGTGTTGCCGTTGAGCATTCCTACAAGGCTACGGCTGCAGGATGGTCAGCATTCGGGAGGGAACCACTGTGGGTAGCTAAACAAACCTGACAACAAGGCCCCAGAACGTCTTCGAGAGACCGAACGAGATCATGGATAAGAAGAGTCCTGCGACGCCCACGAGCAGCACGGGCTTCCGGCCTATGTGGTCCGAAAGCCGCGACCACTGGAATACAAACAACGCCTCCATGGCGAAGAATATCGATTCCTAGAAACAAGCACAACTTCGTGTCAGCGTCGTTATCCCCCTCAGCGTCGCTGCGAACTTACGATCATCCCGGCATAGTACCCGACCTTCCTCTCGTCCCCACCCGTAATATCGAGGTCGGTAATGAGCTGCAACGCATGATGGTCCGTGAGCCTCCGCAGAAAACTATCAAAAACAACACATACCTGGTTGATAAACGGGTATATGCAGAGCGCCGTAATGGGCTCCGCCAGTCCCAGCAGCATCAGAATGGAGATTTGCCCCTTAGGCAGAGGCGTCGGCGTTTTCGCCCCCACTCCATCCCCGCTCCCCTGGCTCTCCGCCGCAAGCAGGAGCGGGGTCGTCTCTTCGAGCACATCCTCCACAGGCCGCGAAGCGTTCATCGTTGTCGGCGTACGTGAACAACCACCGTTTGCGTAAACAGAAGACCCGGGACCGAGAGCTGCAGACACTTTTGCAAGGCACGGCGATCCACGGACTCGGTAGATCGCAGCATCAATATATATGCCCCCGATGCCCCGGCGTCGGCGATCGAGTTCGTTGCTCGCAAATTGCGATGACTGTTTATCTCGAGTCTATGACTCGAGCTCCGAAAGCTGACGCTCGTGGGAGCAGTGCGGGAGCTCGTTTTACCGCATGAATTGAATGAAGTCTAGGACATCGTGAAAAAAAAAGTCGTCAGGAACGAGATGGGGAGATGGTGAGCGAGTGTAGGGGAGACGTGCGGTGGTGGTCTGGAATCTGGACGGAAAAAGTTTGTTCGCTGGCGTCTATTACTGTCGCCCATGGAATGGCAAAACTGGACAATCAGGGGATTGAACCCTGGACCTCACGCATGCGAAGCGTGCGCGCTACCACTGTGCCAATTGCCCATGAAAACGGCTTTCTCGGCGTCCATAGCTCGCGCCCACGCACAACTAAGATATTTGTTGGGTAGTAAATCACACGGCCAGAGAGAAGTAGCGATGTGTACAACATTCAAACATGCTGGAATACAATAACAAAAGATACTGAAACACATCAAAGAAGGAGCACGTCGGCCTCCAAAACGTCAAACCGTCCACCCGTGAAACCCCTCTTCCTCATGAAGCTCTCCCCAACGAACCCCTGCGCGGTCTGCCTCCGCATCCGCGCCGCCGCCGTCGCAGCGCGCCGGTGCTTCCCCAGTCCATGCGGAATAGCCTGGTGCCCGCGGTTGGCGACCTCGAGGTCGGCGCTCGGCTTCTCCTCGAACTGCCAGGGGTCATAGCGGCGGCGCAAGGGCTGCACGAACGCGTCCGGCTCAGCCTTCTCCTCGTCCTCTCCTCCTTCGAGTATGGCCAGAGTGTCATTTTCCCAATCCAGAGGCTGGGAGTCCGCCTTGTACTTCGCGGCGGCCTTGCGTGGCTTGCCACGGAGCCGCTTCACGGTGTCCCCGAGCTCCCAAAAGGCGGCGATCGTACGCGCGTCAAACGCAAACGCACTCGGACTCGCGGGCGCAGTGGAGCGCCTGAAGCGGGGCGAATCTACCAAGTCCGATGCCTCGGGAGGCCCGGGAGGGAGGATGAGCAGACGCGAACGCGGCCGCTCTACTAGTGCGATCCGCGTACGAGCGGAAGTGAGGTGTGGCATATCTTGAACTAGGTTCCCAGCAGTAGCTATGTGTTCCCCGGAAGCAAGGATAGGACTCTCCACCACCTCAGAGTAGAGCGAGGCCGGTGGCGTCATAGCATGGACAGAGACAGACGCATGATGCATGGCGGGTACCACAGCAGTGTCTGAGACCAAGAGGGTGTCGTCTTTCGCGAACAACACGTCGACACTACCTGACAGAGGGGAAATCGCAAGGAGGTCCGGTGACGTGCAAGGCGTGTTCGGCACAGGCGTCTCCTGTTCTCCAGCATAAGGTCCAGGCGCACTGATCAGCGGAGCAGCAGAGACGGCCAAGTCCCCAGTAGAAAGCGCCTCAGTTCCAGTTCCAGCCTGAGAAGCTACAGCATTGCCCAGACCAAGTACCTCAGGGCGCGCAGAAGCAGAAGATCCAGACCCAGCGAGAGACACAGACATGTTGTGCGACAGAGACTGTAGGATGCGTGTGCGCAGGTCCAAAAGAGCCGCAGGCGCCGCCGGAGCCCTGCTTCGTTCCTGGAGAGACGGCGCAGTTCCGAGCTGTTGAATGCGAGTGCGCGCTTCCGCCGTGCCTAGCATGGAGCGGGCATGCGGTGGGACGTACGTGGATGATAAGGCTTCCTGGTCTGCGGGAGCGCCACCTGAGTGCGTTCTGGAGACCGCGGGCGCGGCGCTCGCGAGGTGATCTTGCTGAGTGAAAGCCGCTTCCTTAGAATGGCGGCGCTCGGCGAACAGCAACACCTCGTCGTCGCCGGAGTTGTCACTGTCGCTAACGTCTCCATTAACGCACAGGTCGCTAGCCAGCGATCCATCGCTATCAGAGTTGTAGCCCGAGCTCGAATCGTCGTCGTCGGACTCGACAGATCGCCATGCTCGCATCGCCTTGTCGTCCATTCCGCCGCATACATCTCCGCCGAACGTAGCAGGACGAGGATGGATAGTGTTGACAGGAGGACGGCTTGTACTGGGGGTCGACCAGAAGGTGTCCTCTGCGCTGACCCGTACGCCCCCGGAAAGACCTCGCTGGGGGCGAACGACATCCGTGCGTTCGCCCGCCCGATCCGCCATGTCGCGCAGCTGCGCGCGTGCAGTGACGGAGAGCATGCTCGGGCCCATGGAGGGTTGTCGTGGGACGAAGGCAGCGGGCATCGGCGGAGGCGTCGCGGCGAACTCCGCGTTCAACACGTTGTCGCGGTTGCCAGCAAGCATACCTGTCCTCCAGTTGTCCGCCTCCGACGTGTGCCGTGTTCGCCAGGACGTCGTCCGCCCCGAGGCCGTGGGCGTCGCCTGTGAAGTTTCGTCCTGAGGCGCGACCGCAGCTGGAGCTTTGTACAGGGGTATGGGAGCAATGCGACAGGCGAGGAGGGGATGATCGAACTGTTCCGGTGCAACGGGGAGTCCCGGAGAAGCTGACGAAGACGAACTTGTGGATGAGGATCTTCTTCTTACTCCACTAGCGACTGCCGTACACAGCTGCTCGGAAACAACGCGGGGCCGGGGAGAGGGTGCAGGCGGTGGCTTCGCGGCTACCGCTGCGTAGCTCAGAGGCGTCGACGAATGAATCCGGCGGATAGCCGGAGGAGCTGGAGCGCTGGGCTGCTCGGAGGAAGCCCTCTGGCGCTGTATTGTGTGCTGGTTTTGGTCGACCGCTGCTGTGTTTGTGAACGGCAACATCTGTGACGTGCTTCTGTTCCGTTCCAGGAGCACCATGCTGGTCATATGGGCGCCTCCCCCGCTACGACTGCGTCCTACTTCGTACACGGGTCGCCTGGTCTGTATATCGCTCCTTAGGGGCGGGTTATGCTGTGCGTCGATGATGTCGCGCTGCAGCATATTAGCACCCACAAGGGGGACCAGAGATCCCACAGTACGTAGTCTCCGAGGTACAGGGTTCCGCAAACGAGACTGGGTACTGTCATTCGTACGTTATGAGACACGGCGCAAGCTAGACACATAGAGATATCTCACCTGCTCTCGGAGAAGACATCAACGGCGTCAGCAACGACACGGTCAAGACGACGGCGCTCATCACGCGCTGTTGCGCCCTCGGCCGCGTGAACCTGCAGCTGGGAGACAGCGTATTCGACACCAGCACTTGTAAGAGCGATTTGCTGGCCTGGTATCCCGAGCCGCGAGACCAGGACCTGCGAAGAACTATTAATTCACGACCGTACGATGACAGAGATGAGTGAGGTGCATACGCTGGAAGCACGGCGGGAGCGTAAACCAGGAGGCTTCGTAGCACTCATTTCTGAGTCCCCGTGGATGTGGGCCACAGAGTCGGGTGATATGAACGAGATTGTTGTATCGACGCAGTCGTCGGATAAAGCCAAATCTGGGACAGCCATATCTTCTGGCAAAGGGAGGGGCGTATAATCTTCACGCTGGTCGCCAGAGACGAAAGCTCCAATGAGCGTTACGTCGGCAAGCAAAGGCGTGGAATGAGGAGAAGACGAGGGGCTACTTTGTGGCGTACTCTGCATGCGTCCGGGAGAACCAGAGAACCATTCGCAGGGAGCGCCGTCATGAGGTTCCACGTCGGAGTCTTCGAACTCGGTTTGCTCCACGATATCGCTCAGCGAGCGAGACCTCTGCAGTTCGCCTGAGAGTGGGATAGAGCTTTCGACCTCCTCTTCGTCGTACCATGGTAGAAGAAGCTGGGACACGAAGTCGGTCGTAGATGGAGAGACCGGGACTGAACTGGAAGACGACAGGCTAGGGGATGATAACAGCATATCAGATGTAGGCAGAGGGACTTGTACGTCGCTATATGGAGATTTGTATGGCTGTCTGCAAACAATTAGACACCGTGAGTCTGTTGCGTTGGCACTACGGCCCTGGGCTTCCAGAAGAGGGATGTTGGCGGGCTGCTGGGATGACAAGACGCGCTTCGCGTATAGTTGCACCAAGGCTGACCGGGTTGCCCAGAGAACAAGAGGGATAAGCAAGACGAGAAGTTCGAGTAGCTGCCAGAACGAGGGAAAGGCGACCCTGAGGAGTAGGTGATGGATAGTCGTCGTGAAAGCTTCAAAGAAAGGATGCGATGTGTGAGTGTGCACATCGGGAAGTGCCAATGAGTCGATAGTGAGTGTGTTGTCGAGACCATGGGCTAGTTTCTGCGCGTCGATAGAGATGTTGATTGGCGTTGAGGAGCTCGGCGACAAGTACTGAGGATGGAAATTACCCGCTAAAGACCGCGTCCAATCACTTAGCTTCCCTGAACGAAATAGCATGGGAAGCAGAGGTAAGAAAGACGCCAAGAGCGCCCGCATGAGCTGATATAGCATGGTGTCAAGAAAAGAGAGGTGTCGCAAGGATAGAAGAGGAAAGAGGAGGGGTGGTGGTGGTGGAAGAGGAGAAGAGGGAGGACGGTGCTCAAGCGACGGAAACGAACCTACCCCGTCACATTTCGCATCGTCACATTCTACCGCCGATGCTAACGTCGAACTCGTCTTGCCTTCTGCTCTCATCTTGCGCTCACTACAACCCAGTGGTCATCTGAACGTTGGCCGCTGAGCTCTCTGAATCGTATATGTCAAAATGTGAACGCGGCTAGACGACTGCCATCCACCTCCAGATGCCGTGAGGCTGCCTTACGAGCCTAAACGCACCTAGCGAATGGAGGACATCGCTGCGTAAGCGGTTCATTTTCGTTGCCACAGAACGGGATGCCGACCTTTTCCATACATAGGGTGGATGCTCGCCTTGTGCCAATGCGACGGTGGCGGGTTGGTCGATGCCGCGGAGAAAGAGTTACCGGACCTGGTCCGGTAGTTGATCCTAGCTGAACAGCGAGCATGTAAGTGTGCACAATTCTCAACAGATGGAGGGGCATACTCAGCGAATGGATGGTGGTTTGCTGCAGTACCAATATGATCAAATACAGGAATGCTTTGCGCATGCCCATGCATTTCATATCGTCAAATCCGAGGCACGCGGGGCTTCGTCAGGCTTCCCGCGAGACTTTGCACAAACTGCAAACTTGAGCGCGCCTTGGTGTGCAGTTCTACGTCGCCGTAACCATGCGCGGTGATGCAACTATACCCGCAGAAAGCTAGAAGAACATTTGAACAAGAGCGAGAGCACCTGGACAAGGCCACCCATATATGTCTGCCTCGCGGCAAAGCCGCTAGCGCTTGCCTGTGAACGCTACACTTTTGTTTTCTCCGTATCCACTCGTTTCCGCAACCCACGGTGTCGTCTTCCTTGACGATGCCTTTTGTCTAAACGAGCTAGAAGGACTTCCTGCGCGCCCTCAAGCACCCACAAACTGGTCTATATGTATGAAGGTGAGTAGGACCGGGACGAGTCGCACCAATCATTTCCGCGCAGCGCGCCTACTCGGAGTTCCAGTCATTTTCCCTCGCTCGGCACTTGTTGCTATACACGTACAGTTCGGTTGATTAGCTCACGACGTCGCTCATGGCAGGCCAATCCGTCTTGAACCCCATCTACGTCCATCCCCTCACTTCGCCCGCGTCCTCTCACTCTTCACTCTCGTCCTTCGCCAACTCTTCGCTCTGGAACTGTGACCTTCTGCATGCGCCTGTGCGTACGGCGTCTGCAGCCACGTCGCTTCCGGCGCCTTCGCCTTTTGCCTCATCCGTAGACGTTCATCCCCACTCGCCGACATGCGACTTGCGGCAGCGCCTCATGAACATCCTCAACTTCACGAGCGAGCCTAGCTCGACACCGCCCCAGGTATCTATCACGTCCTATGACCCGTACGCTCACGCAGGCCCCGCACCGCACCGCCCCACCTACCCCCATACTAGTGTGATGCTCTCTCCCTTGACGCCCGCTTATGCCCACAAAATCGCCGTCTCGCATCCATCTCTTCCCTCGCCTCTGCCTACGATGTCCTTCGCTGCCCCCGTACCTCGCATCCCGCTCGTGTCCGTACTCCGCCACCTCGACGCGTCGTGGGCGCCTATCTCGCCCGCCGCTTCCGCTTCTGCACCCACTTACGCCCACGACGCAACCCAAGGACCCGAGGGAGGAGCCGAACTGCCGCAGTTGGGACTCGGACTGGTGCTTGGAATGGGCGGTGTGCCAATATATATCCCGCGCGGGCAGCTCGACCTGGGCTCCCCATCGCAATCGCAATCCAGGTACTCCCAGCGCCTGCGCAGCATCGCACCCGCACCCCTGCAGCTCGCGTCGCCCACGCCGCGCGCTCCCCTCCGCACCCTCCGGCAGCCCGCAGCGCAGACGCCACCTGCACTTACCTCCGCCCATCGCGTCGTCACGCCAGCTTCGGCCGTCTTCGCGGACGTACCGCTCGCCACCGCCGACTTGTTCGCCACCGCGTTCTCTATCTCGCCACCGTCAGATCGCAAAGGGTCGACCTCGTCCGCAATGGCGTCGCCATCCACCGCGCCTACATCGCTCGTATTTCCTGGAGATTCGGAGAACAGGCACCCTGGGTGGAGTACCAACCCGCCGACGTATGTCGACACGCTTAACTGGCAGCGGTCTCCATCGCGGTCTCTGGGTAGCCCGTACTCTCCCTTTACGCCAAGGTCTGCGCACGCGGGCCCGTCAAATCTTCGTAGGACCGTGTACAGTCCCAAGACGCCCACACGCAAGTCAACTCGCGAGCCCCAAGTTCTGTTCACCCCTGCAGGCCAAACGGTCGCTGCACCGCCACCACTCCTTCGAACGGGCATAGTGTCGCTTCCAGATGTGACGGACGAAGGATTGCCGTCGCCGGAGAGTCAGCTTCTCTCGCCGCTACATGCGAATCTGCGACTCGATATGAACACCGAGGACCTCATGCTCAGGACAGAGAAGTGCTCCGAGACGATCGCGCGCGCATCGCTGGTACGTTCGTACATTTGTAGTACAAAGCCGAGTACTCACACGCAACTTTCTTTGGTAGTCTCTGTGCTCCTGCAGCCTTCTCCGAGAGCCGGAGGCCATCATTGCCCTCTGTGACGCGCTCCGAGAGACCTTCTTGTCTGTCCAACGCGCGCTGGATGGCACTCCATCTGATTTCTCTGTGGACGGAGTAGACGCGAAACGGCTGTGGTATGTCAAGCACTGGCAGGTAATCGCTTCCCTGGACAGGTCAGTCTCTCGTCGTTTAGGTGTACGCCCGCTTGCTGACGCATCAGTGCATCTGTCCTAGGAACCTCAATCTCTTTTACTTGCTCGCGCACCAGATCGAGAAGCGTCCGCCCAGGATCCACACGCTTGCGTCGCTCATCGACAAGCTGAGTACGTACCAGGCTAAGTTCGCGGACCTCGCGCGGCGGATCACTGTGCGTATACCCTCTCCGCAACGCAAGATACAGCATCACTCACCGCGCCTCTGTTGCCCACAGCTCTCGCACGAGAAGTTTCGCTTCCTCGGCCTCCGCGCCCAGCTCTCCTCGCGCACTCCAGTGGCCGACCATGAGGACCACGTCTTGCTGCACGACGCGCGCGCGACACGCCAGGAAGGGCGCGCACGGCGGCGCGAGATACGCGAGGAGATAACGCGCGTCCGGGGGCGGATGCGCTCGATCTGCGAGCGCGACCTAGAGAACACCGGCATGCCGAACACGACTTTTCACGACGAAGACGAAGACATGGATCGTCCAGGATGGGTCCGTAAGGATGGAACTCGACGATAGATATCAGAGAGCCGGGAGAGTCATCGTGGCTGGTGCTTGCGAAGGCGTGGCTGCCGGCAGGTGGGGCGCACATGGTACCTCATGGCTCCAGGCCTCATTTTCGTCCAGCTCACGCCTCGTACACTGGCGCTCGTCTCTGCTACGGTTCCCCGGGGCGATCTGGGTGTCACGACATGATGTAACGACCTCGCGACGCCGTACATGCGCCGCCACACGCATGACGGAGTCAACGTCTGCTTTGATGTATCTATAGGAAATGTAGCCTATGTATCGTCCATGATCTATTGCTAATGAAGTCACTCGTAGTTCCTACTGTTCGTCTTTGTGCCCACCGTATGCCTGTTTCCACGGAGGTTGCATCGCCGGTCGTTGACCCGGGATTCGTATACATCGCGCCCGGACCCATCTCGCCAATAGACCTCGTCCAAGTTTCCAGCTCAAGAGACCTAGATTCAGGGACTCGGAATGTGTCATGCTAGTGTAACTACAATATTGATATACATAAGCCGCGAACTGTGTCAAAACATGGGGAGGAAGTAGCACTCCGAGTCTGAATCTGGTTCCTGGACGCTGCTAGCACCCCTCGGCACTCGCGCCGGGAACACGGTTGGCGTCCAGAAGTCTCCGTCCGGCCCCGGGTCAAGTGAGCCATACTCCCGATAGAACCGCTCCTTCCTCTCGTCCGTCGTACGCGTCCTTCGCCACCCCGACAGCGGAAGCTCCGCGTCCTGCGCCATCAAGTCGCAGATGAGCGTTTCGGAGGTTACTGGATCCCGCATGTTCAAGATGCGTTCCAGCCGCTCAACAGCCTCCCCGTCAGGCAGGGTCCTGCCCTCGTCGGCCATGCACCGCAAGAAGCCGCGCAAGTCGTACACGGTCCCCACAAAGCGGATCCACTCGCGCTCTTCGCGCGGCTGCTTTGGGCTGGTACGGCTTTTCGACGACTCGGCCGGCGGGGATCCGGGGCTTGCACTGGACGGGTGTTGGGGTGGCTTGGTCACATCGACAGGCGGGCCCGGGAAGATGCATTTGTAGTCGCAGACGACGGAGACTCGGCGGGCGGGCGCTGGGGGTTGCTAGTGGGGGGAGGCTCTTTCCGCACGCCTGGACGTTTGGTAGTGGAAGCCGACTGAGCAGCTTGAGTCGTGGAGGAACGCTGAGCTTTTCGTTTGGCCTGCGAATTTTCACCGGAGGTTGACTCGGTTGTCTTCGGCGGCGCTGCCTTCTGGTCCGAGTCTGGCTTGCCATCCCTAGTAGGCCTAAAGCTGGCGCAGGGACGCCCAGAAACGAAGTCATGTTCAGGCAATCTGTCGTGAGTTGGGCCTGGGTGAAGAGGAAAAATGTTCCTGCATGGCGGGGTTTTTTGTGGACAGGTGTGAAGTCTACCAGTGGGATCTCAGCTCGTCCTGGATCGCCGGGTGCAAGGCCTACGGGCATGGTGCACCGCTCAGCCACTTCGTAATGAATGAACCCCCACCGATTGCGACCGGGAACGCGAAATCGACGGCGGCTATGGTCCCAGTCGAAGCGAAACACCCAGATCCCGCCATCGGACACCTGGGACAGGTCGAAGTCGCCACCGTGAGGGGGCACGCTGACGATAGACTCTCCGAATCTGTGCTCCTGGAACGCAAGAGGCAGGATGTTTGTAAGAGCCTGAGCCCGAACGACCTGGGAAGGCGTGAAGAACGGTAATGAGATGAAGGGGGAGTCCTCCACGGATACACGTGTGTTATGATGAAACGCAAACGAGATGACGGGAGGGGCCGCATAATGACAGGAAAGGAAGGGTGGGCATGTCAGGACTGTAGCCCAGCGCTTACTGCAGGCGTCCAGCAACACTGGATGGAAACCCCTACTCACTTATTCACTCTCTTGGACGTGAGACCTGCGCGCCGGTCGCCCATTTAACCGCTGCCAGTACGGTACGCATTCATGCGCTGCGACGTCCTCCTTGCGGCATGTGGTCGCCAGCCGTATAACAGAGTACGTGCACGACGTATAACTTGAAGGGAAGCAGCAACTTTGATGAGAGGGCTTACTAGTACATGTTCTGCAAGCGAACTTTGAAAATCCTGTGTGCTACGAAGCAACAGAATCCCTGAAAAACCATAGAGCCGCAATTTAGACAAATCCATACCGATCAACAGGTAATATCACGTACTTGCACGCGGGAGCTTCCACTACTGCTCCAAATGGCCCCACCATCGTCCTAAGGTTCGTGGGTTCCCACTCCCAGTTCCAACATCGCCGCCACATCCGGCATCTTCATGAACGCATAGTACTGAGGATGTGTGCATACTTCACAGCACACTGGCGTCGCCAGCCGCACGTTCGGGAACACGACGCGCAGGAATGACGCGACCGCACCCGGATCGTCGAGCGGTGGCGGGCGGCACACACCTAGTTCGCGCAGCCCGTGGCCGCCCTCCAGGAGCGGCGGCTCGGGGAACCATTCCGCCATCGTGTCACGGATCACGGGCCCGCGCAGGTGTAGTGTGTGTAGCTGCGGACAGTGCCGCGCGAAGGCGATGAGCGTGGCTGGCGAGACGTCGCCTTGCAGCGTCGTAACGAAGCGTAGCGCACGCAGGCGCGGCCAGGTCTCCGCGAAACGCGCGAGCTCGCGGTCCCCACCCACGGCGGTAGAGAGCATCATGGGTGTGCGGATGGAGAACTCTTCGAGAGCGGGCGCAAGTGGGAGCATGCCGAAGAGCGTGTGGAAGTCAGGGATATTGGCATGCATATGTCTTTCCTGATCGCCGGGTCCGAATCCGAATTTTGAGAGGCCAACAGCCATAGAGCGAAGCGCGGGGAACCGAGTAATGGCATCGTGGAACAGCAGTTCCAAGGTCGCACTGTCCCAATAGCGCAAGGAAAAATTGAGGGTGTGAATGTTGGGCGACGTGAAGGGTGAGAGAATCCCAGTAGAGTCCACCTCCGTCAAGGTGAGTGTCCGGAGGGCATGAAACCCGTGGATGCGGGCGAATCCGTCAGGATCCTCGCACTGCGAATCGAGAGACACCGATAACTCTGTGAGTCGTGGAAGTGTTGCGAGTCCAGCAATGAACTCTAGATCTTCGATAGAGCAAAGTGGCTCAAGGTGGAGGGTGCGGAGTGTATGGAGTTGGAGGACGGACGTCCAGGCTAGATTGTCGACACCAATATCGTCCGTGTATGAATATATCTGCAGCTCTCGAAGATCATGCAGCAGAGGGACCACCGTCTGGAGGAGGAGGTTGTTACCTGCGCACTCGTCGTCTGCCGCGTCCGTATTCCGTGCGTACATCAACCAAATAGTGAACTTTTGGAGGGTTGGCGTTACGAAGAAGTGGAGAGTCGGTGTTATGGAAAGGGGGAGATTGGCTTGATGAGGCGTCGTCAGGTTCCAAGTCAGCTCCTGTAGACGGGGAAACAGCGGTCGACCACGGCTGTACCTCGAGAGCTGATAGTAGACTGATGGGTGGATGCGATACGTCTCGGAATGCTTCGTGATGACTCGTACATGTTTTGCATAATGGCAGAACCGGTCCCATTCTTCCTGGCGGATGTCCCTTTCGAAGGTCTGCTACAACGCGTTAGCGACTGGTGGGTTAACAAAGACGAGAGCGTACGTAGTAGAACTTAGAGTTGACCTCTGTGTCTTGATCCCTGCTGAATCCGAAGAAGTTATCCTCCAGGTCTTCATCACTGTCGACGGAGTATTCCTCTGTATCATCGTCGCCGACGAGGGTAAATGACGGGAACAGTGCCCATGCGACCTTCAAACCGGGAAGTACACTCCACAACGCCGCTATAGCTGGTCCATAGAACGCCCTGCAAGCTTGAGCAGCACTTGATAGGCCACGGCGGCAGTCGAAGGCGGATTTGTGCTCCAGGGTGTTCCGCGGTTCTGTGGCGGAGGGTCTCAAATGTGTGAATACCTCTCGCAGGATCTCATCCACGAGCAGCGCTGGATGAGGTCCCGTGCCTTCAAGTAGAGTCTACATACGAGTAGGCCTCAGCACAAACAGCGCATCCCTACAGTCGCAGCCTAGCACTTACGGCCTTTCTGATAGATAAGTGGCCAGAGTAAGGCGCACGGGACATAATCGAGGACGAATACAAAGTGAGGGTTGGTAAAGTTGGTGTTGGGTGGTTAGCCTTGTATCCGCCTCTTGCGAATGAGATATAAACGATGTTTCGTGAGGCCGGGATCCTAAGAACCCTGCCGTATGATGAGTGGTCTGTTCGTCGCGCAGTCCGAGTCAGTGGAGTGGCGGTGCGGTCGACAAAATGCATACCATTCCACGTACCCTACGCACTTCGTGGCATTTGACTTCGTGGAAGTCCGTTTGAGTAGCAATGAGCCAAGTTGCAAAGCAAGTGGGCGCACCGTATGTCGAGGGAATCGTCCCGCCACATTATTCATCAAACCTGCCCTTAACTCGACGCACTATGCTTCATTCGGATATAACCGGCCGGGCACTCTGGCTTTTTCGAACACCCTCCGGCAGGCTTTATTCTAGTCTAGCCCATACCTATCGTCTTAGCCCAGGCCCACACACGACCAACTCTTGAGTGTGGACAGGTATGCGACACCAACAGGCACTAAGTATGCATAATCCAGGATTTGTGTCAACTCGATACGAGTCATACCGTATACGACATGTTTGAGCATGCATATGATCTCGCGAAGCTCTTATGTTTGCATTGTTCCCCAAAAACCGACAACGATGAAGTATTCTGTGAAGCAGGTGATTGCCATACTCGAACTGTCCCGGAAGCAGTTATATGACGCTCAAGTGATCAATCTTCCCACAGCGCCGACTCCTAAGTCCCCAATCTGCCGCCCGAGATATCAAGTAATGTACATCCTCACTTGTGCTTCTGCGATGACCATGTCTCAATCACCGCACCCTGCGATCCTCATTCCCGAAATCATCGAAGAGATATTCGATAAACTCAGGCCTCATACAGAAGAGGAAAGCATCTCTGGTGAAAGCCGGGTGGCGCTTGCGCGTGCGGCACGCGTTTGCAGGGCTTTCCGCGAGCCCGCGACCAGGTCTTTGTGGAGGGCGATACCTGGCATAGAGCCGGTACTACATTCTCTGGTGTCTGTGTCGCTGCTATCTGTTTCTAGGACACCCCTGACCGGTCTCGCATCGGTTTATATCGATGCGGCCGTCCCCACCTCGCGGACAAAGGTCAATCGGTCGTACACCGTGGCGGTGAGTGCCATACCCTCGCTGCTTGGAATTCGAGCTTACATATGTTGATATGCTGCTTCAGCAGAACACCGCTGCACTTGTACACCCTGGAGAGTGGGATGTTCTGTACCGCCGTGCGGCGTACACTCGAACCATCTTCAAAGGATCGCCGCGCTTTTGCGCCTCATCGGACGTCCACGTCTTCTTGAGCTACAAAACCAGCGGACGTCCTCTCTTTCCAAACGTGCAGGCTCTGTCATGGTTCTCGGAGACGCTCAATCACCTCAGTCTGCTGCCCCTTCTGTCCCCCACCGTACGGATGCTCAAGCTTAGCTTCGGACGAGGCGTCGACGAGGCGATACCAATGCATCTTATGTGGCGGTGGGTGCTGCTGAACCAGAATCAGCCTGACGCGACCGAGGGGATCATCATAGATCAGCTTCTACAAACGACCCTTCCCCGTCTTGGTGGACTGGTCGAATTAGAAGTGCAAGGGTCGGTCTTCGTTTCCCCCATGCAGGAATTGGAGTCGTGGGCCCGGATCGGCAGCCTCCAAAATCTGCGGAAGCTGACGCTCGACCACTCCTGTCTTATCGTCAACCCGGCTTACCTGCAGCATCTCGCGGCGCTGCCCGTCCTGGTGGAACTCTCGCTGCACCTCATATGTGACGGGGCCACCGTACAGACTAGTTTCCCCGGCTTTTCCGCCCTCGAAAAGCTCACGCTGGACGTGTACGCACGCTCCCACGAGGGCATCCTCGATTCCTTTATCTCACCGGGCCTGCACACACACTCTGCCAGTGTCAGGCTCGAGTACACTGCTCAAGCTGCTATGCCCGCCATCGTCAACGACATTGCCCGCGCATACCCACATATCCGTTCTATCTCGCTCAAAGAACACTCTAGACAAAGCTCTGAAGCGCCCTCTACAATCCCCTCGTTCGATGCAGTCTTCGGGCGGCTCGCACAGCACGCGGACGTCGAGGAGTTCGTCCTGCACACCCGCTACGGCATGTCCATCTGCACCGCGCGAGACAAGGACTTCTCGCGCCTTGCGCAGAGCTGGCCGCGCCTGCGCCTCTTCAGCTTCCTCTCCGCGCCGTTTGGCGCACAGCCCTCGCACCACGCCGTGCTCGCGTTCGCGCAGCACTGCCCCGCCCTGCGCACGCTGCACCTCCGTGGGGTCGACTTCAGCGGGCTCACGAAGGAGACTGTCCGGGCGCTCCCTGTGTCGTCGACGCACACATTGGAGGAATTCGGCGTGTGCGTACCGCACGCAGGCCTCACGAAGCGCTGCTGTCGTTTCCTGTGCAGGCTCTTTCCGGCGCTGCGTGTGCCAACGAAGCAGCCGTGGATGTGCCCGTCCTGCCCCGTGCAACGTCAGAACGGGTGTGCAACCGCCCTCAACACGGCCTTCCAGCTGTACAACGCTCCGCGCGAACGTCCCCCACGGGGGCGAGGCGTTGATCGGGGAAGTCGGCGAGGATCTGCAGGGCGCGCAGGACCGTATTGAGTAGGGTCGCGATGATGGTGAGCTATATGAAAGCGCGAAGACGAGACTGAGCATGATGTAACAAGTGTCGGCTTTACCTACGGTCGAAGGCTCAAGGTACGCAGCGTATCCAATGTAGCTGCCACTGACAGCGATTACTTATGGTGTGCGTGGTGATTTTGCTTGACCGCTGCAGCCTGTGCAGTGGCTCATCTCTGCCTCGTGGCTTGTGCCACTAAGACCAATGGGTATATGAGCCACTCGCTCTCTTCATGTCTTTCTCTACTGCCGTTCACGCCAAGATGTATCCACACGCCGCCCTCGCAACAGCAGACATACTGCACGAGATATTCTGGCATCTCAGGATCACTGACCCCGCAGACACATATGAAAACTCGATAGCAATGGGCACCTTGTCGCGAGCCGCCCGGGTCAACAAAGCATTCTGCGAACCTGCACTCCGGTCCCTCTGGTGGGCCTTGCCCAACGGCATCGACCCCGTGCTGATGCTTCTGTCTTGGTGGGACCCTTATAAAACATATTTCCCATTGTATGAAGTCGTGAGTGGGAGGCAGTCCTTTTTCTTGAGACGTTGTATTCACCAATTGCTCTGGCCTATAGGACATGGAACGAGAGTTCTCTATCTCGGAATGGACACGACTCATCACCTATGCTTCATATGTCCACTTCATACATCCCTCGGACTCGAAACCTCCACCGCGCCCAATCCCGCGCAGTTTCCTGGACTTTCTCCACATTACACAAAATGGACGCCCCCTCTTCCCTAATCTTCACCAGTTTACGTGGGACACATACACGCTCCATCAAACAGACCTATCCCTCTTTGCGCCAACGGGGCTGCACAAACTGACCATCCACGCGTCGGACGGCCCGAGGGATCTCCACCGGAGGATAAACGGATACTTCCCCAAGCCGTTCGACTTTTCGGACCTCGAGATGGCATTGCGGGAACTACGAGGCCTTCGTGCACTCGACATCCGGAGATTCCCTGGGTCGTCCATACATCCAACGGTGTTGACGTTAGTCGTTCAATTGCGGTGGCTCCAATCCCTATCCATCGACCCTATCTATCCCGTATTCGACATGGTGTTTCTGCGGAAGCTCTCGCAATTCCCTGTGCTTCGCGAGCTTGACATAAGCGTTATCCCCGATTGGGGAGCACCTCTCCCGGACCTCGCCTTCCGCGGATTCCTTACTCTTCGGAAGCTCATCTTACGACTCCACGACAGAATCATGACCGTGCTCCCGATATTTGCGTCCCCGAACCTCACATCCCTCTTCCTAGAATCATATGCGCGAGACGCCTCAGTTATACCCAAGGTGCTTAACCTCGTGGCCCACACCTACCGAACGCTCCGTTCGGTCACCTTCGAATGGCCCCACGCCCAAAAGACCCACGCTTCTCACGGCCTCCTAGACGACTTCGACGCCGTGTTCGGTAACCTCCTGCTAATCCACACCATCGAGGAGTTCACGCTCCGCACGCCCCGCGAGCTGGTCATCTCCACCGGCGGAAACGCCTCGCTCGCGCTCCTCGCACACTCCTGGCCCAAGCTGCGCGTCCTCAGCCTCTACGCGACGCTCCGCGGGCCCCTCACCCACACCGTGCTCGTCCCCTTTGCACGCAGCTGCCCCGAGCTCCGCATCCTGCACCTCCGAAGCGTCAATTTCGCCCACATCACCCGCGAGCTGCTCGCCGGCGCGGCGCCTCGTGTACTCCCTCACGGACTGCGGGAGCTCCACATCTGCAACGCGCTGGTCAGCTCTGCAAGCGAGCATCTAGCGGCAGAGCTCATCCGGAGACTGTTCCCGCGGGCGCGCTGGGACGCGCCTGCGTGGGGGCTGGGGCGCGCATGCTGCCTGTATGCGGGGTTTCGCTGCGACGTCGTGATGGGGAAGCTGGTCCCGCCTACTAGCGTGTTGCGGGAAGGACCGGATTTTTGTATGGAGTATAAGCGTCCGAGTCGCTGAGCGGATGGCGTCGGGCCTTCTCTCGGTATGGTGGGTACGTATGTCGTTCTTCAGCGGCTGTTCTCTGAATAAACTGCTGGCGGCCAGGGTGCTGAACAGATCTTTCCGCGAACACCTTCGCCACACTATACTAGCCGTACGGGTGGTCGGTGGACATATACTCAAGGACTTCAACCTGGGCGAAGTCTACGATTTCATCAATAACATCCGGATCGGCCAGGTCGGACACCCAATGGATCTCGAGGATGCGAGATGGAACACCCCAATGGCGAGGTGGTGCAGGAGGAAATACAGGCAAGGCCCCGATCGCCGACTAGGGCCGATTCGGAGGAGGGCGAGGACGTGTACATGCTCGATGAGAGCGATTACGACTACATGAGCGATGAAGATAAAAACAATGAGTAGAACCTGACCAATAGAAAGATGGATGTGTTCAAAGATGTTTCGGACGATGATGATAATGGTGCACAGTGGGTGGAAGCAAGGGTGATCAGGCGACTCAGAATATCGTGAAAAGATTAGGTCGCATGCGCTAGATCCAGATCGGGCCATGTACGTAGCATGCAGTCGCGACGAAACGATTCGAGTGCGTCAGACACCCACGCCGCGACAAGGCCGCCCAGCGAAAGCAGTCATACCATTGTCAATACGGGCACGAGGGCATCACCCCGTTGACCTCCCCAGCAATCGCAGACTCCACTTCGCTCGACCATGGGATAAAGCAAGGAACATCAATAACTTAGCGGTATGTAAATCCATCGATCGACGTGGCTATGAGTGGAAAGGGACAGATGGCAGCATATGCAGAGGAACCAAGGAATGTCATGGGGAGGAGGGGGATATGGGAGGGAGCGGTGGGAGCACAACAACGGTGTAGCCAAACAAGGCCCAAGCCCAAAGTGACCGGTAAGAGAAGGAGAGGAATTAGGTGACAGGATGATCGGAAGGAAGAGGGTGCGCGCGCGACGACGCCGCGCGCACTTCCACGGCGTCTACAATCCAAGCGGGGCGACGACAGACAGATCTCGGGCACGGAGATGTGGAGGGGAGGCGAGACGAACGCGGCCTAGAACAGGCAGACGAAGTTGCTCGGGAAGATGTGCTTCCCGGGCTGCCGCCGCGTCTCGTCCAGGAGCTCGCCGCTCCACCAGCCGTCCTCGGGCGTCGCGGTGACGGCGATGATGTCTCCCTCCTGGAAGTCGAACTCTTCGTCGATGGTCGCCCGGTAGTTGTACATCGCCTTCACTACAAACCGCAAGGAGCCCCGTCAGTGACCGTCGTCGAACAGTCGTGATCGCTCTGTACGCACCGTAGAACAACACCCCGCGGCCATCGTCGGTGTACTGTCCAGTAGGCGGTGGCTGGTTCGCCGGCGGCTGCGGCGAAGGCGCCCGTTGCTGCACGACTTGCTGCTGTGGTGGTGGTGGCTGCTGGTAGTACCCGTTCACAGACTGACCGCGCACCAACGCGCCGCCACCCTGCTGTTGCTGCGGTGGGGGCTGGCCGTACCCCTGAGGCTGGAACATTTGCTGCTGTTGCTGCTGGGGTGGAGGAGCACCGTACATCGGCTGTTGCTGCGGCTGCTGGATAGGAGGGGTGTACTGGGGCTGCTGCTGTGGAGGAGCGTTGTATACAGGAGCCTGCGCGGCAGCGCCATAGGGATGACCCTGAGGCGGTGGAACGTAGGGGGCGCCGTTCGGTCCAGCGTTGTAACTTGGTCGCCGTTGGACGGGTGGCTGTTGTGGAGGAGGCTGCTGGGGAGGTGGCCCGCGATACTGCGGGCCCGGCTGCTGCTGTGGGGGCGGCTGGGAGTACATCACCGCCATCTCGTCTGTCGTGACCCGGCCGTTGGGATCTAGTGCGATGCCGATACCGGGGCTCGTTGGACGCTGCTGATGCGCTGGCTGTTGGGGGATGGAGATGGAGCCCTGGCGGGGGTTGGAGTTGGGGATGGAGATCGAGCCCTGTCGCGTGGAGGTAGACCCGGAGTGCGCATGCCCGTAGCCGTTAGCAGACGGGGCAGGTCCTCTGTTGTAGCTATTGCGGTTCGAGGGGGGCATACCCTGCATCGCGGGGCTCGTGCTGCGAGACAAAGGCGCGAATGGTTGAGGGCTCGTGCTCCTGCCCTGCGCGCCGATACCAGCTTGGCCGCCTTGCGAACTGAGCGGACGCTCGCGTATGCTCGACCCTTGCTGGTGGGGGATGATGCCTTGCTGGCTCGAGATGGAGCCATGCCCGGAAATGCTGCCTGCGTGGCTGTTCCGCCTGCTGGTCGACTTGCGCTCGCCAGGGAACGACTGCTGATAGTCAGCGAGCACGTCCTGTACCGACACACTCTGTGACGGTGGAACGCCATTCGTAGACGGAGGTCGCATGTGGACGTTAGTCGGCATGTTGGGGGAAGACGGGCGTGATGACGCCAACGCCTGCGTGGGGTATGAGCCAACGACAATCTCGGCCGATTGGCGGTAGGTATCGCGGGACGGGGGGCCACCACCGCTAGATCCGCCAGGAGGAGGCGACAGGTTTGATACTCCTGGGCGTGAAGAGCCAGACCCTCCCGGAGGAGATTGCGTCTGTGGAGCGGCTTTCCATTGCCCACTCCGGCGCACGCTGCCTCCCCCGGCCGAAGTCGCGTTCCTCAGCTCGTCCATCTGGCGTCGCAAAGGATCGTCATCCTGACCAACTCGAGCGGTCGCTGCTGGGTCAGGGGGGCCGCTATGCGCCTGCGGATCCCTGCCGAGGTTCACCTCGTACGCGTTCGAGCCGACCTTGAGCATCGTCCTCGCAGTAGGGTCAATCGGATCAGCCTGGGGGTCAGGCTCGCGCATGCCCATGCTCGACGCCGGGGTGGCCCGACCGTTCGTGCCGTTCTGGTAGAAGCCGTTCTGTTGCTCCGGCCCACGGTTGCTAGCCCTACTCTGATTTTGGGAGCGCTGCACTTGCGGTTCGGGTGCGCGGGGCGCTCCGGTAGCTCCCACGCCAGTCATATTGACAGGCTCCTCTTCCGGCTCGGGCTGCTGCTGCGAGGCTTGCATGGGCTGCCGGGGACGCTGGGACTGCCGGGCAAAGTCTGCGGGTCGCATGGAAGGCCGTTGCTGGGAGGCGGGTTGTGCGTCGGGGCTGGCGTAGTCGATGAACGGAGGAGGGTCCGGGATCCCGTTACCGGTCCCGTAGTCGCGGACAAAGTTCTCCATGTCCTTCTCAACTTCGAGCTGCTCGAGCGCTAGTCGAAGCTTCTCACAGGACTGTATGACGCTGCTCAATACGCGCCCGGCGCAGGATGACGAGGCAACTCACCTCGTCGTCAGACACGCATACGGTGGACACAGCGTTCGCGTATGCCCACATGTTGTCCTTCATGAATTCGATCCGTTCTTCCTCCATGTCCTGGCAGCTGTCGCAAAACGCCTTCCATGTGTGCTCCCATTTCTGCATAGTGTCCTGGAGCGCGCGGGCAAAGTTGGCATAGTCGCGTTGGTTGGCCTGGACCGTCTGCTGCGCACGCTCGAGTTTCATGTGGACCTTTTCAAGGTCACGACCTTGGATGAGTGTGCTCTGAGCGGTGTACGAGTTGATTCGCACGCAGTCCGCTTCATACTTCTCGCGCGCCCGCGAAACGTATCCCTCCTGCGTCTGCTTGTTCTTGAACTCCTTCTCGATCTGGGCTTGAACGTTGCGCTTATGTTGCTGCTGCCGCCCAACAAACGCAGTCGAGGAACCCTCGAGGTCGTTTCGGATAGCCTGGGCGACTAGCAAGTGCGAGTGCGCCTGCTTCTCTGTTTCCTGCTTGAGGGTATCGAGGGACGCTCTCAACTCGCTGGGATCGTGATCGGTCTATGTCTCCTGTGCTCCCGCGAATGCTCACGTACCCAATCTCGTCCCTTCCTAGCGTAATCTTCGCCAGACTGGCGAGGCGTTTCGCATACTGCTCCTCGATCGCTGCTCTGTTGACCGGGTCAGCGCAATATAGGTCGAGGCAATCGTATACTCACCTCTCCTTCCAAAAGCCCTTAAGCTCCTCCATCGTCCTCATGGCTCCGCGCATGCGCGCGAACAACACTTCCACCCCGCCATCTCCCAGGCCCCAGAAAGCATTGCAAAAATCGAGAGATCGGTTGGCAAAGTCCGGAGAGCCTGCTCGGGCATATCGTGACAGAGAGGTCGTCGATGCCTGTCGTCGTGCAGACATCGTGGTCGTGGTTGTGTTTCAGGCCGCAGGCGGTGCGCAACAGCGACGAACAGGAGGGATTCAATCTCCGATCGAAGCGAATGCGCACTTAACTCAATCTCCGTCTAAAAGACTACGAGATGATCCTGAGTGAGTGAGACGCCGATGGTGCATTTAACCTCTTGTTCCAAACCATCGATGCTCGCATTCCGGTCTTTCCTTGTCTCCCCTAGGCAGACGACGTGTGACCTTGTCGAGGAGGGGAGGACGATCAAAGTCTTCCTAGGTGTGTTGTTGAACACCGTTGCTCTGGAAGTCCAATATGCTTGGGCAGCAAATACGACAATGTCAAGACGTGCAGATATCACCCAACCAGGACGCTCATCTAGCTTCTACCGCCTCGGTATCACTGAATTTGAGCCTGAACGAGCCCCTCCAGAGTGGTGACCCCGCTCCTGACCGCGTCGATGACTCGAATGTCTACCCCATCTCGACCATTCCGGACCGCTTCTGCCATCCCACTCATCCCTGCGCACCCCATGATGATCGTCCTGGCGCCCTTGGACACGATACGCGACGTAGCGGCCGCGATCTTCTCGGCCACGACGCTCTGCTCTATCTCGTGAAGTTGCACAGCCGTCATCCCGGTGCTCTGAACGCCAATGAAGGCGCCGCCCATGTCCGCGGACCCGAAGACGCGTTGGACGCCGGCGGTGAGTGCTCCTTCCCAGTATTTGCCGGTGGTGACAATGCCGAAGGGCCGTCCAAGGGCGAGTGCCTGCATGATAGAGGCCTCGAAGATGCCCAGGACCGGCTTGGAAGTGTGTTCTCTGAGCATCCCGACGAGGGGATGGTCTGAGAAGCATGCAACCAGGTAGGCATCGTGTGTGCGTCCCTTCTTGTCGGTGATGAGGGGAAGGAGGTCCTCGAAGGTGTGCGCCGCTGAGAGAACGGACGTTGTCGAGTCGTCAACCGATGGCGGCGAGCGTCCACTGGGACCGGTGTGGTAGTGGATGAGGAGCCCCGGATGGAGAAGATCTTCCAAGATCGGTCCGAGAGCGGTAGTCATCGACTGCGAAGAGTTCGTGTTGATAACCAGGATTGAAACCGCTTTCGTCATATTCGGATACGAAGGGATGTTTTGTCGCTGGGTGGTGGTAAAGCGGTGAGTTGGACGGATGACTCTGCGCGCACAGCTGAAGCTGAATTATGATCGATCTTGATAGGCTGCTCATCGCACTGCGTGACTGCCACTCGCGCTGGGCACTCATGCTTCACGAACGACGAATTTGAACAAGCTGTGCCCCTCATCACCTTGTGGCTATCGCGGTGCGCCCCTCCTCTGGCCATGGAATTGTACTGACTACATGTCGCCGCAGGTATCGCGGATTAGACGCCTGGCCGAGTCACTGCACCACCCATCCCGCAGCCAGCACTGCAGTCAATCGAACTTTATCGCCACCTGCTCACAGCATTCCGCGTCACTATAGAAGATGCGCTCGCACTTCGAGATTCCAGTATCTCACGCCGTAGCACTCGGTGCTGTTTAATGTCAAGGTCCGCTTGACAGGAGCGCGCAAGGCGGCACATAAAGGCGGCGTGGCCGAATGAGCGTGAGCGTTCCATATTCACGTCTCAACCACAATGTTCTCACCCGTGAAGACAAGTTGCAGTATCCTGCTCGTACTACCTTTCATCTCGGCCGCGTTCGCGTTGCCTTTGGCCTTCCAAGTAAGTTTACCTAGCCATTCATTGCACACGACAAGCGAGGTTTACTTCTTCGCGTTGTGTGGTTAGAACAGCTATGATGACCACCCCTTTACAACTCCACACCTTACCGCCCTCACGCATGCTGCGATTTCTCGGACTTCTGCGCATGATGAGCGTCTAAATGCATGGGACGTGGAGATCGGGTGGATGTTGCAGGTCCTCGGCCTCATCGCAGTCGCCAGCCTCATTATGGTCTCCCTCAATCTATGCATGAAGCTGTACACCTCTCGACGTACAAATGGTCATGTGCGGTTGGAAGGCGACGAGTTGCTTGTGGTTACGGCGCAGGAAATGACACCGGCTGTCGAGGCAGTGGTGAGTGCACCGACGAGAAGAGATTTTATTTATACGCTCCGATTGACTCATGCTCTATCTTATAGCACTCTGTCGGACAACCATAAGCTCGGCAGCATCCGGAACGGAGTCTATAGTCAGCGCTCTCAATCACAATATTGTGTGTCCTCACTTTTGCGATGATATCAGTACTCCTGTCCGAGAACGCAGTGCCACCTCGACTGGCGAAACCATCCGCGCACTATCCGAATTCGAAGGTGCTGCTTCTGAGAACGCTCACAAAAGGCAGAATTTCATGCCTGGGCGGGGCTGACGCTGCGGTCTGAATCGTCTGACACGCTTCTTCGCGTTTTCATCAACAGATGCAGTGCTGTCATGATGCACTTGGTTACCGTTAGCCTTCGTCAGTTACACGCAATAATCCGCAGCGCACAAGAGCAACAGATCAATACTTATAGACTCGTAGTTCCTGCGCTTCAACACGCAATCCATCTCTCTCTTCCGTCGGGCTGGTGTTGTTGGCGTCTAATACCTGGCGAGCGATATGTCGCATGTCCACCAGATCGCGATCTGGGTTCTCCTCGTCGTGAACCTACTCGCGACGACGCCCCTCGCACAAGCATCGTCGAGCGATCAACATATTCCAACGCCACGGCTCGGGCAAGATCCCAGCAAGCCTGCACTCATCAATGCCTACGAACTCCCTACACCGCTACCTGGCCACGGACCGCATCCGGTAGACTACCGCATAAATTGTCGGTGGCCCATGGACGACACGAAACACCACTGTGGCCTCCTGGAGGTTCCTCTCGACTGGCACAATCTCACCCGCGGCTTCGGACGCGTGCATTATGCCAGATACCCCGCCTCTCCCGAGGTCGTGCGCAAGGGGACCATCTTCATCGATACAGGTACGGAAGCGCCGCATCGAGCATACCAGCTTCTTACACTACTCCTACAGGCGCTCCATTTGCGATGTCCGGGGCGTGGACCCCCCAGGAATGGCTGTCTATGCGAGGGAATGCCTTGCACAACCGAACGCATGGCGAATATGACATCGTCGCGTGGGATGCGCGAGGGAAAGGCACTCACAATTTGACCATGTGCGTCGTTGTGTCTACGTGCCCGGAAACACTCGTCTAGTGGCCGCGACTAACGCTGCACGCACAGCCCTGGTCCTCTCCGCTGCTTCAAGGACGCCGCAGAGAGAGATCGCTTCCACGCTCGACTAGGCCACGAATGGCCCGTCCGGCGTTGGCAGGACTCCCAGCAGCTGGGCGAGCAGTGGGGCGCGGACGACATCGAGAAGTGGCATTTCACGCAGTCCAAAGTCGTCGAGCATTGCCTTGCTCAGCAGGACCCGGAAATGCTTCGTAACATGGGCGTCGCGTCCACGACGCGCGACTTGATCGCGATGGCAGACGCGTTTGACGGACCTGGAAGTCCGGTGAACTTCTGGGGCATGTCGTACGGAAGTCTCATCGGAACACATCTGCTGCAAAGTACGTTCTCCGAGTCTACAATACTTCCTCTTACCCGTTGTGCTTATCAGCGTGCGGCAGTGTTTCCTGAGGTGCGCGCAGTCCCCCTCAGGGCAAGGAGTATGGTTGTAATAGAAGAGCTATACGTCGCAGCGCGCCGGGAGAGTCATCCTGGACGACCCAGCAGACCTGATGGCCTACACCGTACTGCCATCCTACCAGGTCAGTGTTCGCACATATCCTGCGCCGGCTCGTGCTGAGGTCTGACATCACCTAGACCTGGAAAGAAGATATATCTCACGCGAACAAGACGTTCGCAGAGTACGCTAAGCGATGCGCTAGCGACGGCATTCACGGCTGCCAACTTAGCAGCTATGGCGGCACCGACAGTGAAATCATCGGGGATTACATGCGGGTCAACTTCGGGGTGCGCTCGGTCCGCGTGAGCTCATCGGAGGGGCGTTTTACTGATCACTGTCATCACCTATGTAGTTGGCACGGGCATCCCTTCTGGGGCGACGGTGAGTCGTTTCCCTCTCAATTTGAAGCTTGTGGTTCTTACCGCTGCTTTTCATAGCAACACTGTCAAAGAAGATCTTTTGAACCCGTACTTTGAAGACCTTTTCAAGACTATTGTCCAGCACGGCACCAACGCATCGGAGACGTCGTACAACGTCACGAACGCCATCTCTTCACTGAGCGCCGTCTACGCATACGCGGACGAATCCCTTGGACTCGGCGTCATGCCCATCTTCTGCGGCGACAATCTCAGAGACCACGACCCGGCGAAGGCATCGCAGCATGCTCGCGCAATGATCAAGTCTCTCACTAAAGACAGAGGCAGCGTCCCGGTTCTCAGTGCGTAGCTATATACGCGTCCACTCTCTCAAAGCAAAAGTGACCTGACAGCCGCGAAATTGTAGCAAACGATGCATTCCCCGCTATGCACTACATGTGCCATCTCTGGCCTGTGCGCGCGGCGGAGCGGTACCCGATCTTCGGTAGCTCGGCCGACGACTACATGCAGCCGCCTCCTCCTGTCCGCAACTTCCTTGTGCTCCAGGGCTTCATGAGCCCGCTCGCGGCACCCAAGTTCTTGGATCAAGTCACATATGGCTTCCAGCCCGGGCGCGCCGCGCACGATGTCCGCAACGTCATACAGTTGGAATTCGGGGTGCGTGTCTTGCGACGACCTACATAACCCAAGTCACCCCAACACCGCTCTGGTTTGTCTTGCAGACGCCGATTTTTTCGCACTCGCGTTGCGCGTCGCGCATCATCGTGGATTATCTCTACAACGGCACAGTGAGCAGCACATGTATCCTGTCTAGCCTCGAATCAGCGATCTCTTACCTGCGCCTTTCATCCGCATTACAGCTGCCCGAGCATGCTACTACTACGTGTCATGGAAACGAGGTTGAGTCCGCGTCGGATGTGCTCGATGATGCGACTGGGCTTCAAATATTCCGCGCTCTCGTCGCGCACACTTGGCACAAGTTTGCTACCGCCTACCAGACGTCTTCTCGGGGGGACGCGCTGCTTCGTTTGGGGCAGCTTCTGGGGTTCGTGGCCACCTTTATTTCTGTTCGCAAGACGCTTCTACGGCGCGCCGCACATCAGAATGTCGCGGTCGGCGGGGATCGCGAAGCTCAGGGTGATATCGGCTGGAAGGACGAACGGGAAGATTCTACGCAGGCAGCCCAGCAATGAGCTGTGTACTTGTGGCCGGTACCGGTAGCTTCCATGATTTATACAATCACCCTTTTGTCAGCTTGCCCGCGTACGCTTTCGAACTCATACAAGACGAATCCATCGTATTATCAAACAGACCAGTAACGCTTTCCGGATCGCGACACACCGCAAACTCCCTTTTGACTCTGGGCTTCCCAGTGCATGCTTCATGAAGAACCGTATCCTGCAGGAGCAATATATATGCTCCACCGCGGACAGGTGACGCCGAGGGGGTTGACTGGTCCGAGAGACCAGGTGGCTACCGCACATCTGGCTACAATACATGCCGGCAAGACCTGGATCAGGGACTATATAGAACGCTAGTCTTCTTCAACATCATCTCTACCACCAATACGACGGAGCTCCATTGCCAGCGTGCCCTGCATTATCTCACGACCCAGAGCGGTCTGCCACTTCTCGGAGTCGGAGAAGTCGCCCCGACGCGCCGCGCCCATGAGCGCGAGCTTTTCAGGCCCTTGAGTCTCAATATACAAATCCCCTCCGAAGAACGCCACTGAGATGGTGTAACGCATGTGTTCACGGAAGAAAGTTGCCCAACGTTTGTCCGGATCGACAAGTTTGTCGGGGAAGCCAATTTTGGCCGCAGCGCGACTGAAGGTGCGAATTCTGTAGTCATCCTAGCGCAAGTTTGGCCTACATCAGTTTGCCAGTCCGAGGGGAGGTGTAGCGAGATTGCACTTACATCGACATCAACACTGAACATGTTCCCCAACCACAGCTCATACACATCTCCACGCATGGGAACCACGTTCCCGTCACTGGTAAAGCTCGGGTCGGAATCAGAACTGTGGGGCCGCTCGCCGAAAGGCAAAATCTGAGGCTCTGAATTAGCCATTCTCAGTTCCGTAGCTGACAACAATTGCAGTGCGTGCCTGATGTATCAACGATGGAGGAAAAATCCAGTGGATCCCCACCGAGTGATTTTCCTGGGGAAAGTCGCCTGTCGCTCCGGTAAATACGCATTTGACCTCCGTCTTCCAGAGATCCTCGATTTTTAGAGGACGAGATATGGCCTGCATGGCAGCATATTAGCGATTGTGTCAGAATAGCTATAAGTAGGAGGAATCTACGCTGGCAAAGTTCGGGAAGTACATATCCAGAAACCATTGGGGCACTGGTGTGCTCGTCTCGATTTCCTCCTGAGCCTGAATCCCTGCCTTAAGAGTTTCTCTATAATAGAGTCCGTACAAAGGCAGCGAATGTAGGTACACTTTCGGGTCTAGAATATGGGTATTCATCAGTCATGAGTCGGGGGCGGATCGGTTTTACAAGAATACTACGTACCAGGATGGAAAAAGCCATAGATCTCCTGCGGCTCGATGACTACGGAGCGATCCAGCGGATGCTCAGACCTGGGCAGAGCCTGATAGAGGAAAGGTCCGAGTTGCCTCAAACGCACTTTCTTGATTACCATTTCACGACTCCACTGTGCGCCCAACGCCATCCATCGGAGCACCGTCTGGACTGTCACCGGAGTAACCTCCGCGTTGAGACCTAACAGCGATGCTTTAGCTTAGCCTCGAGCTTTCGCAGCAGTAGCCACGAAACAGTACAACTCGGAATCACTCACATGCTAGGAGCGCAGTGTTAGAGTGAGAAGTCCACCAGAAGAAGACGTTCGCGTCTCGAATCCTTGCCTTTTCTGATAAATGAGCGGGGATGGTCCAAAACGGCTCGGGTTCAGCCATAGTTTGATGCTAGAACAGTCCGGCTTCAGTGAGGGATTGGGAGAGGGCGTGAGACACGCGACGGCAGCTCTGGGTGAGGCCCGCATAACATGCGGCGAGGGCGTGTACCGAGCTTACGCGGCCGGGCGTAGACCGATTTTCAAGGAACAATACTCATGCGGTTCGTACTTACCTCATACATCTTCATATCCTCTATACATAGGCCTGCGACGACGCACTCATGCTACATCAGTACTAGTACAAGCCTTGGAATTGAACGAGATAAGATTCTTATATCATGTCGCCGTCCTCTTCCACGCCTCAGTACTTCAGTGCTCATCGTCCTCATCAGCAGGACTCCTGCGCAAGCGCTCCTGCATATTCCGCTCGCAGATCCACTCCAAAGCCTCCTGGCCGAGCTCGGTTTGCCAGATATCGTCCTCGAGGGGTTTAGGCCTCCTGCTGTGACGCATATACTCATCCTGGAAATGATCGTCGTGGCCCTGTCCTCCCCGAAGGAGTGTATATCGCCGCCAATCACCCACACCACGAGTGTGTAGCGGAAGTGCTCGTCGGGATACACGTCCCACTTTGAGCTAGGAGCAACGAAACGTTCGGGCAGGCCGATGTCGAGCGCTTTCTTTCTAAAGACGCAAACGCGGTACCCATCCTGAACCGAAGTGGGAGCATCAGAGATCGGCTCACATTTGACATCGGTAACGAGAATGTACGGCAACGTCAATACTAAACCGGCTATCGAGCCACAGCCGACGCACATCTTCGCGCATGGGCACCAGATTGAAATAACTGAACCAGGGGATGTCCATGAGATGAATTTTCCGTGGTGCACCCCAGGCCAATGTTGCGATCTGAAGTGATTGGAATCTCAGCAGTAGCCCTATACATAGGATATAACTCGCGAAAAGTCTCGACGTACCTCCACTCGCAGGTACGGCGGGAATATCCAGGACAGATTTACGTTTGAGGGGCGAGCGACGCGATGGCGGTGGTGTGGAGACAAACCGCGAGACGCCGGCGCCAAAATCGCGAGCGAGGATTCTGCGCGCGGCGGTGAGTCTAGAGGCTGCCTGGTGGGTCGCGCCCGAGGGCGTGAACGTGCATCCTCCGAGCTACTGGGTGCCTAGAAATATTATGTGATATCTGCGTACAGAGTTTGTGGATATAGCCTCCTGGTCCGAAATGCCAACAACGGATCGTCGGAGTCCGACATGTCCGTACCGTTGCCAGTTCGATAGGCAGCGTCATCTATAGTAAGTTGCTAAACGCCTTTGGTTCCCTCACCCACGCGAGAGATATCCGACAGCAGATCCTCGGGATCAATCAGCTCCAAGGCGTCCCTGCCAACTTCGCTCTGCCATATCTCGTCCTTGGGGTCAAATTTCGCCCCATATTCCTCCAAGTCGGCTTTGTGATTGGCAATAGCAGCAATGCTGTCGAGGATACCGTCCTGGTCGTGGATGTCTCCATTTCTGACCCGGACCAACGTCGTGTGGAAGAAGTGCTCGCGGAGAAACTTCTCCGAAAGCGCGAGGTCTTCCGGCGTGGCAATCGGCCGCCCGAGGAGGCCTATGTCGACTGCCGCCTGGGTGAAGGTGCGGATGCGGTAGTTATCCTGGGAGGGCGCAAGCCCGTCAGTATCTACCAGACAGTCAATTGCCATCAAAGAACACATATATGCTTACCTCGACGTCTACGCTGAATTCGTTTGCGAACCACAGCTTGTGCACGGCCTCGCACATGGGCATCACATTCTTCACGGTGCGACAGGCCTGCTTACTGCCCAGATCGTAATTTCGCGGAGCGCCTTTCGTCTCGTTCTGAAGTAGGAAATACATCAGCGCCGCTGTGCTTGACGCACACATTTATCGCGAAGACCGAACCATGTCGAACAAAAACGGCGGGAAAATCCAGTGAAGATCCACGGCAGCATCGTCGCCCATAGATCCAGTGAAAGCACATCTATTACGCGGCCCGCTGAACCTGGCACGGATGCTATCCGATATCCCCGTCTGAAGGGCACACGTCGTATTACTGAAAGTGAGCAACGAATCTAAATGCAAAGCAAACGCGCTCACGTTTTTCATGAACATGGCTATCCTCGTGTCCGCACTATCCGCGGTTTTACGCAACCGGATTTTCTCAATTCTGGTCTCTCGAAGCACCTTGAATGTACCCGTGGGATGAAGAGGTGTCCAAGGACTCGTTTTCGGCGTTCGTGTCAGGTCGTTCGGGTCTTTGATATAAGCGAGAATCACCCCCCAGTTCAAGCCACATTTCGTGGGAGCGATAAGCGTACAGTGCATACTCACCTTGCGCAAAACAACCGTACACTCCTTTAGTAAGGATGGAAGAGCTGTCCAACGGCTTCGAATCTGGTTGCGGCTGCGGAGCATAGGCGAGGACATCGTAGTGTTCTAGCCAAACCTGTTTGATGACAACGGTCTCGTCATTGTCCGAGGTCGGTATACCTAGCCAGCGAAGTAGCGTCTGCACTGTAACCGGAGTGACAGCGTCATTGAAACCTATCATCTAGTCAGTCATACTCCGGGCTCGAATTCTTGAATACGCTGTTACTCACAGGCAATGAGCTCTCCGGTAGGCCACCATACGAACACGTTTGCCTTGCGTTCCAATGCCCAGTCAGACCTGTGTACAACAAGTCCAAGTTGGTCCTCGGGCATTCTAACGACATCCGGGGCCACTCCAGAATGTTGCAAGTGTTGAAAATGATCGAGGGTATACGGCATCGTGATGATGTGCGGTGTGGGATGGGGTAAAGCAGCCTGTTGTATATATTGTGCTCGAAACGCAAGCTTTCGTATATTTGAAGTACTCTGACATACTTACTCGCGGGCCATCCGCGTCTGGATATGCCAGTGGTACTTTCTGAATGCCTGTCGGGTCTTAGATGGCGCCTCAAGAGCAGCAAAGATATAGAAAGCTTGGATCGTGCTGCAGCTTGCAGGAAGTACGAGCCCGAGTGAGTGAGTGCCGACGCAATGACGGGCAGAGCGAGGAGAGACCGGCGGCACCCCCGCGGCACCGAAGCACGTGGGCGTGCCCGCTTAAGCCGAAGCGCTCAACCTCCCAAAACACGCAATTAGGCGCTTCAGCGACTCTTCTCCGCACCACGGCGAGCCTTGGCGAGTGCACCCATCGGCCACGCTGCTTCTACTCGTCTCGTACAAGAGTCATGGAGTTCTGCATGCTTTCTGGGTTGCACGTATGCTAGCAGCTCTTGATCTTCCTCCTCGACCTCTAGAACACTGGGCTGAGCTCTCCAACGTGATCAATTCCACGTATGGTACTGAGTCGATAAGTATAGATCTATATCCCTCAAGCGCAGGTTTACTATCCGTACTTCACGATGTGCCGCCCATCTTCACAGCGTTTATCTCAAAACCTAGTCATGTATAGACCCAGGTGCCTCACTAGGGGTCGGGCATTGCAGAAGACAAGCGCGACAGCCTCTTGTTCGCCGCGTATTAGGACTGGACCATGATCAGCATCCAGGTGAGCCAGGTGTCCCTCCTTGAGCTCGACATGCGTACTGAATTTCCGCCGTTATCGGGACAAAGTCAGAATTCTGGGCGTCCGCTCGGAGAACGACACGCGTCAAGGAGAGGCGTACCGCGTCATGGGCATCCTCGGCTTGCATGTGGCGACCATATACAGCGAAGGGCGGAGGTCGTTTCAGCGTCTGCAGAGGGAGATATTACAGCGGTCCCCCTTGTATCGAAGCGTATGCTCGCGGGAAAACATCCTGCCCATCCACACTGCTCCGTTTCGGCAGCCATCGGGTAGCTATATCTATCATCTTGACAGCTACGTATCCGTCCCTCAGCAAGCTGTCTTTGCTAACTCGGATTACACAGCACCCCATTTCCTCAAGAATCAAGGTGGCGAACGTGGTCAACGCGTTAAGTGCCACCGGAAAGTGGGCTCTAGAAGTCATCCGGGTGAGTAGCCTCTTATCTGAGACGTCTACGGGTGTCTGACATTCCTTCCAGGACACGCATCCCACATCCGTGCGCCCTCACTGCCTCCAAACACGAAGGATCCCGTTCCCTACTTCACGGCGATATCCACATCATGCCACTGCGCGCTCCCCTGCTCGTTGTAGAGAGCTCTGCTGGTCAGTCCTCATCCGCCGTCGCCGTGACTGCGTTTCAGGACTGTACTTCGAGGGTCGCGTTCTTAATTTCCGGCAGACAGCAACGAGACCGTTGTGCGCTTTGGGCCGCTCTACACGGCAGGCTCACCGTGCGCAGCGCGCATTCTCCATAAATGCGTCCTCAATACTCTCTCGCGTAGTTCAGCGGCTAGTCACGATGCGGGCTCTCGTATAAGAGCGGCGCGCTCACTGCGTGCTGGCCTGAACGGCGCTGTGCACCTGCTGAGTGCCTCTGCCGTCGCACGCGCCCCCAAAAGACTACCGCAGACGCCGCATCTCTGCTCGACTGCTTGTGCTCGCTTGCGGTTGCTTGTGCTCGCTCGCGGTTGCTTGTGCTCGCTCGCGGTTAAATGCGCCAACATCAGGGATTTGAACTGGACGCGCGGATACCGACGGTCACGGTGGAGACGCGGTGGATAGGCGAAGGCGCCCTCACGAGAATCATGTTCACGCATGCCTCCGTGCGCTTTTCCAGTATGAGGGCGTGCGGGCGGTATAGTATCTCAATTACGTTACTTTATGGATGTCCCGTAGTACAACAGATGCGAGCTATATCGGTACGACGTCGTAGCGCCAACAAGATATTTGGAACTGCTGCAATATCGATACATCCATAAGGCCGTATACTGCGAGTCTTTATTCGTCGCTCAGTCACTCATCGTGGGCTCTCTCTCTCTTCCTGTAACCCTTTGCTGATGGCTGTCTTCCGTTGTACTACTCTAAATATTCCACGCAAATGTTATTTTCTCTACTATTTGCGGCCACAGTCCCACACGTCCCATCGGTACTTGACTCCCGCGCTAGAATGTCTGGACATCCCGGGCCCGAAACGCGCATAACATCCGTCCACGGAACGCGCAACTGTCATTGCGCCATGATATCTGGCAAAGCGAAATTGTAGATCAGTTGCGGGGTCATACTGTACCGCAGAACGACGCACGGGTGCTCGTAACGTTCCCGCAATAATGCATTCAAGTTCACTACATCCATCTCGATATATCCTCCAATATTCTTCAGGTCATAACGTATTCGTACAACACAATGACACCAGTCGAGTCAGCCTAATTAGTCTCATTTTCAGCGTCTTCTTCGTCGTCCCCTTCCTGCCATCCTCCATGAACACCATACGAACATCCTTGCAACTTCTGTAACGTAATCCAGTGTAAAACGTGCCTGCCGATATCGGTTTCCCAGATCGGATCCCCGAGGTTGATATGGGCCCCACCGTGGGGCATATGTTTCTCTTGGAAGTCACATACCGAATTCCATATATTCTCTCCAAACGCACTGATGTCTCCGCCGATCACTTGCACCACAAGGGTGTGGCGGAAATGTTCGGTGAGGTACACGTCCCACTCTGGATTTGGGTTTCCGAGGCGTTCGGGAAGACCAATGTCGAGTGCGTCCTTTGAGAAGATGCGAATGCGATGCCCATCCTATCCCCGAGCTTTTGCATGAGTGCATATATCGTATGACGAACGGGAATTTGAACGTACGGCAACGTCGATGCTGAAAGCGTTTTGGAGCCACAGCTGGTGCACGTCAGCACGCATGGGTACCAAGTTGAAGTGACTACGCCAAGAGATGTCGCCAAGAGAGATTTCTCGTGTCGCCGCGTATGTGGTGATCTGAAACAATCAACGTCTAAGTCGTTGGAACATAATTGGCAAGACAGTCGACACACCTCGCCCCTCAGGTACGGCGGGAAGAACCAGGATAAAACCACGTCCTGACCCGCAGAAGGGTCGCTCGTAGCCCCAGTGAAGATGCATTGGTCGCGGGGTAGGCTGACTTGATCCACTACCTCAGATGGGATGGCGATCTGCACAATCCAACGGTGGTCACCACATCCCTTCAAGTTGTGTGCAAAAAGAAGGATACTCACTATCTCGTCGTACGCTTGTTGGCGGCCTCTGACCACCGCGTTGTATTTGTTTCGCCTTACACGCTCCCAGAGCGTCATAATGCTAGTTTCCTGACCTTGGAAATGAACAGCTGCATCGCTCGGCGGATCCATCGAATCCGCTGTTTAAAGCCACCACATTTAAGCTCACATCTTACAAGGATCGTGCCCGAGCCGCCACTCACCTCCGGAAAAACAAGCGTAGGACCCTGGCTCTAGGATATGCGAGTCAGCGAGGGCGTCCTCGAACAGTGGCCGTGGATAATATTCGAGGAGTCCTCGTTGTTCCATTTCCACTTTCTTCAACACGGGCTTCAACCCTATGTCCCAAGCTACGACCATATCGAACCAACGGAGGAGAGTTTGGGATGTGACCGGGGTGACCTGAGAATTGAAACCTGGCAGTTCCCGGTGAAACTCTGGTCGAAGAAGCTGTAAAATTCCCTCACATGCGACAATCTTTCCCGTCAGGGGCCAGTGGATGAAGACATCAGCGTTGCGGGCATCCGCCTTGGTTGATCTGTAGATGAGAGGCCTGAACTCATTGGAAGGGCTCATTGGAGCGATGTCGATAAGAATGAAGAAGGGTAGGGTAAGATGGGCGATGGGCGATCTGCTGTAGCTAGTTGCCGCCTTGAGAGAGTTGCAAGTAGCTATAACTGCCACAGTCCGCCGCGGAGCTTCATGAAAGCATGATGGCAGTCACGAGTGTTTTGCTCCCACGTGAGCGAAACCAGAACAGTCCTCTATTGCAACACGCACACGCGCACGCACGCACATCCCTCAAGCGCAGGTTTGCTATCCGTACTTCACGACGTGCAGCCAGATTTCACAGCGTTGATCTTAAAATCCAGTCATGTATAGGCCCAAGTACCTCACGAGGAACCGGACGTCGCAGGAGACCATCGCGGCTGCCTCCTGTTCGTCGTACGGCAGGAGTGGACCATGATCAGCAGCAGGGCGAGCCTGGCGTCCCTCCTCAAGCTCCGCGCGCGTATTGGACGAGGTAAAAATCACGCATCCGACGTGATGTGCATCCGCGCGGAGAACGATGCCCAAGTTTGGGCCGCTTCTTGGTGCTTGCGTCGCAACCATGTTTGCGAGAGGCATACGAATAGAGAAACTGACATATCTACGCGTTCTCAGCATCGCCACAACGCCCTGCATTATAGCTTAGCTTTATTATCATTATCAGCTAGCGTGACATCGAGACACTTACCTGGCTTTGGGTTGCACGTCAGGCGAAGCGGCATCCTCCGCCATGAAGCCCTCTCCCTCTTCTCCCTTAGCCGTGCCGCCTTCCTCCAGATCTTCGCCATCCGTTTGGGAGCCATCGTGGTCTTCGGGCGGTGGCGTGTCGTACCTCTCCCAGACTGCGAACGTGAAATCAGTACGTGTCATTGCCAGATATGAGACGGAAGTTTACGTTTGATTTCTGCAACGTCGTCCGGGAAACTACGAGTGTACCACCCGCTGTGCTCGATGCCCTCAAGCACATCGAGGGCGAGTATACTCGAGCCAAAGACATATTTCCCGAGATGAAAGACCATCCCGGCCGTGATGAGCTCGCTCGTGATTGCCATCTCCAAGCAGACGGGGATATGTGAGTTGCGCGTGACGAGCGCGAGCGTGCCCCCAGACGCTGCGCCGATCGCGTCTTCGTACATCTGACGGTATCGCCGCAGATCCTCTTCGCTGTCGCATTCGGCCAAGCGCTTCTGGGGCTCGTACATGGTCGGGTCCCAGTCGACAGTGAGCCAGAGTGGGTACGACAGGGCGTGGATCTGCCGGCCGCCAACGCTCACGCCGTCCCAGTCGATGAGCGCAGCGACCTTGCCCGTCTCGTTGTCCACGATGATATTCTGGATCTCGAGATCCGGATGGCCAAGGTGGAATGGGGCGGAGTCGTACCGAGGGTCCACAAGCGCGCCGACGAACATCCGCAGCAGCGCGAGCATGGAGTTATTCCCAGTCTTAGCGCAGCGCGCGTCCAGTAACGCCATGAGATACTCGTGAACGGAAGAAAAGGGGCCCAGCTCGCCTCCAGAAGCTTTCCCGTCCCCGAATATATAGCCGAGTTCCGGGAGGGGCGCTATGAAGTACGGTCCGTCGGGTTGGACGCGATCCAGCCGCCCGATCTTGTCGAACTCCAGGGTGGCGAGCTCGACCATATGAGCCGCTAGTGAATTGAGGAGGTTCTCCTTCGTCCGCGCCCCAGACCACCAAGAGGAATCGTACCAGATGTCGATGAGAAGGGTACCCTGGACCATATCCATGATCATGTACGGATGCTGGATGGGATTGTTGGTGTCGCACGAGTAGGCGTGTAGCGTTGGAATGGGGACGGTCGTGCGGGCCATGATGTATTCAATTGTGGTGATGTCGAGCTGCATGGATCGGGCGTTGGCGGGTCCCCATTCGTCTACGGGTATGCGGATGACCCATGATGTGGCGTCGAAAAATCGCAGTTCGTAGACGACGTTGTAGGAGCCGGACATCGGGGGAGACACCACTGAGCACTTGAGAGGACTCAGCGTTGTAGGTTGCTCCTCGGAGGTGCCATGAGTAGCAAGATATGCACGGCGAGTCTCCAGAGCGAGTCGCTCGATGATCGTGAGATCTAGGCTCTCGACGAATATGTCCTTGGGCGACGTGTCTGAGTTACAAGCGATGCTAGAAGTAGAACTCATGGCGTCAGGGGTTCTTCGAGTGTAAGAATATCGCGGATGCACCTGGAGGTTGGGGGTAAGGGAGAAGTACCGCTCTGAGTGCTTGCATACCTCGGGCGATGGCCGGGGCCCCAGACCCATAACTCGTCGTCGAGTCAGTACTGTTCGGATGTATTAGTGGAATGTTAGAGTTCATCAGCGGCACGATAATCACTACGAGTGGCTTACCCTGAGCCTCGTTAAAACCGCGGTCATCTGGGTTTTAAGACGAGGCGGTCCACTTAGCATATGTGCAGTCTCCGCAGTATCGGCGATTTGTAGTATCCGCACTGAGGCTCTTAAAGGATGTGCAGAAAGCTTGAGCTCGAGACCAGGTAGCTCGTTATATCTTACCGCGGTGTCGATTTGGGGGTTTGGGCCGTTTGGTGCCACGATGCCGAGTCAGCCTAAGTCAGAGTATGGTAGCTGCCAGCGCTTTGAAAGCATGGTCGTTGTATACGGCGGGGAAGGATGGGAAACGTTCGGAGTGCCATATGTAGCTAGTACATCATAATGTCCGCCGTAGCCCGGTTTCTGCGATATGCGAAAAAGTTCAGTGGCGTCGGGGAGAGCGAAAGTTCAACGACTCACAGTGCTCAGTATACAAACTAGCTGCACCTACAGACAGGCTGCTGCGCACACCTCTGCAGCGCCGTGTGATAGCACCTCAATAGCCTCTCAGTGTGCGGCCACCTAATCGCTCTAGTACTCTTCCACGTCTTCCGGGTCCGTGTGGTGGCCGCGTAGGATGCGCATCGCTAGCGTCCAACGGAAATGTGCGCGCAAGCATTCATCACGCATATCCTTGCTATCGTCTCCTGCCTCGGATTTGAGCGTGGCGACCTCGAGAAACTCGACGGCATGGGCTGTCTCGTCGAACACGATGATCCTGTAGTTGTCCTGATACATATAACCCCGATAAGCAAGTGAGGACCTCGTATGGGTCGGTGGCAGGAACTCACGTCAGCGTCCACGCTGATCGCGTGCGACAGCCAAAGCCGGTGGACATCTGCACGCATGGTCACCAAGTTTGCGGAGACCTGCAATTCTTGTTCTTGTAGCCTCTCTGTGAGCGCACCTAGGGCACATGCCTAGCGCATAGATGTTGGTTATTGTGGGGGTAAACGTCGAAGAAAGGGGGCTTACACTATTGCTTATCGCCGGAGGATAGATCCAGTGAACACCTACACTATGGCCGCCCGTGTCTCCCGTTGATCCAGTGAAAATACACTTGGCTCCATGTCTCTCCCAGGCCCCTCGATGAAGGTCGGGAGTAATCGCATTCTGTTGTGTCTCGTATTAGAGATATTCGAAACCTTATAACGCGAATGTCTCGATACTCACGGTCGGCAGGACCGAGTTCGGGGACTCAGGGTCCAGGTGCTCAATGTCTACCGAATTTGTCTTGAACTCCATCACAGTCTCTAGCATGTATTGGAATGGTCCCAGAATAGTGTCAGGGCTGAAGAAAGGCTCGTTGTCTTCGAGATCCATGCTAGGGTCCACTACTGGCGTGCAGACCTATATCAGATTCTCTACGTTATGATGGCTGCGCGGGAGACTCACCGCCAGAAGAGTCCCTGTAGCAACAGATGTACTCTCCACGCGCGAGCACCTTTGAGCCATCGATCGGGCGTAGGTCGTCGAAGAGCTCGCAAATCCACAGGAGGTCATCCTCATCTTCGTGGATCAATTGCTTCACAGGCATTATGGCGAGATGGCCATCCAAGGGAAAAAATAGTTCAAACCAGCGAAGCATCGTCGAGCCCGTTGGCAGAGGACGAAGCACTTCATCATTGAAACCTGTCGGAATCCCGTTGATCAGCTGGAGGAATACGGTGTAGACGGACATATCCAGGCTTACATGCTACGATCACATCTTTGATTGGAGACCGCCACCAGATGAAGACGTTGGCGTTACGGGATAGGGCCAATTTGGATTCTCGAGCGAATTTGTGGAACAGATTTTCCTCACTGGACGCTTGCATGTCGAGGAATGATGCCAGTGATACTTGGAAGAGGATAGCTGCTGTCACGGAAAAAGCGGCTGGGAGCCTTCGTTCTCTGCGTCCGCTGTACCCCAGTTGCGTGGTCGTCGTGGGTGCAAAATTCGCTGGCAGGAAGTACTCGTGTTGCACACGTGGGCTGTAGGACGCCCACGCGCTTCGCTTGAGCAATTGCAAGGGCTTCACTCCCATGTCGCGTTTGCTGTTGAAGAAGATACTCTCCGCCTCGCCGTGGATCTACATTATGCGACTCACAGAACTAGCCGTCACGCGTACAGTCTTGCATCGGCGAGAATACTCAGCGTTCAGATTGAGACCAACAGCGTGCAGTTATACAGCTATGTAGCATGAAACAGCAATTCGACACGATAGACAGCGCTCTAAACAACTCAATGATGAGATGCATCCAGATAGTCACGAACACTAAACACACCGAGACGCACCTCATCACCCAAGCGACCTCGACCTTCCCCTTACATACCCCAACACCCGCTCCTTCCACACCGGCGGCGCCGCCGCCCCCACCCCGTTCCCATTCCCGTTCCCATTCCCGTTCTGCTGCACCCACGCCCCCTGCGCGCTCGGGCGCCTCCCAAGCCCGAGCCCAACGCGCCCCGCCTCGCGCTTGCGGCGCTCCACCGCGTTCTCGACCGCACTCTTCAACGGGCCCCCATCCGCGCGCATCTGCGTCTCGAGGATGAGGTGCTCCATCTCCTGCGCGAGCAGGCCGACGACCGCGTCCGCGGGCTTGAGCTCGCCGAGGTACGGGAACGTGCCGTCGGACGCCGCGGTGCCCGTCCGTGGGCCGTGCGCGGCGTGGAAGAGCGTCGCGAGGTGAACGTTTGCTATGGGGGCGGGAGAGCGTGCGAGATCGAGATAGGTTAGCCTGGCGGGTGTAGGACGGAGGGAGGGGAAGAGGTAGGGACTTACTTTCGCGCGCCACGGCCGCGGAGAGCGTGGAGATCTGCTGCGCCTCGTTCGCGATCCAGTTTTCCTGGAACTCCGGGGATGGCGCGGGGAACACTACTGGGGCGACGTTCGAGAGCGCGAAGCAGCCGAGGACCCAGAGCGTGTGGAGGAAGCGGACGTGTTGGTATGGGACCCTGTGGGGCCAGAGGAAGGAGAAGAAGCTTGTGTGCGCCGCGATCGTGGGATCGGTGAACACGACGGAGGAGAATGACGTGCCCGATGATGGCGCAGGAGACGGATTGAGGAGGAACAGCAGTTCGTATACGGCTGTAAACGCGAGCATGATGTATCTCCACTAGTGCCAGTCAGCACGTCGAAAGTCGTATATGTGGGTGTATGCACTCACATACGACACTGTGCTCGAGGGGCTGACGAAGGAGAAGAAAATGAGACTGCACAGAGAGACGATGTAGAAGCCCGAGGCTTGTAACAGTCCGTGCCGGACGTATTCCCGGAGAGTGGTGCATTGAGACCAAGACAATGCCTCTGGGCCAAACCTGTTGACTTTGAGAACAAGACAGACGAACAAGCCGGGTAATGGAAGCTCACCTCTCATACGCGAACCGCTTGACAGGAGACTTCAACGCGTCATACGCATCCCGCACTTCGATAAACATCGACTCGCTCTGCGCCCCTGCCCTGTCCGGATGGTACCGCCGCGCGAACTGCCTGTACGCCATCTTCAGCATGTTCTCATCTGCCGTGGGCGCCAGATCGAGTATCTCGTAGTAGTTGGGTTCCATCGTTGCCGACGCGTCATACAGGTTGTACGCAAGGTAGACGAGGGCGAAGAAGAGATATGTCATACGATAGTGGAACGCGTATGCTGGGGTGCCCGGGGGTGGAGGAGGCCGCCGTAAGACGCGTGCGTACGCGACGTGGAAAAATGAGAGGAGCTGGCGGGTGGCGTAGCCGGGGAGGTAGTACCAGGCCGCATACTTCAGGGGGGTGGTGATGAGCATGGTGGGTACGGGGTATTGATTTCGGCACACGGTTCTGCCACTAAAGTCAGTTCAGGCCGTGCTGACGAGAGGCAAGGTCGGAAACCGTCGCATTCGTAAAGACGGATATTGACGCATATAGCTACATGTATTTATGACGTGATGCGCGGCCTCGACAGTGCTCACCTGTGGACAAATAGGTCAGTACTGCACGATACCACTGAACAAGAAAATTGAAAGACTCAGACGGGCAAGGCCCGCACGCATATGATCTCTTGTCCCTGCCCAACGCGCTCGCAAACAACCAAGCCATACAGCCCTCGCTCCTGCCACTTGTACGCACAGAACCACACGTCACGGACATTGGTCTTCAGCCCGGACGCTTATGCCATGCGCCCCGCCACCGGCCACAGCCAGCAGCGAGCAACTGTCTTGTTCACGAACAGAGTACCACATCTGAGACCACCTGCAACGGAGTAGGGCGCCCCCGCACAAGCTTGACTTTCGAACATCAACCCCACGGCACGCCGACACGCAGAACGCGTCGCGCAAGTCGCAGGGCCGGCTGTCGACTCTGCCTTTGTTCGCGCGCCTGGGAGCTCGTGGCGCGCAAACCTTTGAGAGAGTCGCTCGGCGCAGGGAGCGACCGAGTGCGATGCGTGATGTAGGTTCGGCCTTACGGCGTGCCACGGCGTTTTCGTGAGATGGCACGCCGGGGTTCGAACGCTTCGGGGGCTCGAGGGCGAGGCGTGGACGGAGCTCGCGGTTGGACAGGATCGACCCTTTTACTTGGACATCATCGTATCCTGAGAGGAGCGCAGACTCACCTTCTTGTCCGTATCTAAACCATTCCTCTTCGACTTGAGATTTGGCCCAGCGAGGCAGCAGAGGCGCAGTGGTGGTGGTGGTGGAGAAGCAAAGCGTTGCAGCGCAATAAGCGCCTAGTTCGAGTTACATGACGTCGTCCGTCCCTCACTCGCTGGTCCAGGTCGAAGTTGTACTCCCATCGGTCCGCAAGGCAACCCGGTCGCTGCAGCCTACCGAATTATCAAGAGCAGCCCAGCTGGTTCTTGCTGGCGTGTTGTCGGGGAAGCGAAAGGGAAGAAAAAAGTGGCACTCACAGCCAGGCCTCAGGTGCTACCAGGGTTCGAACCTGGGTTCCGGGAAGCTCTTTCTCAAAATCCCGAGTGATAACCACTACACTATAGCACCATACAGCAGCGGGCTCGTTAGATAAATCTATTCAGGTGAACCTTACTCTCGAGCACCCGCCGGCTTCCACTTGAAGTTCCGACGGCCAAATGTCTTGTACTCAACGACCACGATGCCGAAGTACAAACTCATCTTCTTCACACCACGGCCGTCGACGCAAGCCATCTTACAACACCTCTTCAAGCGCTTCCCGAACCACGTCGGTAGAATCGGCGCGTACGGCGGGTGTGCCTTCGTAACTCCCGGCAACGGTACGTCCCGTCCAGTACAGTGTATTGCAGCACGAAGAGCCCCGCGCGCTCATCCCGCGCAGGCCAATTCACTCCGCTCGAAGGAGCGAACCCCACCATCGGCGCGGTAGGCAAGCCCGAGTTCGTCGAGGAGGACCGTGTGGAAGTGCTCGTCCTCGGGAGCCGCCCTCAGGAAGGCGCCGAATCCAAATCCGCTTCCTCCGACTCGGATGCGGGGGTGGGGATGAACGCCGTCTTGCAGGAGTTGAAGAAGGTGCGTGTTGTCGGACCTGTCAGGACGCGCGTTGTTGAACGCAGACGGGGTCCGTGATGTTACCCGGTAGGTCCATCCTTACGAAGAGGTCGCGTACGATGTGTACCGGCTCGAGGAGTTTTAGGTGAGGAAACCCTCGGGCTATGTTGGCGTATCCTCGTGGCATCCCCGGTGAGTCTTTCCTTCGGAGTATCGCTCTCGGGAAGGAGAGCTTACTTCCCAACGGGTAGGCGGCTTCACTCAGGTCATGCTGCGCTCTACGGCGTTCTATCATAAAACCTGTTGATACGCTTCCTTCGTAGATGATCCTTCTGGGATGACGCGAACCACACGGAGCGCGTACACAGAAGCGCGGACAGTTGCGATCGACGCTCGGCTGGCTAGTCATCGGCGTTAGGCACCTATAGGCGCCGTCGTCCACGGCCCGAGTGAAGAGGAATGTACTATGTCAGAGTACTCATTTGACGGGACTAGTACCCTCGGCACGACGCCTGGTTTGGTCCCATCTTGGCAGCAGAATGTGCTCAGACTGGCTACTCCCTGACTGCGAATGTCTGCTCACGCAGACACGACGGGCCGCGGCACTATCCTCACTTTGAAGATCTAGTTGACGATGCAAAGGTCCGAGGATCATTTTCTAGTGAGCATCGGCACCGGGAGTGCCCTGTCCAACAGGCGTCCATGCATACTCGCGATATCGCCGAAACCCTATGCAGTGTCTGCACGTTGCGTCCCATATCCTCGCATCCGTCCACACCGGTATGTACATCTGTCCACCCGCGGTCCGATCCGCCTGCCAGTCGGAGGCGAGGCGCGCAAATTCGTGATGATTTAACGCGCCGTACCGCCTTGGAATCCGATGTGCGACGGCACATCACGCACATCCGCCCGCTGACCGCCCCTTTTACCCAGATTATTGTCCGCCGCACCGCCGCATGCTGTGAGCGTGCAGCAATCCCTGGATGCGACTAGTCCAGGAGCGGCAGCCGAGACCCCCCGTCTTGTCCGCGCTGGGCGGCAATGCTCCGAGAATCACGAGCCTTCCCTTTTGTGACGCCAGCCATCTCGCAGCGTGGGCGCTAGCAAGGCACTAAGCCCGATCTCTGACACAACTCTCTTGTTTCCATTCCGGCCGTTTGCGTCTATATAATCCTCCATCGCCGTCCGGGCCACTCCTTCTCGCCCTCCCTGCCCCCTCCCATCCTCGCACACCCCGCCGCGACGCCGCGCCCGCACTCGACGCGCCGCTGCACGCCTGCGAGCAGTCTCCGATCAGCACGGAACCCGTACGCCTCAGCACAGCTCGATCGCCCGTCCTCTCCCTGTCTCTGCGCCTCCATCGATCCGCCTCGCCCACTTCTCGCTGAACACCCACCGCGATGCGCGCATTCTACTCCCTCTACGAGGAGCCCGTCTTCGAGGAGCCGTCGCCCAAGGAGCGCTCCGTCTTCTACGCCGTCGTCGGCGCGGCGGTCACCATCGCGTCTACCGTCGCTGCGATCCAGATCAACGGCTCGCCGCAATGGCTCTCGCCTGCGTACGTCTGTATCCGGTTCTTCCCCGCTCGAACCGCGCCCTGACCGCATCTGCGTCCCCTCGCTCCCCCTTCGCCGTCCTTCTGCGCGTCTGGTCTCTTGCGCACGCTTTCGGCTGACGCGCACAGGTTTGCAAGCGGCCTATAGTCGGCGCCCTGTGCCGCTGGCTGGGCTTCCCCGCAGACTGAGCGTCCGTGTCGCTGCGGTAGGTGCTGCTCTTTCTCTCGGACAAGGTTTGCGCGTGGCTCGTGATTCTTGACGGTGCTGATCAGGAACTGTCCCTCCCACAGGCTGCGTTAGGCTCGCGCTTCTCGATTATCGCCAACGCGCTATTCATTCACGACCCCGCACGAAGATCCTCTGACTCCCGCGTTACGTACCCATCCCCAAACGTCTACTACGTCGCTTCCTTGCTCGCATTGCCCGCTATCTATACGTCTGGAAGGTCCCGCATCTCCGTCTCGTGTTCAGCATCTATCCACTGTATGTATTAGTGTCCTCCAGGCCCGTCGTTCACCGCGTATATCAGTCTCTCCGTGTACCCATAAAATGCATCTGCGTTGGTCACCAGTGCTGATACGAGCGGCCGCGCATGTTTTCGCTAGGACACACGTGGTTTGCCCTGCGGGCTCTGCAACCAGTAATGAACGAGCGTATGCACTCAAGTTCCAAACACAGGATGACATACCAAGCATATAAATAATTTCCGGTTCACTACTAGTACATCATATCTGTATGTTCGTAGAGGCTCTATGGTACACCAAAATACGCGTCTGACTGCTACGGAGCTCATCAGGATATCGTACAAAGTATGCCTTAGCGTTGACGTCTCTATGAGGGGGCGGTGTGTCCGCCACCCAGGAACCGCCACATCAAGACAATGCAGAAATGTGCTCTAAGCACAAATGGCTTAGGCTGTGGATATGTCGCACTGAGCGCATCATGAGGTCGGGAGTCCAAAAGTGTGCGTGGTAAGCCGCTCAAAGTAATTGAGATGTGTTTCTCGAAAGTGTATATCTTCAGCATATCGTCGACCGGCTAGAGGATAAAACCCGGTTTCAGTAACAGCCCTGCAGTGCGCCTTGGCGAGGTAGCAGATACTCACATAAATACCGACCAGATACCGGTCAAAGCAGCGATGTATGTCCGTACGCAGCAAAAATGCATTTCCACGTACGTCGGCGTTTTCTTTGCTGGATAGAAGTGTCTTTGCCTCTTCTATCGTCGCGTCGCTGACATCATCCCATCCTGCTACCAGTTTCCATGCCTGAACTGCTAATCAGATAGATTCATAACATAGCTTGGACGATGTGACGTACCTCCGGGTGCGCATGCGCAAGAGCCCATATGTGGGCAACTTCAATGCCAGTGAAATCGAATCCCCGATCTCTCAAAACACCCATGACCCCCGACAGCCTGCAGTGACCGTCCCGGAGACGAACTTGCTGGCGAACGTCACCATCCTACATCATGAAGGACAAGATATGAATGCGGTTTGATAACATGCGCGAAGAGGACTTACCCTGATATAATCCGGTTCTTTTTTCTTCTTGCGCTTCTTCTTTTCATCTTTTGGTACAGGCACTTGTTCTTCGGTAAACCCTGCTGCCTTGGGCCTGAGAGCGGGTGGCAGCGCGTACAGTTGTTCATCGTCGAAAATGGGCTCGATGTGCCAGTACCGCGTTTTAGTGACTACTGCGTTCCTCCTTGTGTTAGGAATCCTCTGTGTACTCTCTGTGACATGCTGTGCCAAGAGAACGTAGTGCCCAGGCTGGCAGATCTCATGGTATGATCCCGATTCGATGATTCGGCTGCGCCAATCTTCCATCTGGTCCCAAATGTCAGAAGGATGCACGTCTAGCATGTCCAGATCTTCCGGAAGCACTATTGTTTTCCCTTTGTACTTGATTCGTGAGTGAGCCTCACGAGGATCTTCCCACTTTGCCAGGACCCACGAGAGTTTGGTCTGGGATCTTCCTGACCTCGTCTCACGACCTGAACATTGGACTCGTTAGTAGAGTTCTCTCGGCGCGATGTGTTATACAGCCCACTACCGAGCTCTTCAGACGAAGAGTGACGCTGATGTGCTCGCTGGCAAAGAGGGGAACACTCTCACCTGGCGAAGGAAATGACGCAGGCAATACTCGGATTAGCCGTAGCCACGCAATGACGTCTCCGTAAGTGATTTGATTGTTGTTCTGGTTGAAAGGGTCATTATAAAATCCTATTAAACGGTACCACGATCAGTCAATTTCACTCTTCACGTAGCGTGGACGATTTTTGAAGGAGAGACTGACCTGCAATCAACTTGGCTTGATGTGAAGCTGAAAGCGCAATAGCGGACCAAATGTGCACGTTCCTCTCTCTACGGTTGATATAGTTGTCTTCGCTCCTTTCTGCATAATTAATTTTGGGAAACGCGTATGAAATAACCCCGATCGGTTTTGCCTGTGTGGAGGACATTGCTGGTAGGTTGCTTGAGGATGAGTAGAATGCCGGGAGAGCTGGACTCGGAGGCCTGGTGCAGTACTACAACTCTTCACACCCCCATATATATATGTATGTGTGTGTATCTGGACGTCGCAATGTGGCTAGGCTGCACATGACAAAAGTAAGGCAGACCCGTATTCGGCATCACGGCAGGTCGCAGAAGTAGGCGGCAACCATGGCATATGTTTGTGGGTCCACTTCGTCATTATACCACCCACGAACTCTCGAATGTTTCATCAGCCCGCTTGCCGCGATAATCATATGATAAATGTGAAACCATTTCCTTGAAACACCGTGTAAGCACTGTCTATGCTCGTCTGCGACTGCCTTGTGAGGGCGCTCGAGCTACGGAAGTACAGTCACACGGGCAAGTCTCTTGCCACGTGCTTTGGGAGGAGGCGTCCACAACCTGAAACTGGTAGCGTAGGCCTGGAATAGCATACGGTCTTGAGTGTGGCAGTTCATGTGGACTCAAAATAGCGACTGATACTGCTTGATAATCTGGAGCCGTGCGGTGTATATCCCTTTCACTTCGAGTAGTGTGTGTTGGCGCACAGCGGCTAGTTCTAACCGGTTTGAGGTTAGTAATGGGCGCCGCGGGTCAGCACTTACACGGTTTTTCCATACTGCAGTATAAACAGAATCCAACATCATAAGTGTCCCAACTGATGATGACACCGTTACTTGTTTCAGAGGTCGAAACAGGCGCTCAGTGTCCGCGCCAACACCGGAGGTAACTTCTTTGAACTCGGTGTCTCGTGCCCTGATCAGGACAGATCCGGATTGATAGGCCGATGGGCCACGCTGTAAGAACTACATAAAGACATCCTCAGTAGCATATGCTGTCAGTACGAACCGACCACGTATTGCTGCACTCAGTCCATTTCACCCAAACTACCACTAAAGCTCGTCACAATGTCATCCAACACCGTGGACAAGTCTACAAACGCCGGTTTGAAGAATTTACTTGATCCGGAGCTTCCCGTTCTGAAGTCGATATGTGCGTTGGAACGCAATGCCAACGTCTTCATATGGTGGCCTTCCAAATCTCTCATTGCATGTGAGCGACAGCATATCCGATGATCACGAGCTGAGATACACACTAACAATTTACAATTAGGCTTCAATGCGGACATCACTCCAGTCACTGTACAGACACTACTTCGCTGGATAGGTATCATGCCGATCAAACAATCATCTGACGACGAAGACGGGAGCGAGGATGAGAGCGAGGACGAGAGCGAGGACGAGCACGAGGAGTACAAGGACGAAACCATAGTCGTGAAGCCGGTGAAGTTGATACACCGGGATGTTCTGAAATATGAGCCGTATCCCTTGTCCGATTGCCTCGAGAACTCTACTCTTCTGACACCAGGAGTGTACGGCTGTTTTCTTCAAGGTGAGTATTGAGTTTCATTTATTGCCACTACGAATCAAATTCAAACTGAATTTATTGGCGAATTATAGAAGACCCGACTCAGGTCCCGGAAGTGGTTCCTATCATACCTCCTCAGGGTGTTTCTACCTTCGCAAAGACTCTAGAGAACAGCATAGAGCGTATCAAAATGTTCGATAATGACGGTGTCGACCTGGCCGAATTCCTCGGACAGGTAAGTCCCCGTTTACCAGATGTGTATACGAGCTCTCTGTTGACTCGATTGCGGCGATGCCGTGTGCGTCCTTCAGTCGAATATCTCAGAGGCTCTGCGTGAGCAGTTCAAATATCCGCGCGACAAGTGCGCTTTTACTGGCTTAACAAGCGACGCCAGTACCGCTTCGTTGGAGTTGTACTGGATTTTTCATCCGAAGATGTGTAAAACCGTATGTCAAGACATCTTAAAACAGAGCCACTGACTCAATGATTTCCATAGAATGTCGCAGAGCGAGAGTATGAACTCTCGCGGAAGCTTTGCCACGTCGTGGATAATATGCTTCCCATGCGTCCTGAAGTGCACGAGCTGTGGTTTGCAAACGAGTTCAGCGTCGATGTTGATGTAAGCACTAACAGATGGATTATTGGTATATGTAACGGCTACTAATGTGCTCGGACTTTGTTAGGACGAATGGCGGATTCGTACCTTCACTAAGTCGGCAGCTAAGATGGGCTTTCCTGCGCGTTTCAACGCCCCCGACCCGCAAAAAGAGAAGTTCTTCCGTGAACATTTCTTCCACACGTTGTTGGTCCGGTTCAATGGCGGAGACGCTCGCAGGGATTACAATATGAACCAGGCGACAGACATCCGATCACACCTGGACGACCACGGGTCTCGCATTAACATTGAGGACGAAGTTTGGAAAGGACCCCTCGGGAAGGACACCTTGAAGCTACTTCACGACGAAGACACATCGGAGGATGATGATTGAAGAACTCCGTTGACCTGCGCGACCAGTATGTATTACGTGCGTTATTTTGTATTAATAGTTCAGTACACATTGGGCATTGGCATGTCATTCGGAGGAACGGCTGCTCGCATCCCGGCAGCCTCCGGGCTACAAGGCTAGTACTGTGCGAAGTATCAAAGTGCATATTACGAGTGCTGCGCGCCGGCCCGGGTATGTACCTGAGTTTCAAGCGCGTAGGAATAGCGGAGATGTTACAGGACGCAGGCGTCGACCCCAGTGATGGCCTTGAGCTTGAAGAGGGATGCTAGGCTCGCCTTCGTGCTGACCATGACCGCCCAGTCTTGCACCATGAATTCGCAGGAGGCAGGTGCGATGGTATTTTGCAATGTCCGGCCCCTCGCAAGGCACTTGAGCCCATCCATGACAATATTTTAAGCTCGACGTTGTGACATTGGCAGCACATCGTGAATGTGGGGATAGCAAAACTGCCCTTGAGGGATACGTGGAATTGACCGCATCGTAGCGCTCAGCGCAGTGTTCTAGTGGTCGATGCAGCAAATCATGATAGCCTCTAGTAGCCGTACGACCAAGAAATCATGCAGCACTACTCTCTGATTCTTGTACGAGGCGAATAGAAGAAGTACAGCCGAGCGTGGCGGCTGGTCTCGTCGTAGTCTCGTCGTGGCGCAGAGTACTTGAGTCGATTAAGCGTCTAACTGCAGGCTTATGCGGGCACGCCCACGTGCTGCGGTGCAGTGGGGGGTGCCGCGTTGATGCCGGCTATCTGTTCTCACTCTGCCTGTCATCGTGTCGAGCTCATACAAGTTCTTACTGGCTGCAGCCTGAACTATGATCTCTCTACCCACATTGTCCCGGAGTTCGCGCTAGCAGAATGCTCAGCTGGGATATTCGTCGTTCTGAGTGGATCAAGCAACGAACATGCCCTAGATCAGTGGCATCCGATCGCGGATGCCCTGCAAGTATGTCTACCCGGCAACGCAAACTCTCGAAATTCTTTGTGTCAAGAACGATGTGTACATGGATGACCCAGGCATCATGGCGTTACGTTTTTGATAACGGTGCGTATTCTCGACTGCAACTTTGGCAACTTGAGCTATTTCAGTTTTTGCGAGGTACTCTTGGCTTCGCCTGCAAGAGCTGACTCTCACCCTCATGAAACTACAGCTTCGGGAGCTTGCCTGGGATGATATGCACCCATTGTACATCACGGTCGCAGCACATACGCCCCAGGTGCGTGTTATCAAGATCATGTTTGACATTCGTCCCTATGCCCGAGCAAGCCCTCTCTGCTACGCAAACCACCGTTTGTACTGCGTAGCGCTATCTCACGTTGCTGTCTTTCTGGTAGCAATAAGATCATGCTGCCCGACGCAACCTATCGGCATTCGCGGAGGCCTGGCGTAGGCACGCCTATCACACAATTTGCTACCACCCCTAATGATCCCGGCGCATCCCCCGTCGCTCTCCTAGAACCTCCATGCCCCGTTGAAGTACCGCAGGGCCCAAACACTCGCCACCCTTATGAAAGTTTATGGTGCGTATCCATGCCTTTGTGGGGCCTAACGCTGTGCACGCAAGTAGCGTTACAACTCCTCGGATACAATAACTCTCCTTCCGATGGAGTATTCACTCTATGTATGTCCTACGCCCAACCATCCAGCCCGCGTCATCTTCTGACACGACTTTTATATTTCACTAGTGTTCTAACCCATCACCGCGCCCACGACCGCCGAACTCGAACTTCACAGCTATCACGAAAACCTCTTGGCTCCGGTTGACCTCGCATCGCTGCAGCAATTCAGAGCTGCAGGACATGTCTTTGTAGAAGCCGCGACCGCTGGACACCTTCTTCGGGAGCCGTCTCCCGAAAGCCGACGAAGTTATTGTGTTGGCTGCCTTGCTTGCACTCGTATATCTTAGGATTGAGCTCTCCCTAGACCGAGAGCCGAAAATCGTGGGGTTCTCTGGCCTGGTAGCACCACGCTATGGCGTACGTATTCCCTCCCAAAATGCGCCCCGCCTCAACTGCGTGAGCTCATCAGACTTCTCTTCTACTTTCCTCCCTCGATTCCGTTCAGAGCGCCGTGGAGGCAGAAATCCCCCGTGCGCCGCTGTAGCTCATAGCGCAGAAAGGACGCTCCTCATGTGATCCCGCAAGGAGACGTTCCTTTCAGCGATACCGTCACTGCTCGTGCCCCGCCGTCTCCGTGCCCTGCCAACATAGATCATCATCAGCTTCCTTCTAAGGACACATCGCGATCCACCGCGCTCCCTATGAGCCCGCCTTCGAGCTGTCGCTCAAGGAGTGCCCTGTCTTGCGCGCCGCGGCGATCACCATCGCGTCTACGGTCGCTGCGACCCAGGTCAACGGCCCGCCGCAATGGCTCTCAGCTGCGTACGTCAGCATCCAGTTCTTCGCTCTTCGGGCCTCGTCTGGACTATAGCTGTATCCCACTCGCTCTGCATTTGCGGTCTTGCGCAGTTCTGTCTGGTCGCTCGCGCACTTGTATGTCTGACGCAAGCTTGCCAGAAATTTATGTTCGGCGCCCTACGCGGCCGGATTGGCTTTCCCGCAGACCGAACGTCTATTCCGCTACGGTAGGGAGTGCTCTTCCTCGCGGACAAGGTTGGCGTGTCGCCAATGATCTTCCGCGGTGCTGAACAGGAACCTTCGCCTCTTCAAGCCACGTCAGGCTCCCACTTCCCGATCGCCGCCGCCGCCGCGACCCCTCCCGACCCCGCATGAAGATTTTGTAGCTCCAGCGTTAAGTACGACCACATCTCCTCCGTCCACTATGTCCCTCCTTTGCTCGCATCGCCCCGCCAATCATCTGTCTGGAAATTCTCGCATCCTCGCCTCGTGTTCACCATCTACCCACTGTCCGTATCGGAGACTCTCAGGCTCGCCGTTCATCGAGTATGTTAGTCGCTTCATGTACCCGTGAATTGTATCTGCGTTGATATTGAATGCTGATCCGAAGCGGCCGCGCGCTGTTCTCGCCAGACCACCCCGTGGCCTGCCTCGCGAGTTCTGCGCCCCAGTCACAGATCGCCGGCACCGCGTGTCGCCGAGGTTGAACCACGGCGCATGTATCAAGCGTGTAAGTCAATTTTCAATCTCTTCGTATTCCAACGTTATCGGTCAACAATCACCGGCAACAGAAGGATACTAAGGGCCAGCTGTCTGCTTGTCATCGGTCAGTGCCAATTGGCTCCGTCTCCACAACATCGCCCTCACTCCGCTGCTCAGCCACCTACGGCATGTCTAGCACTACGGAATCCAACGAAGGTTCCGTTGATAGAAGTATGCGTACTTCTCATGCTAGACCAGAGGAACATCGCCATGTGCATAGGTCTGTGCGTGCGCTTGCGCGCAACGCCAACGTCTTCATATGGTGTCCAGGCTTAAGCGAAGCTAGGCTCATTGCATGTAAGTGTATCCGATTTCCACCGACCCTCGTGGTACGAACGGACTGTATGATCATGACAGGCTTCAATTCAGAGATAACCCAAGTCACTGCGGAGACTCTTCTTCGCTGGATCGGCATGCCGGCTGCATTGCGCCTGAGCGGCGAAGTCGTCCTAAAGAAAGTCAGCCTGGAACACCAGGGAAAGTTCCGCTACAAGCTTGTTCCGCTCAAGTTGTTGGAGTCCTCCGAAATACTCGAGGCCGGTGTCTACGGCTACTACTTTCCAGGTAAGTAGAAGCGATAGTAGCTGCATTCGTGACAATTGAATAGAAACATTGGCTACTACCTTGTAGGACCTCGTGGAGCAAAACCTATAATTCCAGCATTGCGCGTCAAAACATTCAAGCAGCACCGAGAAGAAACTCTGCAGTATTTAGAAACAACTCCGCACGATCACCACAAGTGGTTTGAGCTCGAAGTGAGTCCCGTTACTTATCCCACAAGTTCGGCATGTGCGTTGACGCCTTCCAAACCCATAGCATCACAATGTCCAGGACGACGATGTCCGTGCTGAGGTCAAAATACCACACAACCGGTGCATCTTCACCGGATTCATGTCGAGTAATGCCGTTCCGCAGTACGGAGCGGACGGGGGCCATGCCGTCGCTCAGGATGTAACAGACGCAAGCGGTGCCACCATCGGCGGACCCACCGCCGTGGCAATTGCTGGATCTACAGACTCTGCTTCCGCGGAGGGCGTAGACCTTCGCTGGATTCTTCCTAGGGACATGCGCGATACGGTGTGTAGCCCAATTATTCGAACGAGCAAGCTGGTACCGATGCATCCGTCAGAATGGGGCTGTTTTTCTATGGCGTATGCGGAGCGTGGACATAGTCGACATACCGCTGACCGAGGCGGCAAATGTTTTGCCGATGCGTGACGCCGTGCACGAGCTATGGTTTGCCAATGAGTTCAGCGTCGATGTCGATGTAAGTGGGAGTGCTATACTCGGTGCATGGTAAATTCTGACCTAAAACCTTTCATCATATAGGATGAGTACCGCATCTACACCTTCACCGAAGCCGCAACGAAGGCAGGCTTGCCTGAACGACTCAGCCTGCCCGCAGAGGCAGTCTCATCTCATTTCTATGACATATACCTCCGTGAACATATGCTGCACACTCTTTTGCTGCGTGTTAACGGCGGAGCTTTTCGCGGAGTATGGGCTCTTGACGAGAACGCTTCGGAGTGGTATGATGAGGAAGAGCAGCAGGTGGAGGCAGTCACCGATGCAATGACGGAGCTGCAGATATCCAAGGATGATGGAATGTAAGGCTCGGGGGTAGGGGAGGTCCCATCTTGTACGAATATAGCCAGTATTTGCCGTAGTCAGCCTTTCATCATAATAAGCTCAAAGTATCGCAACTTATACGCCGTACCGCCCTCGCGCCCTCAAAATACTGAAAATGCGCGAAACGACGCACAGGCACTTGCGTGAACGTGAACATCGCGAGGGCGCATTCCCCCATACCATGCGTCTTCCTGCGCTCGCCGTCGGCGGCCGCATATCCAGTACAAATCCATCAAGGCCACGAGCTTCATTGCGAGCCAGCACGGAAAGTGGAATCGAAACACGGTGTTCATTGAAGCCTTTTACGGGCGCGTGCGACGGCCGGCGGAACACGATGCAGATCCACTACCAGCGCGCAGTGAGCTCGCCGCTATTGTACGAGAGCCCGCACCGTGACTATGTAAGATACAAGATACGGTACTCTGAGAACGCGCCCATTAAATGTACTTACACGCCGCGCACGACGAGCCCAACATGGTCGAGCGGCCTGCCTCGCAGCACGATCTCGTTGTTGATGGTCCAGCGACGGAGGAGGCCGCCAATAGGCGCGCCCGTCGTGGTATGGTCTTGCTACACAATCGCGGCGATCGTAGCTGAAGAGTGGCCAGCGAAGCGCAAGGCGACGAGCAGTTGCGCGCGTGCCGTGGGTTGTGACTATGAAGTCAGGTAGCGGGAGTCTCCGTGTTTGACGGCGATGAGAGTGCGCGGATGCAGGTTGCATGTCCTGGAAGGGAAGTCAGACATATACAGGCGTCCCAGATGTGGGGTTCCTTACGTGGATGACTTCGAGAGCCCACTTTCTCGTGACGCCTAACACGTCGATTGGGACCGCTCGTGAATGGCGGTGTTGCTAAACCGGGTCCTAAGGACACCTACAAGATAGAGGACGAACACGTAGCTGTCCGGGCCCATGATGGTCGCCGTAAACCCGTGGCTCCGGGGACAGAGCGGCGTGCCAGACCGATAGAGTATTCTCCCGCGAGGATAAGCCAAGATCCGGGTGAACCGGTCGTACGATCTTCTTCTGAAGATGTTGAGGAGACCTGCGCCCGCGTCGTATATGATCGTCATTTGCGCGCCGAAGAAGCCCATGAGGCAAGTACGCCTCTCCTGGATGCGTTTCATTCTCCGCGCGCAGACCCATCACGTCGCATGCGTGATTCTGACTTTGTCCAGCGAAAATATTTTAGTACGCACGCGGAGCTCGATGAGGGACGCCAGACTCGCCTTGGTGCTGATCTTGGTCCAGTCCTATACGGAGAACAGGAGGCAGCCGCGTGGTCTTCTGCGACGCCCGATCCCTCGTAAGGCACTTGCGCTTATACACAACTATATGTTAATATCAACACTGTGAGATTGGCGGCACTTCGTAGATTACTGACAGAAAACCTGCGCTTGAGGGATACTCGGTAGTTATTGACGTCGACTTGGACTCAGATTCTACCATACGTGTGATTGATCGCGCCGGAAAGTTCGGCGCAGTTTTCTAGTGGTCGATGGAGTAAATCCAGAGCGGCTAGTATCCGTGCAACACAGAAAGCATGCAGAACTCATCATTCTTGTACGAGACGAGTAGAAGAAGCGTGGCCAGCTATGGGTGCGCTCGCCGAGCTCGCCGTGGTGCAGGATAAAGTTGCTCAAGCGCCGGAGGTTGAGCGCTTCGGCTTGGGCAGGCACGCCCACGTGCTTCGGTGCCGCGGGGGTGCCGCCCGTCTCTCCTCACTCTGCCCGTCATCTCGTCTGGCTCGAACCTCTTGCTGGCTGCAACCTGAGCTGTGATTTTCTACCCTCTTCGTCTCGGAGGCACGAGAACAACGCACAGCTGCGATAATTCTGTTCTGAGTGAAACAACTGCCCAAGGAAAGTGGTATCGCGAACTCCCTTGGATACATGCCTGTATTTCCGGTACCGCAAATCCTCGAAAGCTCTCGCGTCGAGCACGATGTGGACAGGGATGATCCAGGAATCACGGCGTTACTTTTTTTGATAACGGTGCGTATCCTCGACTGTAGCTGTGGCGACGCTATCTGAGTGTTCGCGAGGTACTTCTTAGAGGTACTTCTTGGCTTCGCCTGCAAGAGCTGACTCTCACCCTCATGGAGCTACAGCTTCGGGAGCTTGCCTGGGAGGATATGCACCCATTGTACATTACAGTCGCAGGACATACGCCCTAGGTGCGTGATATCAAGATTATGTTTGACATTCGTCCCTATGCCCGAGCAAGCCCTCTCTGCTACGCAACCACTGCTCGTGCTACGTAGCGCTATCTCACGTCGTTGTCTTTCTGGTCGCGGCTGGATCATTCTGTCCGACGTATTCTATCGGTATTCGCGGAGGCCTGGCGTAGGTACGCCTATCACACAATCAAGTGTCACCCCTACTTCCCGGCGCGTCCCCCGTCGCTCTCCTAGAACGCTCTGCCCCGCTGAAGTACTGCAGGGGCCAAAAACAAAACCCACCAGGCCGTTACCTCCAGTACTTCGCGGTATGCTGCGCCGTCATTGTAGCTTGTCGGAAACCGAGGATGTGTGCGCGCTGGTGTTCTACGCGTCTCCCCGCATATCGGCATCGACAACTTTTGCGCCATCTACTTGCGATCGCAAGATGGCCGTCGGGAAAGCGACCCTTTCTAGGCAGCTTGGCTGGACCTGGAAGGGGTACGATACTTGGCCACATATGCATCAGAGCCATACACCGCGACGAATCCTTTCGAAGAGCGGCGGTTCGATGCAGGCCTTCCCTTGCTATGTCTGCTATATTCAGTCCTTATGAAAGTTCACGGTGCGTATCCATGCCTCTGTAGGGCCGATATCGAGCCACGTTCACTAACGCTGTGCACGCAAGTAGCGTTTCGGTCTCAATTATCATCCTTTTGTTGGTCCTACCCAACGTCAACCGACTATACCAAGATTATCGGGAAGCGCTTCTGATGGCGTATTTACTTTGTGTATGTCCTATGCCCAGCCATCCAGCCCGCGTCGTTCTCTGACATAAATTTGACAGTTCATTAGCGTACTAACTCGTCACCGCGCCCACGCCCACAGAACTTCAACTTCGCAGCTATCACGAGAGTCTCTTGGCTCAGGTTGGCCTTCCACCGCTCCAGCAATTCAGAGCTACAGGACATGTCTTCGTAGAAACCGCGACCTCTGGAGATCGTCTTCGGGAGCCGTTTCTCGAAAGCCGACGAAGTTGTCGTGTCGGCTGCCTCACCCGCGCTCGCATATCTCTGGAGTTAGCTCTCTATAGACTGAGTGCCGAAACTCGTGGGGTTCCCTAGCCGGATAGCACCGTGCTATGGCGTATCTCCTCCAAACGTGAGCCTCGCCTCAATTGTGAGTTCATCAGACTTCTCTTTGCTAGTTTTCTCCTTTGATTCCGTTCAGAGCGCTGTGGAAGCAGAGAATCCCCCGTGCGCCGCCGTAGCTCGTAGCACGACACTTCTCTCCGCTGCCGTCGTGTGGAACCCGGGAAAGAACGCTTCTCGCGGCATTCCTGACAAAGACATTCCTGCTCTGCGATACAGCCACTGCTCGCGCCCCACCCTCTCCGTACCTCGCCAACATCGATCGCTATCCGCCTCTTGCTAAGGACCGATCGCGATCAACTACGCTTCCTGTGAGCCCGCCTCCGAGCTGTCGCCCCCTGATGGAGCGCCCCGTCTTCTACGCCGCGGCTGTAGTCGACGCGGCGGTCCCCATCGCGTCAACATTCGCTGCGACCCAGATCAACGGCCCGCCCCAATAGCTCTCACCTGCACCTGCGTACGTCCGCGTCCACTTCGCCCCTCTTCGGACCTCGTCTGGCTTATAGTTGTGTCCCCCTCGCTCTGCATTTGCGGTCTTGCGCAGTTCTGTCTGGTCGCTCGCGCACTCGTATGACCGACACAAGCCTGCAAGCAACCTATGCTCGGTGCCCTACGCCGCCGGCCCGGCCTGGGCTTCCCCGCAGACTGAACGTCTATTTCGCTGCGGTAGGTAGCGCCCTTCCTCGCGGACAAGGTTCGTGTGTCGCCGGTAGTCTTCCGGAGTGCTGAACAGGAACTTTCCTCTCCTCAAGCCACGTTATACTCCACTTCCCGATCGCCGCCGCCGCCGCCGTGACCGCTCACGACCCCGCATGAAGATTCTGTAGCTCCAGTGTTACGTCCGACCCCATTCCTCCTCCGTCCACTATGCTCTTCATTTACTAGTACTCGCATCGTCCCGCCAGTCACCTGCCTTGAACTTCTCACATCTGCGCCCCGTGTCCAACATCTACCCACTGTACATATCGGAGGCTCTCTTAGCCTGCGCAAAAATTGCCACACGACTCTCTGTGGGCGCCTCGTCGCTGGCGTCTGGTTTGTGGGTGGTTGGTGCCTGAGGCCTGAGGTCAGAGATGCCGCAATCAGAGTTGGCGTTCGTAGTCATCATCCTCGGATCTACATGAAACTGAATACATGAGACTGATGACACAAAAGAGAGAATCAGCGCGCAGCCTGTCTCGCGGGCTGTATCAGTAGATCCAAGGCAATAATACACCGAACTTCGTCCTACATTCTGGGGACACCTCAGACAGCCTTCAAACAGCGAGGACAGAAGCTTGTGAGCGCCCGTACACGTGCAATTTTATCACACCATGAGAACCCGGCACAATCGCCGTCGGTCAATACCACCTTCAAGAAGGAACCGATACCGCCCATCCCCCGCGTACACAACATCTTCTGTCCTATTCGCCCGTATCTAAACCGCTTGACAGCTACGATCTTTGAGCACTTGAAGTCACATCTCCGTCAAGATGTCCGAACTGAAGCAAGCATATCTGTCCAGCCTGGCCATAGCCCGCAATGCCGACGTGTTCATCTGGTGGGGCGGCTCGAAGGACGCAGAGATAATCGCCTGTAAGTCTTCTGAATGTGTCATTAGGTCGGCTGACCTCGGAATGATTTGGCAGGTTTTAGTCACGCCATGCTCACTACGAACAGTCCCTTCATAACAGTGCAAACGCTGCTGCACTGGATCGATTGTCTAGCGACCTGGGGTGGCGCACTGGTGCTGAAATCGGTCAAGGTGGAGTACAAGAGCTGTCTCCACTATGCGATCAAACGTGCAGATGACAACGGAGTGCCGCTGCCAGACGCTCACATCCTCACGGCTGGTAACTATGGCTGCTACTATCTAAGTGAGCCCGTAGTACTGTTTCAGGGTAGTACGAGCTCACCCTTGCATCGAGTAGATCCGCACTCGGCTAAAAGACAGCCGCTCGCCCCGCTATACAAGGTGGTGTCACTCGAACAATTGGAGAAACAACTCAACAACCCAAAGTCATTCAAGCGGAAGTACTATCAGGGTTACTTGCAGTACGTGAGTATAGTATGGATAGATTGTGTCAACCACTATCATACTCAATTTCTTGTTTCCTCCAGAACTACATCTCCGATGACGCGCGCAGCGGTGTCCTTAAACGAGATAGCCGGTGCATATTTACCGGGGCAACACACGATCCAAGTGGCAATCCTGTAGGCATTGATTGGATTATTCCCCCCGCCCTTGCGCATTATCTTGTGGGTAGTTTGTATCATATAGACAATCAACAGCTAATTCGGTTATGTTAGGGCAACGCACGAACCCAGGATCCAGAGCTGAACATCCAGATATCACCGAGTGTATACTACACTAAACAGGCCAATATGGTGCCCGTGCGGGCAGACATATACAAGCTATGGCTTGCGAGTGCGTTCACCGTTGACGTCGATGTGAGTACCTTATCACAACCGTCACCCTACTCACGCCTGCGGCCTGTTAACTCACGCAATACGTGCTCAAGGATGGCTACAGAATCCACATCTTCGACGACAAGGCTCAGGGCGTCGGGTTGCGCGACCATCTGGAAGCCCCGGATCCTGCCTGGGATGCTTACTTCGGCGAGCACCTCCGTATCACGCTGGTCGTTCATCTGGCGCATGGGGACAGGGCGATCGAGTACAACACGGTTGCTATCGCACACTTCAAGTCTACTCAGGTGAAATTGGATCGAAAGAGCGGGCTTCCAGTCGACCTTCGCAATCATGCGAAATGGGACAGTGTCATCGGGAAGCTCATTCTGAATGACATCAAGACGGTGCCCGTCACGCCGGAATCCATTCGCGTGAGAGGATACCAGTACGTTGACGAGATCGTTGACTTGGAGGACGCAGAGTGGGAGGAAGAGGATGACGAGGAGGTCGAGGAGGTTGAGGAGGCTGAGGGAGCTGGGGATGATAAAGGGTCAGCCTTGGGGGAGGAAGCTGTCGGAGAGGGTGGCGTAGACGAAGGTCCGGCGGAGGATATTGTGGACGAGGACCTGTACGAAGATAGCGACTAGCGGGCTCTTCTTGACGACACCAAGACGAGTCCGCGTACGAATAAGTAAAAGGTTCGGAATCAACATTATCATCGACTGCAGTATTGTGAACATCGTGAGGGCGCATTCCCCGATACCATGCGTCGCCCCGCACTCGGCGTCGGCGGCCGCATATCCAGTACAAGCCCCTCCAGGCATCGAACTTCATTGCCAGCCAGCACCGGAAAGGGGATCAACATGAGGTGTCTATAGGAGCCTTCTCCGAGCGCCTACGACGACAGGAGGAACACGGCGCAAAGCCGCCGCCAGCGTGCAGTGAGCTCGCCATCGTAGTCTGTTGTACGAGAGCCCTCGCCGCGACTAGCCAAAATATGAGATACGGTATTGGAGACGCACCCATGAAACATACCCGCCGCGCACGGGGAGCCCCACATATCAGAGCGGCCAGTCCAGCACGATTTATTTGTCGACGGTCCGACGGAAGACGACGTCGATGGACGCGTCCGCCGGAGTATGGTCTTGACACGCGATCGTGGCGACAGCGGATGAGGACTGACCAGCAGAACTCTCCACGACGATCAGGGGCGCGCGCATGCGATGACTGTTGCCATAAAGTTAGGGAACGGCACCCTTCGTGTTTGGAGGCAGTGAGGGCGCACGGATATGGGATGCGTGTCCTGGAAGGAATGTCAGACACCCGTAGACGTCTCAGATGCGAGCCCACTTTCCAGTGACACTTAACGCGTCGCCACGTTCTCCACCCTGGCTTTCGAATTTGCAAAGACAACTGGTCTGGGGACAAATACGTAGCTGTCGAAATATGTAGTCAACCGCTGGCTGCCGAGACGGAGCGGCCTGGAAGAGCAGGGTGATCTCCCGCAAGCATAAGCTTCGATCCGAGGGGCTCTGTCGTAACATCTTCTTCTGTAGACAGTGAAACGACCTAGGCCCTTTGCTGGATATGATCGCCACATGCAAGTCGAAGATTCCCATGCGGTAGTACGCCTGTCCTCGCATGCGTAATACTGACCCTGTAAAGATAGAGGCTGGATTTAAGTACGCATATGGAGCTCGAGGAGGGAAGCCAGGCTCACCTTGGATTCAGTCCTACACGGCGAACAGGAGGCAGCCGCAATGGATTTCTGCGACGCCCGGCATCTCGTAAGACACTGGTGCATATACATGAGTAGATTTGAAAATCAACGATGTGAGATTGGCGGCACCTTGTGCAGTACGAATAGCAAACCTGCGCTTGAGGGACTCCTACTTACTCGTACGTGGAATTGATCGTGTCGGGGAGCTCAGCCCCGTTTTCTAGTGGCCGACGTAGTAGATCCCAGAGCCAGTAGTATCCGCTAAGCCCAGTAAGCACTCATAAGCCCCTGATATTGTACAAGGCGAGTAGGAGAAGCGTGGCCGGTGGGTGCGCTCGCCGAGGTGCGCCGAGGTGCCTCTTGGTGCAGGGTAAAGTTGCTCAAGCGCCGAGCCAGGTTAAGCTTCGGCTTAAGCGGGCATACCCACGTGCCACGATGCCGCGGAATGCCGCCCGCGCCTGCTCTCGCTCTGCCCGTCATCGCGTCGCCGTCGAGGTCCAACCCCTTGCTGGCTGCAACCTGAGCTATAGTTTGTCCCTACCCTCGTCGTCTTGGAGGCACTGGCACAGCGCTCAGCTTTAGTAGAGGATACGCATCTTCTACTTGCCACAGTCGCAGGACATACGCTCCAACTGCATGATATCAAGACCCCTCCGCATCGCTTCAGAGCTATAGGACGTGTCTTTGTAGAAACCGCGACCGCTGGACGCTGTTTTCGGGAGCCGTTTCCCGAATGCCGACGAAGTGTTGTGTTGGCTGCCTCGTCCGCACTCGCATATCTCTGGATCGAGCGCTCCCTGGACTGAGTGCCGGAACTCGTGGGGTCCCCCTGGCCGGGTAGCGTCGCCTCAACTGCGTGAGCTCATCAGAATTCTCTTGTCGTTTCCTCCCTTGATTCCGTTCAAAGTGTTGTGGAGGCAGAGACCACCCCGTGCGCCGCTGTAGCTCGTAGCGTAGAAAGCACGCTCCTCACAGGATCCCCCAGGGAGACGTTTCTCTCTCCGACACCGTCACTGCCCGCGCCCCACCGTCTCCGCGCCTCGCCAACATTGATCATCATCCGCTTCCTGCTAAGGGCCTATCGCAATCCACAGTGCGCTCCCTACGAGTCCGCCGTTGAGCTATCGCCCAAGGAGCGCCCTGTCTTCCATGCTGCGGCGGTCACCATTGCGTCTACATTCGTTGCAAAATCAACGGCCCGCCGCAGTGGCTCTCATCTGGGTCACGTATGTCCGCGTCCAATTCGCCCATCCTCGGACCTCGTCTGGACTATAGCTGTGCCCCCCTCGCTCTGCCTTCGCGGTCTTGCGCAGTTCTGTCTGGTCACTCGCGCACCCGTATGGCCGACGCAAGCTAGGATTATGACCAGGGACTTTCCTCTCCCCCGGCCACGTCAGGCTCAGATATCGCAATTACCGTAATCGTTCACGACCCCGTACGAAGAGTCAGATCCTCTAGCTCCCGCGTCGCATCCACATCCCTCCACCATCCAGTACGCCGCTCCCTTGCTCGCATTGCCTCGCCATCTATGTGTCTAGAATTCACGGCATCTCCTTCTCGTTCTCAGCACCCCTGTCTGGTCTTTGGCATTCACTTATTCTATGTTTTAGTGTCTCTCGGACTCGTCGTCCATCCAGTATCAGTCGCACCATGTACCGATAAAGTCGAGCTGTGTTAGCATCGAATGCAGATCAAGCTGCCGCGCGTTGTCCTCGCCAGACCACCCTCGCAGTTTGCCTCGCGGGTTCTGCGCCCCAGTCACAGATCGTCAGCACCGCGTGCCGCCAAGTTTGAAACACGGCGCATGTATCAAGCGTGTAAGTTCCGATTCCACTAGGAATCGGTCTTGCTTGTGAGAAATGGCTCGGTCACGTGAATCCAGGCGCACCCGGCTTCGTCCGTCGTTTCCGTATAGTCCCTTCACCTCAGGGCGCTTGGATCAGCTTGTCTCTATTTGTGTTGTGGCGCCTGCACCCGTGTTTTGCGCCTTGCCACTGCGTATCGAAATGTGTCCGCCTCCCATCGTCTCTGTTCACGGATTTCCAGTTTCCCTTAGGTACTCTAAAATGTCTTACTCGTGATCTTCATTACTGCTAGTGTCTACACTTCTGGCGCACAGCAGCTGCGAACGGGCAGGCATAGTCGTCAACTCGCGGTACGCGCCTATCCGTATCCTGTTCAAGACATACTAAATCTATGTCCAGATCTATACGTGACAGAAGACGTCATTCCACTGGTGCCACGGGTTCGCCTCTTTGCTCTGACTTACATTAGGGGCATGGTACGTCCTTTAAGAAGTTGTATCTCGGCCCTGATGTCCTTGCGGCCGCGAAAATTGTACACAGCACGGCGTGTAACATGTTAGGATCGTATTAGGTGCGTCCTCGGGCTGTTTAGGTACGGACTGCGCTGACAAAGTAAGATTTTCAGGTCACCGGCAGACGAGAATCTACATATCAGACTTGTAAGTCTCAATCGAGACTTGCGCACACGTTGATATTAATGGTGCCTGGGGCGCGCAGCGGCGTCAAGCGAACACTCACGACCAAGGGTGTCGAGACCATTGCCCGGATCCGCGCGCTTCATCCTATAAGCTGGCCTGCGCCTTCCATGTGCGTACCCACTACATGCATCGTACACGGCCGAAGCTGCAGCATCACCTTCTGCGTATCATCGTGTTGACGCTTCGTCGTGACTACGCAGTACTACACCCGGCTTCCCCGAAAACAGCAGGTGTGTCCATGCTTGATGTTTCCCATCTCTGACCGCAACACCCGTGAATCTTAAAGGGCGCACATCGCGGTTGCGGTGCGACAATAAATGTTGGTTTGTAGGTGCATCAGGTCTCTATCATTACAACCTGTCGAGCGCAGCTTGTGAAGATCCACCTGCAGCCTGAGTGACTACCGACACGACGTGCACGCCGCAACTTCAACCCCAGCACACATAGAACAGTCTCGGCGGGGCCTACGGCTGCATCCTGTTCCCCAGAGCCCACACGGGCTCTCGCACTCCGGTAACACGTCCGAGCCTCGCCAGAATGCCTCATTGCAGACCTAGGCGTCCAGAAGTATGTTTGGGACACGTCGCTGTGCTGTACGAGTAGACTCAGATTGGCTAACCGGAATCGCGTTGACGAGCACGTAGACAAGCTACTGGTGCGCCCCGCCGAGTGCAGCGTCATCTCTATGCGTGTTCTGGAAACGGTGTTCCTGTTGTAACATTGACGCACGTACATGGAATGAGGACCCCGGCGTGCGCCGACTTGGAAGCTCTCAGCGACCTGGTCCGGTCCTCGCACCGGCGGTATTCGCCACTCTCATTCGGTGTATGAGGCTGCCGCAGCAGGTACTATCATCGTGGGTCCACGCCGTCTCTGTGTTGTCTTATATGACTAGTAGCTAATCATGTTATGAATGGCAATTATACATAATATGAAGCATCTAGACTCTTAGTGGAATCGGGCCTGGCGTGCGGAGCATCGCCGTTCACCCTCAAGTTCATTAACATTTTGCTTATATTGCCATCTTATCGGTCAACAATCACCGGCAACGGAAGCCTGCTTGTCATCGGTCAGTGCCAACGGGCTCCGTCTCCATAACATCGCCTTCACTCCGCTGCTCAGCCACCTACGGCATGTCCATTAGCACTACGGAATTGAATGAAGGCTCAGTTGATAGAAGTATGCGTACTGCTCAAGCGAGACCAGAGGAACATCGTCATGTCCACAGGTCGGAAGTTGCGCTTGCCCGCAATGCCAACGTCTTCATATGGCGGCAAGGTCCAGAAGCCAAGCTCATCGCATGTAAGTGCCCCCGGTATCTGCTAACCCTTGGTATGTAAACTGACCTTTGATCACGGCAGGCTTCAATGCGGACGTCACCCAAGTTGCAGCGGAGACTTTACTTCACTGGATCGGCATGCCGATTGCGCTGATCCGGAGTGGTGAAATCACCCTAAATAGAATCAGATTGGAACACCAAGGGAATTTCGAATACGAGCTGGTCCCGCTCTCTCTTTTGGAGACCTCGGAAGTACTCCAGGCAGGTGTCTATGGCTACTTCTGCAAAGGCAAGTGGCAGCGATGGTCTCTGTTATCGTGACGGGCATATTGAAACATCTGCTACTACTCCATAGGATCTCGTAGACCACGAGCTATACTTCCGCCACCAGGTGTTAAAACGTTCAAGCAAATCCGAGAAGAAATTTATCAGGAAATGGAAACAACTCCAACGGAAGATTATCCGAACGGTCGCCGCAAGTGGTATGAGCTTGAAGCGAGTCCCCTTATGCTACGTATTTGTTATGTGCGTTGACGCCTTCCAAACCCTTAGCATCACCATGTCCAGGACGATGTCCGCGCCGAGGTCAAAATACCACACAATCAATGCATCTTCACTGGGTTCACGTCAAGTGACACCATTGTGCAGTGTAAGGCGGACGGAGGCGACACCGTTGCTCAGGATGTAACAGACGAGAGGGGTGCCCCCGCCGGACCCACTACCGTGGCCGTTGCTGGATCTGCACGCCCTGCCTACTCGGAGAGCGTGGACCTTCGCTGGATTCTCCCTACAGACATGCGCGATGAGGTGGGTAGACCAAGTATTCGAACGAACAACCTGGTACTAATGCATTTATCAGAATGGGGCGCCTCTCTTTCCACGGCGGGTGCACATCGATTCAATACCGCTGACCGTAGCGGCAAATGTTTTACCTATGTGCGATACCGTGCATGATCTATGGTTTGCCAATGAGTTCAGCGTCGACGTCGATGTAAGTGGAGTGATATATCTAGCACACGGTAAATGCTAATCTAAAAGTCTTCCTTTGTGACTACAGGAGGGGTACCGTATCTACACCTTCACCGATGCCGCAGCGAAGGCGGGCCTGCCTGAGAGACTCAGCCTGCCCGCAGAGGAAGTCGCATCTCAGCTCCATGACATATACTTCCGTGAACATCTGCTGCACACGCGCTTGATGCGTGTTCACGGTGGAGCCGTTCCCGGAGTATGGAGGGTTGACGAGAACGCTTGGGAGTGGTATGACGAGGAAGAACCGGAGGTAGACTCAGTCACTGATGCCATGACGGGGCTGCAGATAGCTGAGGATAATGGAATGTAAGGTTTTGGGGGGAGTGGAGGTTTGATTAGCGTTGCCACCTTGTACGAGTATAGCCAGCATTTGCCGTGGTCCGCTAGCCTTGTATCATGATATGCTCAAAGTCTCGCGACTGATACGCCGTATCGCCCTCGCGCCCTCAAAATACTGAAAAGGCCCAAAAGGCGCTTTGGCTTTGGCTGGGACGCCCACGTGCTGCGGCTCCGCGAGGTGCCGCGCGCTGTCTGCTGGCCAGTATTCACTCTCGTTCTGCCCGTCATCGCGTCGGGCTCGTACTTCCTGCAAGTTTGAGCCCGAGATAAGCTTTCTTTGTCCTCACCGTCACGGAGGCGATATATAAGGTGTCCTGCACGATACCTGTGGCTTGGAGTGGATCAACCGGTCGACAAACAATCCCAAAGTACCATATCCACTGGGCGCGGACGTCCCACGAGTAAGTATCTCTAAGTACTGAAAACACATGTAAGCTTTCGTGTCGACCACAACAACAGGTTGCATTTACCCCGTCCCACTCCGCACATCGTCGCAATGCCGTATACCATCGATCAATTTCAATACATGCAACACTCTGGAGCGGCCCCGAATACCGTTAGAATGCCCGAGGACCAACTTGGACTTATTGTACACAGGCCTGAATGGGCATTGGAACGTAATGCCAATGTCTTCGTATGGTGGCCGACGGGCCGCCTCATTGCATGTAAGGACCCTCATAATCGAATATCTTAGCCCGGAGTATGGACTGACCAGATGGTAGGCTTCAATGATGCCGTTACTCCAGTCACAGTGCAGACGCTACTTCGCTGGTTAGGTATACCACCCTCGGACGATGACGAGACTGTCATCATCAAACGGGTTTGGCTAGAACACCTCGATGTTACCGAATATGCTCCGGAACCGCCACTAGATTCGAAGCCGTTGGAAAGCACTTCTATCCTTACTAAAGGAGTGTACGACTGTTTTGTGCAAGGTGAGTATGCACTATACGCTTATCGCTCCCATGAAATGTGGCTTCAACTGGGGGTCATTCTCGCTTATGTTATAGACCCGATCGACCGGACCCGAATGCCGAAAACGACCCCTTGGGAACCTATTGACCCTGCGGGTACATTGAAGTTGCTTCAAGACACCAAGATAGATCAGCTCAGTCTATATGACGATGAAGCTGGCACCCAGGTGGCCAAGTATGTTCAAAACGTGAGTGCTTGTGTCTTGCATTTTGATTTACCGTCAACGCAGCGACACAATATGCGCCCTGCAGATGAAGATCCCGAACGTCACCCGTGAAGCATTCAGAGGGCCGCGTAATATATGCGCTTTTACCGGATCCGTCAGCGGTGGCGAGAACGGGGCCGTCGATCTTCACTGGATTTTCCCGCCATATATGTTCGAAAAGGTTCGGTCTTTGCGATCGCTGCCTATGTCAAGCATCGTCGCACTAATGCAGCGCCCGTTCTAGAACGGGTCCTAGGCGCTCCGCGGAATTACAATCTGGTCAGTAGGAGGGCCTGCCGCACCGTGACGAATGTGCTACCCATGTGCGAGGCCATGCACAAGCTGTGGTTCGAAAATGTATTCAGCGTAGACGTCGATGTAAGCACATTTATGTTCTGTGACGACTGACTGTCTAGTAGATGCTGATGTGCTGGTGTCCCGTCAGGATCGTTACCGCATCGCGATATCCGTACCTTCACTCGGGCGGCAGTCGACATAGGCCTTCCTGAGCGGCTGTCTGCTAAGCCGGAAGAACTCGAGCTGTCGGAAAGGTTTTTCCGCGAGCATTTCTTCCACACGACGTTGGCCTGGTTCAGAGGTGGAGACATCCATAAGCAGGACGACATTCGAGACGTCAAAGCTGCAGTTATTTTTCACATCCACGACTTGAGGGACTATGGGGCGCTATTTGACCCCAACGACGAGATATGGAAGAGCGAAGTTGGTCAGGATGCCTTCAAGCTACTTGGCCCGGAGGAAATGCAGTCGGATAGCTCTCGCGTTAGTAAGGGAACAGCGGCGCAGCAGTTGGAGAGGGTGAAGCTTGAAGTATGTTTCGGGTTCGTGCATACAACGTGTAGGATCATTCCCAGAATACTATGCCGTGACCAGGCGTGTATTGGTAGCTCCGAGAGGACATGTACATCCGTCGTCATAAGATAATTTCGGCTGTCCTGTGACGGCACTGCGCTACGGCAGCACAACCGTATGGTAAGCGTGCCACTTTTGCTATATAGGTATTCGATAGCTGCCCAGACTGAGAGGTTCATCCGCTCGCTCGCGCCGAATGAGCATGCGTCGACCCCGCTAGGCCCTCAGACTTATGAAACGTCGCCGTGTATGAGTGATGCCCGATAATGAGGTATGGACGGTACCGCCGGAAAATGACACGGTGGTCCACGGCAACGTCGCCTTTTCACAGTACGACGTAGATCCCGAACGCTTCCGAGAAGTGCAAGTCGCGAGTGGCCAGCGGAGCTCAACGACAGAGAGGAGCGCGCGCACACCGTGGCTAGTGACTGCGAAACCAGGTGGCGTAATCATCCGCGTTTGACAGCGAAAAGAGTGATCGGATGCAGGTGGCGTGTCCTTGAAGGAAATCAGACATACATGGACGTCTCGGATGCGGGGGGGCTTTTTACCTGGATGACTTCTAGAGCGCGCTTTCCAGCGAAACCTAACGCGTTTACCGGGACCGATTACTCCACTACCATTTTCATGGAACAAGGTTATTTTAAACGCTACTGCAAACAGAGTTGGCTAAAGGACGAACGTATACCTGTCGGAGTCCATGATAGTTGCTGTAAACCAGTGGCTACTGGAACGGAGTAGCATGCCAGCTCGAGGGCGCCCATCCTAAGATCTCCTTCTGGAGGCGTCGGAGCTACCTGCACCTTTTGTTGTGTATGATCTTCTATGAAAGCCGAAGATGCCCGTGAAGCAGTACGCTTCTCCTCATTCTCCGCGTGGACGCGTTGCATCGAGTCGAACGAGTGATTCTCACTTCTTCCGGGTAGCGGCGGGATTATAGTGTGCCTGGGTCGACCGCCGTACTAGCCTCGAGCCTGAAAAGGGGCGTCCGGATAGCATTCGGGCTGTCCAAGGTCCGGTCTTGCACGACGAACAGAGGGCAGCCTGCGCGATGGTCTTTGATGACCTCCGGCGGCCGCGGCCCCTCGTGATGCACTTCAAGTTGCGCCTATACTAGACTTCAAAATTGACGTTGTGAGATAATCAGCACAGTGTGATGGTACGGATATCAAACCTGCGCTTGAGGGAAACTTAGTACTTATTGACTGAGTGCCACTGATATACGTGGAATTGGCGGCCCATCGCGTCGGACTCGAGCTCAGTTCTCTAGTGTTCGATGCAGCAGATGTAGAGCCTTGAGTCTCTGGTAGCCGTACAACACAAAGAGCATGCAACACTTCCAGATTTTTGTGGGATACGAGTACTAGGAGAAGTTCAACAGAGCGCAGTGGCTCCGGGTGGGTGCACTGGCCAGTCGAGGCTCGTCGTGGCCGCCAGGGAAGTTGCGTTGGTGGAGCGCCTAACGCTTCGGCTTCGGCTGGCACGCCACGTGCTGCGGTGCCGCGAGACTGTGCCACTCGTCCTCGCTCCTCGCGTTGACTCGAATGTCTTGCTAGCTGCAGCTTGGGCTACGCTTTCTCTACCCTCGTCGCCTTGGAGGCACTAGCTTAGCTGCGATTCTTGCTGTTCTGCGTGGAACGACTGCCGCACATGCCCCTGGAAAGTGGTATTCGACTCACGCGGACGCCGTGCGAGTATATCTACTGAAAACACTCGAAAGTCATGGCGTCGAGCACAAAACGGACGGAGATGGTTCAGGCGTTACGGTATCACTCTTCGATAACGATGTGTATGCTTGACTGCCTCTATAGCGACGCTATTTGAGGTTCTCTTGGCCGCGCCTGCGCGAGCTAAGTCTCGACTCTTGTGAAACTATAGTTTCTACAACTCTGCTGGGAGTATACGCATCCCCTATGAATCAAAATGACAGCACATACACCCAAGCTGCATGAAATCAAGATCATGTACAATCCCCAGTCCCACGCCCGAGCAGACCGTGCCTACTACGCAACCACTGTACGTGCTACGCTATCTCATGCCACTGTATCTCTATTCACCAATAGATCGTGCAGCCAGGCGTGTCCTATCGGATACTTCGGGGACTTCGTCTGTGCACGCCACTCTGACATCCCGGCGAGTCCCCCATCGCTCTCCCGGAACCAGTATGTCCGGCTGGAGTGCTACTAGCTCAAAACGCTCACCAGGCCGTCAGCTTTAGTACTTGGCGTTATGTTGCGCCGTCATCATAGCTCGACACAGATCGAGCATGTATGCACGCTCATCGACGGTTTTCGCGCCTCGTACTCGCGAACACAGGATGGGGTCGGGAAAGTTACCCTTCCTGGGCGGCTTGGCTGGACCCCGTCGGTGTCCGAAGACCGGCTATGTACGCATCGGACGCAGACACTACCGGACGTCGACCACCCCTACTAAGATTGTCGGGAAGTGCCTCCGATTGTATTCACCTTGTATGTCTTACGCCCAAACATGTACTACCCCGCGTCACCCTCTAACACGACTTTAACAGTTCACTAGCGTGCTAATTCTTCAACGCGCCCACGCCTGCCGAACTTGAACTTCGCAGTTATCACGAAAATCTCTTGGCTCAGGTCGACCACGCACCGCGTACGACACGTCCTTGTATAAACCGTGATCGCTGACATCACCCCCACGAAGACGCTTCCGAAAGCCAACCAAGGTCTGGCGTTGGCTGCCTGGACGCACTCGCATCTCTTCGGATCGAGCTCTCCCTGGACCGAGAGCCGAAACTCGTGGGGTTCCCTGACCTAATAGCACCGCACTATAGTGTATTTCCTTGCACAATGCGCTTCGGCTCATCTGCGCGGGCTCGCTCGACTTTGCTCGTCTGTTTTCCTCCCCATCCGAGAGCGTTATCGGAATAGAGCTGCATTCGCTGGACGCTTTTCTCTGCCGCGTTATCTGGAGGCCGGGAAACCGTGCTCCTCGCGGGGCCTCTCAGGGAGATGTTCCTCTCTGGGACATAGCTGCTGCTCGTGCCCCGCCGTCTTCACCCCTCCATCAGTCTTCCCCGTCCGCTTCCTGTTAGACACCCACTGCAATTTGCTGCGCGTTCTACCTCCATGAGCCCGCCTTCGAGGAGCTGTTCCCCAAGGGGTGCCCTGTCTTCCACGCCGCGGCTGAAGTCGGCGCTGCGGTCACCATCGCGTCCACGGTCACTGCGATCCAGATCAACGGCCCGCCGCAATGGCTCTCACCTGCGTACGTTTATGTCCAGTTCTTCCTCATTCGAACCTCGTTTGGATCCTAGCTGTGTCCTCGTCGCTCTTCCTTCGCGCTCCTACGCGGTACTGTCTGGTCACTCGCGCGCCGCACGTATGGCCAACACGCGCGAACTTGCGAGAAGCCTATACTCGGCGCCCTATGCCTCTGGCTGGGCTTCCCCGTAGACTCAATGTCCATCTCGCTGCAGCAGGTACTTCTCGTGCTCTAAGAAAAGGTTTTTGTGTGGCTTGTGACTCTTGACGGCGCTGATCAGGACCTCTGCCTCTCACATGTCGCGTCAGACTCGCGTTGATCGATTATCGCCATCGTCAAATTCATTCACGACCCCGTACGAAGATCCTCTGACTCCCACATTACGTACTCTTCCCGCAGACATCCATTATGTTCCCTTGCTCGCATCGCCTCACTATTTGTAAGCCCGGAGTCTCTCGCGCGCTGTCGTGTTTCACTAGCCATTCACTATATGTATCTGTGTACATCGTGTCTCTTTTCTTCTTGTATCCATTCGAAGGTCTCTTACGTTGCTCCGCACGTGAACAGTGCAACTTTGCCCCGCTCCTAATTGAAGGCCACGATGAGTATGTCACATCCAGACTTGTTTTAGAAAAAACCTACCTTTTTAACATCCATTCCCTTCCTCGCTATGTCTCAAGCTGGAGCTACGACACCCGAGATCATCGCACGAGCTCATAAATCTAGAGTAGCCAGATGGCGCGCTGCCGATGTCTTCATCTGGTATCGAGACAGGGATTTCGGTGATGAAGTCGTTGCATGTAAGCCCCCCGGTTCTTACCAAAGTCCCGCATGCATCGTGCCCTTGCCTTGCTAAACTAATATACCTTGACAGGCTTCAACTCCTCCGTCACTGGGCCTCTGACGGTCAATACCCTGATTCGCTGGTTCACCATTCTCAAACCCTGGGACGTCGAGATGGGGTTTACACCGGTGAAGTTGGAGTGTCCGAAGTACCTCAGGTATACCTTCAGGCCATCCACCGATGTTCCGTTGGAGAATTCGGCAGTGCTTGAGGGCGGAGACTATGCCCTCCACCCCATCCGTGAGTTGCATCGTCGCAAGAGTACCAGGTTGATGCGGATATTTATGCGGGTCTGAACACGTATAGATGAAGGAGTCGGAGCAGAAGGCCCAAAACCCCCTTTTGTAGACCGCAGCTATGTCCCTTCGCATGCGGGCGCATTCAGACAGACAACGAGGGGCCTCACAGCTGACGCTCTGCAGTCACACTCGGCCGAGGCAAGTATTATCCTCTCATATCACGGCCTTTTTTGAAACGTACTTCTACAGTGGATTCCTCCCGCTTCTGCGCGGGAGGAGGTCATGCGTCGTTATCCGAACGGATGTCCGTTCACTGGATCGGCTTGGGATCACGAACATGTGGATGCGCGCTGGATCTACCCTCCGCCATTGCGAGGCCAGGCAATGATTCCCTTCTTGTTTTATACTTCTCGCACCTTGTGACTTATGCTCTATCAGATGTGCGGCCCACTCGCAAGGCAGTGGGATGACGAGGACGAGCCCCCGGAAATGGAAGTGATTGTAAACATCATACCCATGCATGCGGACGTGTATGAGCTGTGGATGAAAAACATGCTCAGCGTCGACGTCGAGGTGAGTCGGTGCCCATGACGCAGCCTTTAGCGAGGCCGCGAGCTCATGGAGATTGTCTAGGACGGAAACCGAATCGTCGCCTTCCATCCCTCCGTCCGCAAACGCATCAATCTGTCCGCCGCACTCACAGCTGGTCCGGACACCGAGCGCGACATATTCCTTCGCGAGCATTTTCACTACTCGCTTATCATACAGCTGACAGGGGGGAATGTCACCGAAGACTTCCGCCTGATTGACGTGCACAACTTCATCGAAAACGTCAAAATCGGTCAGGACGGACAGCCGATGGACCTGGAGGAGGCAAAATGGAAGACCCTCATTGGTGCGGTGGTGCGAGAGGAGATACAGGCCAGGCCCCGACCGCCTACCAAGGCCGACTCCGATGACGATGGGTACGACGAACTAGACGAGATTGACGAGCACAGCGAAGATGACTGAGGCACACACGACGAGAGCGAAGACGAAGGTGGAAGTGACTACGACCAAGAGCCTAGTGACGTCCACACGCAGATCCTCGACTCCCGCCTCACGCGTACACCGCTTCTATCCATATTCATCGTCTCTGCCCGCTCGCATCCTCACTCATTCAAATGCCTCACTCTCTCATTTAGCCGCCTAGTCTATCTCAATATGTCATCCGCATCCTTCTGCGTCCTGTTTCTATTCAAAGACTTCGCATATTGCCCTGCTCGTGCGCTATCGATCTGCCCTGCCAGCCTGAGGTTACAATAAGTATGTGCAAACTCGTTTTGGCAAGGTAACGAGCTTCGGTCTGCTCAACAGGCACGCGCTGACGCTTTTAAGGGACGGGAGAAGCCACCTAGTGATCTAATATCCGGCTGTGTTGGTTGAGTGGGCGTACATTTCCGTTTGCCTATCGAGGAGCGACAACTCAAGCCCGGCGTCATGACAGTGTCTTCTGCCTTGAGTACGTGCTCAGAGGGTGTGTCTCACGCGACTGTCGCTTCCTAAGCGAGACGTGCTGTCCATGCGCATGAGGCCTGAGGCGTGGTACCACACACGTGTGCTTAACTCGTGTCACAGTTCGGACCTCGTCCATCGTCAATGTGCATCCGAAACTACAAGATCCTCCCCACGCCTCCTACGTGCACGACTGCAGACATCTTCTTTCCAGTGTCATTGGTGTCTTTCCTCGACATTATGCGACAAGTCACTGCCACAGACCATCTATTCCCCGAATTTGCGCATCAATCCAGACGGGCCCTATCCCGTAACGCCAATGTCTTCATCTGGTGGCGATCAATTCGAGTCAAGGACGTGATAATGGCATGTAAGCCAGATCGTTAAGATTCTATACAGAGTATTCTCGTAGCTGACCTGCGAGTTTCCGATAGGCTTCAATGACGAAGCTGTCGCTCCTCTGCCAACGGCCCCGACCTTGATCCGCTGGTTTGAGATGCTCACTTACTGGCGCCATCCGCTGGCAATAACGCCGGTTGAGCGGCTGAACTACGTGGACTGTCTCCTGTTCAAGTGTAAACTGCCTGACGATCAACATCCGCTCGACCACTCAACAGTGCTCACGCGTGGTGACTACGCTTGCTGCTACACCGGTCCCACAGGCAGTGAGTTATCTCGGCACAAAAGCATGACAACTAGACACTTACACAGCTTTGGATGTGTGTAGTGATTTCTGGCGTGATTGCTACTTCTTCCCAAACTTTCACCACCGACTGCTATTGTCTTCCTGGAACGCTCCAGTTCGTACTAGAAAACCACGCCGCTTTGGAAGAACAGACCTCTCAGCCCAATGCCGAAAGTTTAGGCCTCGACCTGGAGTCCCCGGACTCGATTGTGTGTGTTGTGAGTGCCTCGCCCACTTACTGAAAATTTGATCGCTCCTAAAACGAAACACTACCACAGAACGCCATCTCCCCCGAGCTCCGTAACATAACTTGCGAGAAATTTGGCCGCAAGTGCATTTTCACCGGATCAACGGGCGACACGGGCGACCGTCGTGTGGGAGCTCACTGGATCTACCCTCCCGCGGCGTACAGCAGAGCGAGTGTTCTTCCATCGGAGCTAGCTATTGGTAGTACCATACTGACGGACAAAATGTGTTAGATGGTCGGGCATGTTGGCGTATACCGAGACATGGGTGCAATGGATTTTGACGCAGAAAATATGCAAATCTCTTCGAACTTGATCACCATGCGCGCAGACGTCCACAGGCTTTGGCTAGCGAACGCGATCAGCGTCGACGTTGACGTGAGTATCGGCCATGAATCCTCGTCATATCTCCTCCGCTCATTGCAACCACCTGTATCAGGACGGATACCGAGTCATTGTCTTCGATAAGACTGCTCACGCTGTGACGTTTGCCGCTACGCTCGACCTCGCCGAAGAAGACCGCTTCCGTGATGACTGCTTCCGCGAGCATTTCCGCTACACGCTGGCCATACACATTGTAGGCGGGCACCTCATCCCCTATGACGTTTGCCATGGAGATGTCGATCAGTTCCTCGACGAGGTCAAATACGCCGCGGATGGGGTCACTCCGAGACCTAAAGACCTCGAGCGCAAGAAATGGAGGACCCGCATTGGAAAGCTGGCGCTGCAGCACATCCAGACCGTGAATCCTGCCATGACGCTCGAACTTCCTGAGCATTTCATCAAGGGCGGTAGCTTGGAGGACGATGACACGGACGAGAGTGCGGATGACGAGGAAGAGGATATTGTGACGACGGAGGACGAGTGCGATTAGGCAGTCGCACAACGAGACCGAGCATCCGTGTATCGTCACTCAGCCGCTCCCCGAACAGGGATATGGGTACTTGATAATCTGGCACTTTTGCATGATAGGAGTCGGTCGCGTACCATTCGCATTGTGAGACGCGCGCCTGGCACATGTTATAAAAATTCAGTCCGTCGTTTACGTGAAGCCATGGGCGCCATCGAAACCGCTACGCACTCCCCCGTCTGCCTCTCACGCCGTCACCGTGCAAGACTGCAGATATTTTCTTTCCGGTATCATCAGTGTCATTCCTCAACATCATGCAACAAAGCACTATCACCGACCAACCATCTCCCAAATTCGCTCATCAGTCCAGGCTAGCCCTATCCCGTCACTGTGGGAAGGATCCACATTTATTAGAGGTGTTGGGCACAGCTATGATGGAACGACCGAAAGAGGTGTTCCGGACATTTTTGGGCGGTGTCGCGAATAAATGTGCAGAACACCTCATGTGTGCATGTTTCAGTGTTTTGCACACCTGCTCCCAGCGTGTACAACAGCTTCTATAACAATTTTTATAGGTGTTTTGGACACTATTGGGTGAGGTGTTCCGAACGACGGTCCAAGGTGTTCCCAACCGACGAAATCAATGTAAACTACAGTGCATTGACATGTTTAAAACACTCGCCGAAAGTGTCGTGCACGCTGCCGATGGATCACGCCCGAATATATTTGCGAATAAAATTTATTATGCTACATTTACATACGGACCTCGCAAGCTGTCGGAGAAACGCCA